ATCTGGGTGGGGTCTTCTCTGCGTCAAAGGGGACATTTTTGCTGCTTCCATCCTGGTGTTTATGGTGGGCCCAGGAGATGCTGGGAGAGGCTGACAGAGGCTGCATTTTCCCCCCATCGCAGCTGGGCAGCTACTTGCTCAGTGAGCATTTATAAAGTGCAAAGAGCTGGCCAGGCAGGCTGTGTAATTATCTCACGTGATTTCCCCAAATCACCCTGAGGCTGAGTAACTTGCCCAAGATCACTCTGCCTGGAGGGGTCAAGGCGGGGGTCAAAAAAATACTCTTAAAGGACACAAGCAACTGTCAGAAGGAAATGGCTGTGGTTGCTTCATTAGCCACTTTCGTAACCAGTGGCCCTGACCAAGTGACTTCCAGGCCAGAGCTTGGACTATTAGCAGCACCCTGAGGACACACAGAGAGTTGGGTGGCAGGTCTTCGGGTGCCTGTGAGAGAGGAGGTGGCACACACACACGTTCCATTGGTTGGTGTCTGTCCATTCCCTGAACACCTACTATGCGCCAGGCAAGTATCGAGGTGGCGAGACCCTCTTAGGACTTGCAGGCTAGTTGGGGAGGGGTGGGGTCAGACAATGAACAAGGAAACAAGTGAATTGATAGGGCAATACCTCCAAATATTGATAAGTGCTACTAAAAAATAAAATAGGATGGTACAAACAACCTGGAAAACCACTGGACAATTTCTTAAAAGGCTACATACACCCCCACCATGTGATCCAGTCCCTCCTCAATTAGTTATTCACTTAAGGATGTGTTCAGTGACCGTCGTCTGAATAAATGAACCTATCCTGCAGGCCAGTTTCTTTTTTGAAAGTACTAAGATAAAACGTGGCTGAGGCAGACAGGATTGATGAGGGACATGAAACACTTAAACTTGACTTCCAAAAGTGTACTCACTAAATGTATGACCTGCCCCCAAACAACCCTGTGGTTGTTGGTCAATGTGCTTTTGGGAGGGGTCCACTTGTCCTTCCTTAGTCATGACTGTGTCATCGCAGGAACTCTTGCTGGTTGAGAAGAGTTTCACTTTCCTTGGTCCCCCCGGGCTCCCTCCCCACCCCAGCCAGCTGGGTCTGTCCTCGCCTCCCTGACGCCTCTGGCCCCAGCTGGTCAGGATGAATGCAGTGTCCCTTCGTGGGCTGCAGAGATATTGCGCAGAGCAGCCTTGTCTTTCATCCGGCTCCAGTCTGTCTTCTCCTCCTGGCCTCCATCTTTTCTTCCTTTGAATGTGGGCAGCAGACACGAGCAGCTGAATGTCAGGGTCATGGAGCCAGACCTCCTAGGGTCCCAGCCCAGTTTCATGCAGTCAGTGATGGGACTTTGAACATGCCTCTTGGCTCCTCTTAACCTCAGCCACCTTACCGCACCTCTGGGTAAGACCACAGCATGGAGCGGTGGTGAGCAGTTCCCCTGAGCGCTTCTCATACCCTCTGCCACCAAATGAGCACTTAATAAATGTCAACTCTAATTGTAGGAACTGCTTGTTTTGCATTTTCTCCTCACAAGGTGATCATGGTCTTGTTACAGACCTACAGGCTTGGGTTAAACGCCTCTAGGATCTGGGGTACCTGGGGGATATTTCTTAGAAGGAAACTGATCCATAATAGTCTAATAACAGTGTTATCATACCCACCCCTTATTGATTATTGAGGAGCTACTCTTTTCTAGGCACTCTGATGACAACAGTAACTCACAATAATTAAGTAATCACGAATGGTAAAAATACAGCCAACCCTGATTTAGCCTGCCAAGCACTGTTCACCGTGTTTTTCATGCGTCAGAAATCCTAACTTTGGGGAAGATGCTGTTATGGTCCTCATCTTAAAGGTGAGAAAACTAGATACAGAGAGGCAAAGCAGTTTGCCCAAGTCCAGACAGTCAGTGGACAAAGCCAGGACTCGTACTCTTGTTGCGGGTCTAGAGCGGCTCCCCTGTGCTCTAAACCCTGAAAAGTCCAGTTCATTGTAGCCATGTGGCCGCTCTCTACAGCTCAACGTCCTCGGTTATAAGGGCACGGGCTGCGCTGCTCTGCCCCGCTCTGCCCCAGGCGGGAAGACTACATCTCCACTTGGGGCGTTAGATTAGGCCCACGGGCCCTGCAGAAGTGCCCGGGCCCATCCGGGAAAATCCCCTCTTTGTATCTGAAGAGAGCTTGCGTCTTGTTATGACCTCAGGACCACCCAGGCAGTTTCCCAGGTTCCCACAGGGATCCCCCCCCTTCCTGGAAACAAGAGCAAGTTCCCAGATGGGCCCGGGGGACGCTCATCCCAGGTGACCCCAAAGGAAAGCTGATGAAAGCTGGTGTTTTGCTCGTGAAGGTCTTCTCCAGTCATGGGTGAAGGAGGGAGTGGGGAGGAGGTGGAGGCAGCAGGAACTGATGTTCCTGTTTGGGGTGGTCAGCAGTCTTTGAGATGCCTGGTGAGACAGACTTTTCGCTCCTCAACTTATTCCACTCGCGGTTAAGGGACAAACAGGATGTTGACCGGATCCGTCTTCTCCAGTCTTCTTCCTTCCAGAGACAGACGCATCCTATAAGTTTTCTGCTGGCCTTCCCGCCAGGTCTGTCTGTCTTTCTTCTTTATAAGATTTTATTTATCTATTTTTAGAGAGAAGGGAAGAGGAGGAGAAAGAGAAGGAGAGAAACATCAGTGTGTGGTTGCCCCTCGTGTGCCCCACTGAGGCTACAGCCCACAACCCAGGCATGTGCCCTGACGGGGAATTGAACTAGCGACCCTTTGGTTCTCAGGCCCACGCTCAGTCCACTGAGCTACACCAGCCAGGGCCACCAGGTCTTTCTAGAGCTTTTAGTGTCTTAACTCAAGTGGGCGCCAGCCACTGGCCCCTTGTGGGTGGATTATAACAGTATCATATAGGTACTGTCCATTTACTGAGAACCAGGAACTTTGCCTTGACAGAAACTCTGTCCTTGACCAAACTTGAGTTTGGCTCCTATGAGCCCTCTCCTTGACTAGGCCTCTGTGTCCATCCTGTTCTGGCTGGGCCTGCATAGCCCAGTTTTAGAGAGAATCCTGACCTTGGAATCAGATCCCCCTTAGTATCTGATCAAGCTCCCCCACCACCACCACCACCACACACACACACTTAGGATGTCTCAGTCCCTGGCCTGCCTTTTAGCAGGAACCTGGTCAGGTCAGCTCAGCATAATCCCACCCACCCTTGACTCCTCTTAGGAATTTTCCATCCCGCGGACCCCTCACTCTGCTGCTTGGCTAGGAAACCCCACTTGTCCTTGCTGTGTTCATAATTAAGCTTGATTTCCCTCCCCTCTCGCAATATCCCTATTGCAAGAGTCTGGAATAAAGCCTTCCTTACCATTTTAACAAGTGTCAAAATAATTTTTCTTTGACAACATGAATTCGGCCATTTATCCTCACAAGGATCCTATGAGGTAGGTCCTGTAAACGTCTCCTCCTTAACTCTGGGAAGTAGGGAGGAGAGAGGATGCCCTAAGAAATGAGACACCAGCTGTTGCCACATTCGCAGTTTGCACCTGGACATTCCCCCAGGTTCTCCCCGCAGCAGGTGGTCGCATCAGTCTACCTGCTGGAATATTAACCAGGCAAGATACTGCGCCCTTTCCGACAGAAACGCCGCTGGCCTCCGGGCGCCCCGGGGCAGCTGTTTGAGCAGTGAGTGGCAGGAGCTGGGAGCTTGGAGTAAGCGCGGCAGCCTGACGCCGTCTCCTAGCAACTCGGCAGCGGTCCCGTGACCCGACTCACGCGGGCGGGAGTTGAGATGGGGTTGGAGCTGGAGCTGCGGGAGGGGCGGGGCTGGCAAGTTTTCATTCGGAGTGTGCAGGCCGCGAGCCTCCGCGGCTGTCGCGCCGGTGCCTTCCTCCTAGGTCGGGATGGAGCTGCCCGTCGTGAACCTGAAGGTGGCGACGGGCGTGGCGGGGCGGGGGTGGCCACGCCGCAGGTGGGCGGGCGCGGGGCGGGCCTCCGGAGTGGGTAGGGGGCGTTTGCTTTTTTAAATGGGGTGTTAGAAGTGAGAGGGCCGACAATGTGCGAAAGAGGAGAGGTAGGGAGGAAGAGAATGTCCAGCCCCAGGTGAGAAGGAGGTGGGCAGACCAGGGCAGGGAGCGGGGTTCAGGAAAAGGTCTTCAGGGAAGAGCGAGACGGGACGGAGGCCGTAGGGGGAGGGAAAGGGCCGCTCCTTCCCGGAGCCAGCCCCTTCCAGCTGGGAGTGTTCTGCCCCGGAGGATCGCTGTGGCCTACACGCCCAGAATTCCCCTGGAGAAAGGGGAAGGCGCGGGGGAGGGGCCCCGGGGAGCCCGAGGGGGCGCTCGGAGGCGGGACACCTCCTCACCGACAGAGGTGGGAGGGGCTAGACCTTTCACCTGGCCTCCCGGCACCGCCTGGTACTCTCCTTTGCTTGCTAAGCCAGGTTAAGAAAATTAGATTTCCCAGACAAGTAAGTAGTTTCTCCAAAATATGTAAGCCCAGCGTGGTTATTTCCTAAGAAACACAAACTTCAGTAGAAATTGCTTAAAAGCAGAAAACCCCAACTGTGTGCACCTACGAAAACACTGCCGGGCGTCCTGGGGTGTCTTCATTTCCGGAGCCTTCTCCCCAGCTCCTCGGGGCGCCCTCGACTGTTCTTTTTCTGCCTGCCCTGCGCCCCCAGCCGGCTCCCCCACCCCCAGCCGTGGTTTGGGTGACAGGGGCAGAGCCTGTAGCTTTGGTCTGGAGGCTGTGAACCTTGCACCAAACCTGCCATTTTGGGTACTGGTGCAGACTCCTTTGAGACCTATATCCAGGAAGACTCACAAGTGACCAAGCATTTAGCAGCCCGTGGTGTCTGGCACCGAAGGAACCCAAGTGGTAAATGACTACAAACAACACGTCATCCGCGTTTGGGTCAGGAGACGGGTTCTATGCTTGACTTCACACTGGCTGATTTTGTAAGCACACTCCCTTGGGCAAACCTCCTGGAGCTTCTGCTCAGGGCTGGAGCAAGGGAAGGGGCTTGGGCTGCCTGTTAGCTGGGAAGAACTGACATGAGGGCAACTGAGGTTTGTTGGCAGCGGTACTCATCCTGTTTCAGGCGGTGTGAGGTTAACGCCAGCTGCCTTTTCTCTGATTAGGGATTCGCCTAAAATAATGCTAAGAGAAAATCAGGTGATGGACGGGGGGCCGGAATGGAAGGGGCATCTGTGGTATGCCAGGTTATTTAGTTAATCACAGCAGCCTTCCAAGAAAGCTGATACCGTCATCTTTTTACGGATGAACAGAGTGCAGCCCAGATCAGGTAAACAACCTGCCCAGGTCCCCTAGGGATTCAGTGGCGGAGTCAGGACCTGAACCTACGGGGCCAGACTTCAAAGCTGGGACCCTTCCTGGCCACGACCTGGTAGTGAGGGCTGACTTCTGCCTCGACCGCTTATGTCCGTCAAGGGCACTTAGTCCGTTTGGGGCTTTTTTGGAGCAGCTTTACGGGCCTGGCAGCCAGGTACCACCGCACCGGTGAGCTGCACTGGCTTTGGGGGCCCAGAATGAAATGGCTGGTCCTCCACTTGTCTCTGAGGGTCTTTGCTGCCACTAGTCAGAGACCAGGAAGTGCTGGGATTTTCTGAGGGGCTGGGGTTGCCAGGTGACATACGGGACCTCCAGTGAATTTGAGTTTCAGATCAACAATGAGTGATTTTTTTTAGCATGAGTGTATTCCAGGCAATATTTGGGACATACTAACAAAATATTCATGATCTGAAGTCAAAAGTTAACTAGGTGTTCTGTCTTTTTGTTGTTAAGTCTGGCCGCCCTGTGGAAGGCAGCTGTTGATTCCTTGTTCGTAGACACTGAGGTGGGATGTTCTGAGGTCAGGGCCCCGAGCCCCCACACCTCCGCACTCCTGGTTTCCAACATTCCTTGGGCATTGGCCGAATGCCTGCTTGTGCCCAGCCATGGTGGGCAGTGGTGCCAGATGAGGAGAAACAGCTGCCCCAGGCCCTTTGTTGGAAGGGCGGTTTCACACCGAGCCCTTGTCCTGGGGCAAGTCCTGGGTGGGAGGAGTGACAATGTGACAAGCTTAGAAAGGACGAGACTTGGATCCAGGAGGCCTTGTTGGAAGAGCCCTCAGGAAGGGGTGGGGGGAGTGCAGTCTGAGTTAAGAGCTCAGGGCGGCTGGGTGTGAAGAGCCGGCCACCTGGCAGGCACTTTGCTCAGTGTCTCAGACGCCTCTTCAACGCCTCCCCCGCTCCCCTGTACCACTAGATCCACTCAGCAACCCTGAGAAACAGGCCTGCTGGCCCTCACGGACGGATGGGCCAGCAGCAGTTCTGAGAGGTCAGGTGATTTGCCCAAGGTCACACAGCTTCTTCGTCTTGAGTCCAGGATCCAACCCACATATTTGGCTGATTCTGTCTCCCCACCAAGGCAGCCCTGATGGTGGCCCTTACCCTCAGCCGCCCTGGGGGATCGCACTGCCTCACGGAGCAGGTCGTGTTTGCAGGGGCTGGTAGGAGTATATTCCACCCATCCATCTGTGTGTCGATCTGAGGTTCTCCGCCCCCACCCTAACCCACCGGGGCCCTCTAGTGGCACACCGAGGGCCTAAATCCCCATCCACGTGCCCCCTTGGTTTCCCCTCAGCCTTCCCTTCCTCCGGTCAAACCTCATTTCCATCTGCCCTTCCCTTGCTTTCCCAGGTCCTGACAGTTGCACAGGCCTTGGGCCCAGACCAGCAGTCAAGGCCAGACTTTGCTACTTATTAGCCTTGTGACCTTCAGCAGGTTTCTTAACCCTCTGAGTATCAGTTTCCTCACAGTAAAAAGAGGATAAAAATAACCCCTGTCTTCTGGGGTGATAAGAGGAGGACCCAGGGGTCCATCCAGGAGGTGGTGCGGTGTTACCTGTTTGTTGGCGTGAAGACTTGTCCTGGATAGGCAGGTTCTGAGATTTGCATCTGCGCTCTGTTATTTATGAGTGTTCCGGTTTGGGCCAGTTTACCTGATCTCTCACAGCCTCAGTTTCCTCATAAGTAAAACAGAATTAATGCTCTCCCCCACGGAGTTGCGTGAATGACAGAGGCTAAGTGTTCAGGGCAGTGTAGACTCGTGGTGGGCGGACCCTCATCAGGAGCAGGAGTTGCTCTTGCTGGTGCTGTCCCAGGATGCCCGCCCCGCACAGATGTGTGTGCTTGTTAAGTGGATACATAGAGGGGCCATCCGGATGCCTGCCTGTCTGTAGTTGAGGCACTCCCATGGGACACGTGGGTGACAGGCGTAGCCTCCATTTCACAGAGAAGGAAGGCACCTGGGGCTCAGACACAAAGGGACCTGGTCCTTGGACCAGAACCCGGGGCTCCTGTTCCTAATCCAGCATCCCACGACCCCAGCCTCCTTGGCTGTTTGACCCTCTCCCCTCCGGGCTGCCGACACAGTGTAGACTCCATCTGGGAAAGAGCTGGGCTGCCCCCCTAGGTGAGCACTGTGTGAAGAGTCCAGGAGCTCAGGTCTTTCTTTCCTCTTTCCCTGGATACATTCTCAGATCCCTTCCCCTCCCTCCCTCATTCTCTAGGGCAGTGCCTGAGAATCCCAGGTGTCCCCTTGGTGACCGGAAGCCTCCCCCAGAGCCAGCAAACAGTTGTTTTGTGTTGAGATGAGTCACTGTTCTCTTGCGCTGGGGTAAGGGCAGGGCTGGTTTGGCCAGGTTGCTTGTTGGAGCTGACCCGGATATAGGCCTGGAGCGCGTGGGGGGGGGGGTGCCCCTGCTTCCAAAGATGGGGAAACTGAGGAAGAGGAGGCTTAGTCTTCAGTGGGCTTCTTTCCCCAGGGGCTTAAGAGAATGATCCAATAGTGCTACATCTCAAATATTTATAAAACAAAAGGGATGTCTGAGGAGCAGACTGGTTGCCTTTGGAGATCTGGACTATTTCCAGGTTATTCTCTTTCCTTTCCTGGAAGGATGGCATCATTTCAGACCCTAGCCAGGTTCTCGCTCCGTCTCCCGGAAACGTCTTTATCTCACGGGTAGTAGTGAGTGACCTCCCCAGGGGCCCCCCTGCGATCTGCTGCCCTCCCGTGTCCCAGCCGTTCACCTTGCCACAGCAGGGCCGAGCTCTGCAGGGCCACGGGAAACAGCTGCCGTGTGCACAGCCTGGACGGAGCGGCCAGAGCCCTGGCAGATGAGGCCTGGTTCTGGAAGCCAGCAGTGGGAACGACCAGGTGCAAGATGGGGATGCAAACTGCGCCCCTGTGCCTCCTTCCTCCGCGTCTTAGTCTGCAAGCCAGACCCCAGGACGGCTTGGCCAGCCACATGGCGTGACAGATCCCCTCCCGCCTGTTAGAGGGGACAGTGGTCTGCTCTTAAGATAAAGATCAGGATTCTTATGCCCCGCCCCCCACTCAGGCCTAGTCCTGCCCACACCCAGATTCCTGGCCCTTCCCCGCTCTCTTATCTTCTGCTCCAGTCACACAGGCTTCTGCTCAGTTTCCAGAATGTTCACAGAGCAGTTGATGTTCCTTCTGCTTGGAATGTTCTTTTCTCTCTGCCCCTACTTAACCCCCTGCTCACCATTGTCTTCTTGGTGGCCCTGTTGTAGAATGAGGTTTCTCTCCCTTTGTTGTAACTTCCCTTCAGGACAGGGGTCTCGCTGGATCCCTCGTTCTCTGGTTATCGTTCCTGAGTGTCTCCAGCCAGGGAGGGCGGTTCGGTGCTACCTCTGCTCTGCATGCCGTCTCCTCGGGGCAGCGCAGCCACCAAGCAGCTCTTGGGTGTCGGGTTAAACCAGTAAATGTCTGAGAAACTGAGAACCATCTGGTCGCTTCTCTGAAGCCTCTGGGAGAAGAAACCCATGGAAGACAAAGCCTTCCCCGCCTCTGTTTCCCCGTCTTTGTAATGGGGTGAGCACATTCACACAGGCCCAGGGAGGCTGATGGTTGAATCCTGGCTCTGCTGCTGGCCGGCTCTGACCGTGAGCAAGTAAGTTACTTGCCTCCGAGCCGCAGCTTTCTCAGCTCTAGAATGCACCTCCAAGGGTTGTGGGAATGAAATGAGTTCCTATACAGGGAGAACCTAGAAGGCGCCCTGTGTAGTGCTCACAGCTCCATAACCCTGCTTCATCTACAGAGGTAGATGATCTCTCAGCTTCCTTCTAGAGCCGGCCTGTGGTGTACAGACGCGACCTTTTCAAAGTCTCAGGACCTCCCTAATGCTGGGCTCATTGGTCCTTACAGAATTATTTTCCTGGTCTTCTGAGTGTTGGGGGCTGCGGAGTCAGACCCCTCTTGGTTCACTTGCTTTGGTGAACTCAAATCGAGGTCTCCTCCCCTTCCAGGGCAGGTTCCCACTCCTCAAAGGAGCCTCTGGCCCGAGGGAACAGGAAGAGTGTGGGTGTCTGCTGTGGCAGTGTCCCCTGGCCTGGCTGTGCCTCCCTCCCCTCAGGCTTGTTCGCCACTGCTGGTGTTTTACAGCGGGACAGCTGCACAGCCCGCTTACTTGGGGGCTGGGGAGGGGCCTCTGGTGTTTTCTGGCTGTAAAAGCTCCTTGCCCCCAAGGCGGTCACACTCACCGATATCTCCCCCACCCCCGTTTTGTGCTGCAGATGATCATCCTGGCTCACTGGCTGTTGACGACCTGGTAAGTGACTCCCAGTGTCTGTGTCTGTGTCGACCTATCTCCCAGCCAGTTCCAAGACTAAACAGCACTTTTGTCAAGCAGATCATCAGCAAGCTCCCCACATCCCAGGAATTTTGGAGGGGCAGGCAGTTCCCTTCCAGAGGCCTTTGCCATCACCACCTCCTAGGAGCTTTGAGCTCTCTCATCCAGGGTGGCAAGGTCAAGTACAGATTTCTCAGTCACACTCCCCTAGCTTCTGAGTTAGTGAGTCTGGGCCACAGCCCCGGCGCCTGTTTTCTGAAAACCCCCAAAGACTATTGAGCCTGGCTGCCTTCTACGCTCAGCTGCTTTGCACGTGTTTTCTGTATGGTAGGTAAACTTTAACGAATGTCGTTGAGTTTACGGAGTGCCTCATGGGATGCTGGGCGGTCGAGGCCCAGTGAAAATGCTGAATAAGAGCATGGCCTCTTGAGCCCGATGACCTGGGTTCAAATGCCAGATCCACCACTTAGCAGTTGTGGGCTCTTGGGCGGGTTACCTGACCTCTCTGTGCCCCAGTCTCATATAATAAGGATAATAATGCCTCCTTCCTCCAGCCGTTAACACGGATGCATGTGAGTGAGTTAATTCAAAGCATTGAGAATGTACCACATACGAATAAGTAAATAAGTAAACATATCAGTTACTCACCATCCCCTAAGAAATCAAATAGAGTGGGCATTGGGGCAGACTCTTAAGCGACAAGGTGTCATTTAAAATGCGTCACTCAGGGATGGACTCCTGGACTTAACATTTGAGCTGAAACTGAAATGACAAAAAGGGGCCAGGTGTTCCTGGTAGAGGGATGTAAAGGGGGGCTGTGTAGCGCCCACAGGGCCCCTTGGGCATGGGGCAGAGTCTGTATTTTATTTCAAATGGGACAGGAAGCCGTCGGAGGACTTTTAGCAGAGGACTGATGTCCTGGGATTAACATTACTAGTTGCTATTCAGAGAATGGCCTGGAGGGGGCAGCAGTGGAAGTGAGACCAGTGGGGAGGTGGGGCTGGTAAATCCCTCTGGAGTGGGTGGTGTTTTGGGTCTGAAGGGATCCTGTTTGGAGGCAGAGCCATGGAATTTCCTGACATTCCTGGCTCACAGCTGGGGAACAAGCGGCCTGGCAGACGGTGGCTTCTTCTCAGACCCTGGAGCTTGAGGGAGGTGACCTGTGGGAGGGGGGAGCACAGGTCTGGGGGTGGGGGGGCAGTCACCTGCTAACCTGACTCAGGTGCATCTTCCTGCAGGGGCTGCCTTGTGTTCTTCAGCTCGTATGCCTGGGCCAACTTCACCATCCTGGCCGTGGGCGTGTGGGCCGTGGCTCAGCGGGATTCCATTGACGCCATCAGCATGGTGAGCTGGGGAAGCGCTGCGGGGACCTGCTCCATCTTCCCCTCACCTGTCCCACTCCTCTGTCTTGTGCCCATTTCCTAAAGCCTTGCAGATCATCCCGCCCGTGCAGCCCACGTGTGTGTGTGTGTGTGTGTGTGTGTGTATGTGTATATGTGTGTTCACTAGCCTGGAGTCTCTCCCTGCCTCTCCCCAGAAAGGTGTGGGGCCGGTCCCACCAGTGGCCCAGACTGGCCACGCCTGGAGGGTGGTGGAACACGAACCCATAAATCGCCCCCGAGGACCCTCTTAGGAGGGAGGGATTTGGGTGGGGCACCCACGGAGAGGAAGCCCTACTACTCTGTGAGGTCAGAGTGCACACAGCCCTGCCAACACCCGCAAAGCCCTTGGAGGGTGGTGGCTAGTGCCTTGAAGAGGAGGGGTTTCCTCAGTGGAGGAGACAATGGGTGAACTCCGAGGCACCTTCCATCTTGGAGGTTCTAAAATGAAATCTTGTGCTTCTGCATGGCCTCCAGGGCAGTGATAGGAGAGACAGGCGGGGGCTGTTGTGGAGCTGGCAGGCTGGCTCGGGACCTCAGGGACCCCCAAGTCCCTGCTCCAGCCCTGTATAGGCCCCTTGGGCACCTCATTCACAGGGTCCTGCCTGCTCACGGAGGCTGCTTTCCAGCAAACCCTGAGGACAGGGCTCGGATGCAGCTTCTGGGCTGTACATGGTGGAGGTGGGGGGAACGATAGGGGTGTGATAGGGTGTCACTGTGCTCATAAACTCGGATGACACGCAGTCATGCCTGGACCCTGTGCTGTCCTGTCTTGCAGTTTCTGGGTGGCCTGGTGACCACCATCTTCCTGGACATCGTCCACATAAGTATCTTCTACCCGAGGTCCAACAACATCACGGACACGGTGCGCTTCGGTGCCGGCATGGCCATCCTCAGCCTGCTCCTCAAGCCGTTCTCCTGCTGCCTGGTCTACCACATGTACAGGGAGCGTGGAGGCATGCTCCCGCTGCACACTGGTGAGGCCACCCCTCCGGCCAGCTCCCAGCCCCCAGGGAGTTGGCACTGCCATCTTCCCACGTGTCCTTGTTCTCCTTGCCTCACCCACAGCCCCTACACCAGGGAGCTGACCCCAGGGGAAGGCGCAGGGAGGGGCTGGACGTGAGCACTGAGTGCCAGGCCAGAAGCGGGCTCCTGGTCTCTGCCACAGGAGCTCCATGGTCTCGTGCTGTCCCAGCCTGTCATGACCTTTCCCCATCCCAGGCTGAGTGGTGGCCAGGAGCCCACTCTGAGCTCAAGCTGGGATGCAGCTGGGGTGTGCCCCAGTCCCAGCTCAGGGCTGTGTACAGCCTGAGGCCTGAAGTCTCCTGCAGGGGTCTGGGTGGCCAAGGGAGCGATGGTGCCGCCATGGCTGACCGGCCCTCTCACCTCGGCCCTGCCTCTCACTGCCCTCCCTGAGTCGCACCCCTTCCCATGGGGCCGTGCCAGTGTCCTGCTCGCTCCAACACCTGTGCTCATTTCCTCCCCCCCCCCCCCAGACAGGGGTGGGTGTGGCCTGCTGCCTCTCACTCCCGAGAAGAGGATTAGAGTGACCAATAGTGACCCACCTGGGGGAGCAACAGGGCCAAGGGCAGGAGTGGCCTGGGGCACCTGCCCTGGCTGACCTCAGCACTGCTTGGGCCTGCCCTGGGGGGATGGGGAGGAGCCGGTAGCGTCCTTCCATTACACAGATGGGGAAACTGAGTCCCAGAGCCCTTGGGACTCGTTCAGGATCACAGGACAAGTGAACCGAGTAGATAGGCGTGCGGAGGGTGGGCACTGAGAGCCCCACTGCCCGCCTTGCCCCCCAGCCCCAGCTCTCTGGGCTCCGCAGTGGCCAGGCTCTGGCCTTCTGGACAGAGCGGTGATTTTCAGCCCATTTTCAGCCACAGGCGTTTTTACAATACGCAACACCTGACTCTTTAGTCGGGGCACCGACCTCTTTTCCCTCAGATCATCAAGTTAAGAGATGACGACAACCAACCCAATAGCAATTGGGTGTGAATGAACCCTAAGCATACCTGTTTTTTTGGTCCAGTCTGCAACAATATATTTTTCGTTGTGCTGCAAAATTTTAATAATTAGCTTACATGTACCATGCAATGAAAAAGGGCGAAAATCACTGGATAGAGTGACCGTGTCCATCCTGCCTGGGCCAGGGCCGGAGGGGAGCACGGGCCCAGGGTGGACGCCCCTCGGCCCCGATTCCTGAGCGTGCCACGCCGCTCGGTGAGGCACTGACGCAGAGCGGCGAAGAGCCCAGGCTTCGGGCCGCACCGTCTGTGTTTGAATCCTAGTCCTCAGCTTTGAGCTGTGAAATGTCAGGCAAGTCGGTTCATCTCCTCGACCCTCAGTTTCTTTATCTGTAAAGTGGGGACAGTAAAACCTCCTGCTCTGTGTGTGGGGGGGGTACTGAATGGAATACATGCGGAAGGCTTTGGTGCCCAGCCCGTGGCCCCATCGCTGTCCTGCCGGCCTGCCTGGCGGGGGGTGGAGCAGGCCTTGGTTTGGATTCCATGAACCGCCCTGAGCCCTCACCTGTGTTTCCTTTCTCCCCGCCCCCCACTCCCAGGTTTCCTCGGGCCTTCACAGGAGCACAGCGCCTACCAGACGATCGACTCGCCTGAGGCCCCAGCAGACCTCTATGCAGGCCGGGAGGGCAAGGGTCACAGCCCGCAGGAGTACTGAGGCCAGCCCCGCTGCGCCGGGCCCCAGCTTGGGGGCCAGGATGACGAACTGTAGGGGAAGTCTGGTCCGCTGGCCTTCCTCGTGCCCTGGATGCCGTTCTAGAGCTGTACCTGGTCCCCTCCTTGGACCTGCCGTGGAATGTGCCCTCCTGTGCCCCATCTCAGGTGTTGCCTGAACGCCCCTGCGCACATGCCTGTCCCCAGGTCCCCAGGGCCTCCCCTCCCTTCCATGTACCCCACTGGTTCCAGGCGGGGAACTGTGGCCACTTTCTTCACCTCCACCCTTGGCTCCTACGTGCAGGCTCCAGGCCAAGCCACGCCTGAGGCTGGCAGAGCCCAGCCTCCAGGGGCCAGAGACGCCCCTGTCCCCGCCTCCCTGTTTGTCCAGCCCTCCCACAGAAGGCCTGTGGGCTTCCGGTTGTGCTTCGCCCCAGGAGCCGTCCATCAGAGGGGGGTGAGGTCTTTGTGCTTCTCACTGCCTGGTCGGTTGGTCCCAGGAACCCCCGGGTTGGAGGTGGGAACTGCCTGCTACACCTGCCACCTGCCACAGCATCCCCCTGCCCTTCTCAGAGCCATGGCATTAAATTTCGAGGATTTGGGTAGCAGGGTGTGTGTGTAGCCATGTTCGCTATCCCAGCTGCCGGGCCTGCCACTGCTGGGAGGCTTTGTTCTGTGAATGCCCAGGGTGCCGGGCTGAGCAGCCTGTCCAGTCGTGGCCAAGGAGGCAGGGGCTCCCGGTCAGCGGTGCCCATCGTGCTGAGGCCCCTGCAGAGGAGGACAGTCAGCGTGGCACAGGGAGGTCTGTTTCTCTGGATCAGATGACTCAGCTGATGGGTGGGTCTTGCTGCGCCACTGGCTGGCTGTGTGTCCTTGGGCAGTGCAGCCTCTCTGACCTCCGTGTCCTTTCAGAACTAACACCTGCCCGAGCGTGATGATGCCCGCAGAAGGGCCCTGAAACGACAGCCAAGTTGGTAGTGGGGTTGCTCCTCGAGCTGGGGCGAGGTTGGGTCTGAAGGTGATGGGCAACCTCTTCCTGTGTCTTGGCCGCGGAGCTGGCTGGAACTGCTGCCTGTCTAGAAGCTCTGAGGGTCCCTTGCCCTGGACCCCACCCCACTTCAGTGGGGGTGGGCACTGAGCATTGGCCACAGGTGTCTGGCTCAGCCTGGCTCGTCCCCACTATGGAGAGGTCAAGGCCCTGAGCACAGCCCCCACCATCCTCCTGTCTGTATCCATTAGGGCAGCGAGTGCCTGCTGGTGCTGAGGGCTGAGTCTGGGGCCTGTTCTCGGGGAGCAGACTTTTAGAGGCTGCTGTCGGGAGGCAAGAGCCCTGAAGGAAGAGAATGTGACCTCTGGGAAGGGATGCTTGCACTGGGGCCCAGGGACACTGAGCCACAGCTGTGGACACCCAGAAACAGCTTGTGCGGGCCGTACCACCCAGACACCAGTGTGGCTGGAGCTAGAGGGCAGGGAGGGAATGAGGTCAGGGAGGCGGCAGGGCCCAGATGGTGCAGGATTAGTGGGTCATTTTGAGGACTTGGGCGTTTACTGAGTGAGACAGGCAGAGTTGGTCGTGGTCTGACTTGTCCTGAAAGCACAGGTGCTTTCTGACTTGGGTTGGGAGGTGGGGCGGTGACAAGCGGTCATGGGGCGCAGAACACCAGGTTCGGCTCTCAGTCCCAGGGCCGACTCGGATCCTAGCGCCCCTTGTTCCCCGGTCCTGGAGGTGCCGAGGGGGAAACGCCTCGCTTGATGGACAGTGTTTCTCTCAGCCAAGATCAGCTTCGGTAGTGGGCATCCATCCCCCAGGCAGGTCTTCCCCCGGCGTCTGACTGGGGAACATCTGCTGACTCTCATGCCGAGTTGGAAGGACCCTGTCCCCTCCCCGAGGAAGACACACAGCAGTGGGGCTGGCCAGGTGCCATCTGGCACCCAGGCTTAAGCAGAACAAAAGGGCATGCGTTGAGCTACAGAAAGACATTGCCATACAAGGTGACTGGCTGGGCACGGGCTCTGTGGGCTCCCTCTATTGGTGAGGAAGCGTCCAGGCCCAAGGCCCGCGGTGGCAACTCGGAGTGGAGCTGGAAGACTCGCAGAAGACTGCCTTCCCCCACAGGGCCGCTGCTGGATAGGGCTCAGTGATGCGGGAGAAAGAGCAGTTCATGACCGCAAGGTTTGGGGTCAGAGCTGCCACCAACCCGGGGTAGGGGCAGACAGCAAGAAGGCCAGGGTTAGGGCCAGGCCGGGAACTTGGTCTCAGGTGGGCCACACGAGGTCATGGGGCTTCCAGCCGGCCCTTCTCACTGCTGTGTTTTTCTTAAAAACGCCAGCTTCTAAAAGGACTCGGAAATAGTCTATAGATTGTGGTGTCTGACATTCTAGAAACTTAACCACAGGAAGCAAATTCCTCTTGCCTCCGGTCTGCTGGAGAGAGCTGAAATGGCTTGTGTAGCTCACAAATAATGTGTTCCTTGTTTTCACAAAGCTGAGCTTCCAGAGGAGGAAGCCAGAATAACTGTCCCAGGGCGGTCACTGTCCCTGTTGACCAAAACCAGACCAGAAGCAGCGGAACCCACAGATTCCCCACCCCACCCCCCTCCACCCACTCAGGACAGCCCTCAGGGTCTCTGGAACGGTCTGGAAATTCCAACTCTTTCAGCCTCCCTCCAAACCAGCTCTGGAGCCAGCAAGCCTTGGTTTGAGTCCAATTGCCCTCCACCACCGGCTGTGTAAGACAGTCTCTTCACTGTGTCTCAGTTTCCTCATCTGAAAAATGGGGATAATAGTGTCAAACTTGGGATTAGTGAGGATTGAAAATTAGCAACATGTTTAATAAATGTTAGCTCTCATTATCTGTATTCTGAGACAGGGAGGGAAGGAAAGAGTTTTTCTCAATCCTCTTGGGGGGGGTCCCCAGCTGGGTCTGAAAATGAAACTGACAAAGATAAACAGGAGAAAAGTACAAATTTTAATAGAACTTTTATGTGTACCTGGAAGACTTCACAAGAGACTGAAGATCCAAAGAAGTGGCCAGAACAGAAAGCTTTTATAACTTTTAGACAACAAACCTGTTAAGAAATGACAAGACACCCCTAGCTGGTGTAGCTCACTGGATTGAGTGGGGCCTGTGAACCAAAGGGTTGCTGGTTCAATTCCCAGTCAGGGCACATGCCTGGGTTGCCGGCCAGGTCCCCAGTGGAGGCCATGTAAGAAGCAACCACACATTGATGTTTTTCTCCTTCTCTCCCTCCCTTCTCTCTCTAAAAATAAATCTTAAAAAAAAAATGACAAAAGGATTTGGGGGGGGGTGGTAAATGGTGAAGCAACTAGGAAGATAAGGCTTAGTTTCCCAAGGCTGGTTTGTACTGAGTTCTGGGCCAGAAATCCCCTACCTCCAGTAAGAACTCTTGGAAGAGGGGCCTGTCTCGTCAGAGATTTATGACCTGTTTCAGGAAGGAGAGTGAAAGTGGGGGGGGGGGGAATGTTGGAGTGACCTTGCTTCTGTCATTGAACTCCTTCAGCCTCGGACACCAGTCTGCCCCGGTGTCGTGTATTGGGGTGGCATGTCCCGAATCTCAGCGCCAGGCCGTCTGGCCATCCATTCACCCACTCATTCATTATTAATTCCACAAACATTTACTGAGTGCTTTCTACAAGTTTTCAAAAGATGGACAAAATGTCAGGAAGTAAAGCAGAGATCTTCCTCACCGGCCACAGCAGAACTCCGAGGGCCCAGTTCTCCAGGTGCCTGAGGGCGTGTATGCACACCTGTCGCTCCAGAGACTCTCAGCAGAGTCGCCAGGTGGTTACGACAGGTTACATCTCGGGGATCTACGTGCAGAATCACACATCGGAATTGGAAGGAAGCCTAGTGCCTCCCTAGCCAGGGGTTTGAAAAGTCTGTCTTATTTCAAACCCTTTGTTCAAAAGAAATCTCACCCGATATGTGAAACAGCCAGGCGGATGGCGCATGTCCCCTGCCACCACTGTCATTCTGACATAGGAGCCCTAGAACACCAACTGATGACAACCCTAAATCCTCATTTCACAGCTGGAAACACAGATCCAGAGGGAGGAGACTCGGTCGAGGACACCGCAGCAAGAATCACTAGTCTCGAAGAAAGAGTTAAAGGAATTACTCAGAACGCACCAGAAAAAAGGCAGAAACTATGAGACGTTAAGAAATAAAGGACAGAGTGAGAAGGTCCAACATCAATATAATAAGAGAGGGGTGACCTTTAGAAGGAGAATGGCAGAGAATGTTCTAAAATAGACTGACACCAAATTTCAGATCTGGAAGCCAAATAACCACCAAACAGAATAAGAAGAAATCCACACTCACAGTTCTCACAATGGAACTTGGTTCACTCACCGCTGTGTTTTCAGAATCTGGAACAGTGCCTGCACCAGTAAGTCAGCGGTCCCCAACTTTTTGCACCAGGAACCGGTTTTACAGGGACTGGCCACTGGGGGGTGGAGTAGAGAGTTGGACAACGGGCGGAGCTGGCGGGTGGGGTGGGGGTGGGTCAGGAGGCGGAGCTCAGGCGAGCCTCTGTGAAGGCTCCGTTCCTAATAGGCCACAGTCCACACCGGGCCTTGGGGACTCCTGCAGTAAGTGCTTCAATTCCACACGGGTAAAATGAATGGACGAAGGAACACTACAGAACACCAGACACACGTTAAGATCCCCAAAGCAGCCAGGTAGAAAAGATAGATTTCCTAGAGGGGATGACAGTCACAGTGGTGACTGATAACAGCTGCCACCATCAATGTCAGAAGACAGGAATGTCATCTTGAAAGTACTGATAAAAATAACTGTCCACCTCGAATTGTGCTAGTGAGTTATCACTCAGGGGTGAGGGTGAAATGAAGACATTCGGAGAAATGACAATGGGGTTTATCACTGACAGACCTTCGAGAAAGAAACGTCTAAGGAATGTTTTTGTGGAAGGACATTTTTTCCATGAGGAAGATCTGACAGGCACAAAGGAAATAGTAGATGTGGTTCAGTGTTCATGACAATAATAATATATTTCAGGAGGAGCTGACCAGACACAGTATTATAAAGCCTTTTTTTTTAGGGGGTGGGGGTCTGGAAGGAAGGTGAATACTGGATTAACTTTAGACTTAGTCAAATGAAATACACATATTAAAATGTCTTGGATAACAACTGAATGATAGAAATACAACGTGTAAGTCCCAAGCCAGTTGGGGGGGGGGGAGATTTGCAAAAAAGAGAAAAAGAAATGTGATACTTGACCATTAGCAAGCACAAAAATAAGATGGTTTGCAGAAGTGTGTCATAATCATAATACTTGTAAATAATTTTTTAAAAATTCCAGGCATGTTGTGTTCATAGAGCACACACCTAAAACATATGGACACAGCAAGGCTGAAGAAACTAAAAGGTTGAAAAAGTTAAGTTCAATCCAGCAGGTTTAGGAGGAGGTATTAGAGGCCTAGACTGACTCAGGAAGTGATAATCACCCGCTCCTTCAAGCACTACGTTAGAATTTGGAAGGCCAGCCCTGGTTGGCATAGTTCAGTGGATTGAGGATGGGCTGCGAACCAAAGGATTGCAGGTTCGATTCCCAGTTCCCAGTCAGGGCACATGCTCCAGGCACATGCCTGGGGCAACATGAGAGGCAACCACGCATTAATGTTTCTCTCTCTCTCTCCCCCCGCCCTCCACCACCCTCTCTAAAAACGAACTGGAACTGGTGAAACCGCTGTCAAATCAAGCCAGGGTAACAGAGTGGGTGTTACCACTCCCCTTTAGAAGAACCCTGAGGTTCCGGGGAACCGGTCGCGTGGTCTTTGGTCTTCCGACTTCGGGTCCAGTGCCCCTTCGGGTCGGTGCTCTTTTGAAAAAACGCATTTCAGACAGAGGACGGAGTGGGCAGGGGGCAGGGTAAAGCCGAGTGCTGTGGGGAAGGGCATGGACAAGGACTTGAAAGTGGAAAATGCCTGTAGGGTGGATTTCAGCCAGTTTCAGAGGGACCTGGAGGCCGGCAGTCTTACTCGTTTGGCGCGAGCAAGAAGTTTGCACAAGGCCACGTGCTTTTCCAGCGGAGACACAGCTCCAGGGGGAGGGCTGGGCGGCCAGAACCCCCCAGGTCCAGGAACGCGGGCGCCCCCTGGCCCCGCCTCGGGCCCATACAGGCTCCGACAGCGGAGGCCGCCCACAGCTAGGGGCTCAGGGGCACACTGCGCACCCTCGAGGCAGCTGCGGGACCCTGCGGGCTCGCTCTCTGACGTTGACCGCCACCCCCGCACCCTTTGCGTACTGGGATCGTTACCGGTCCTGCCCGAGGTCCCCCTCCAGGTTCAAATCCAACTGAGTAAAAAGGACCGGAGGAAGACAAACACACTGGAGGGCAAGTTCAGGAGGGCAGGGAAACTGATCACAAGTTCTTTTGGTGGGAAGAGTAGGGAGGCGCCGCTGTCCTTAATTGGAGTGGAGTGGAAAGGGGGCACATAGTGCGGGGGGGGGGGGCGGTTAGAGCAGACAGAGAGCCCCGGTGGGGTGGGGAGAAGAGAAAATGAGGGGGATAGAAAGGGACCTGTGGGTTGAGCTGTCTTAAGTCTCTTTTGGAAAGAGGTGGGGCGTGGGGCTGCCCTGGTGAGGAAGCCCGGCTGTGGAGTCGGGCCCCGAAGGCCGCTCTGCAACTGACCTGGGCGGAGCAGGGAGCCCTTTTAAGCTCCAGTTTCCTCTTCCCTAGAGCAAAGCCCTAATTCTTTGAGCGGCGCTGCAGATGAAATGATAGGATGCGTCCTCTAGGGGGCGTGCGCTTAGTATGGCGCATTCCCTTAGCACAGTGGGTGTGTGCCAGGTACTATCCCATATGCTGTATTCACAGCATGGAAAAGAGACACAGTGGCTCCCAGGCCACTGGAGAGAGAGAGGCAAACACTGGCTTCCTCGCCTGTTAGGCGGTGCTAAGTGATGGACAAAGAGCTAAATCTCCCCGAGTGAAGAGAGGAGGGGGTGGGGAGAGAGCTGTAGTGGAGACAGGGGTCAGGGAGGGGCTCCCTGGTATGTTTGAGGCAGGACTTGAAGGAGAAGCGAGAGGGAGAGACAGTTCCAGGCAGAGGAAACAGCAAGCGCAAAGGCCTCGAGGCCGAAGCGCAGGCAGCATTTTGGGAGAACAACAGGGAGGCTGGTGTTTTTGGAGCCGAACAGGAGTAGGGATGAGGTTGGTAGGGTAATCAGGGCTAGGTGACTGGGGCAGGGGTCAGCAAAGGTTTTAAAAGCTAAGTAGAGTTGATATACATTCTTATATTGGTTACATTAGTCAGGTGTACAATGTAGGGATTCAACTTTTTTTAAAAGATTTTTTAAATTTATTTTTAGACAGAGGGGAAGGAGGGAGACAGGGAGAGAAACATCAATGTGTGGTTGCCTCTCACACGTCCCCTACTGGGGACCTGGCCCACAGCTCAGGCACGTGCCCTGACTGGGAAGTGAAGTGACAACCCTTTGGTTCCCAGGCCCATGCTCAATCCACTGAGCCGCACCAGCCAAGTCGGGATTTGACATTTTTTATCCCTCACAGTGTGATCATCCCACTAATTCTAGGAACCATCTGTCACTGTGTAAACTTATCACAATATGTTTTGACTATATTCCCCTTTCCCTTTTCACTCATTCCCCAGCCCCCTCCCTTCTTAAACAAACTTTCCTAAAAGCCAGAAAGTAAATGTGTTAGGCTCTGGGGGCACCACGTGTCTGTTGAAACTATTCGGCCACATGGTGAGAAAGTGGCCATAGACAAGCCATCAGCCATTAGACTGGCTGGGTCCCCATGTCCCTTTGTATAACCAGCAGGCTTCACTGAGGACCGAGCGTGTTGGGGAGTCTTTGCAGCTGTTCGAGTTGAGTCCGGACATGCGCTGACCTAAGTTCTCAAGGTCACTCTTGCCACCGTGAGGAGTAGGCCACAGGGTGAGGGGCACAGGGCGGAGTGGGAGACCAGTCAGGAGGCAGGAGGTGGTGATCGCTTGGCCTAAGGAGGTGAGGATGGAGGCGGTGAGCAGGGGCTGGATTCTAGATATCTTTGGAAGGCAGAACAGGTAGGATTAGCTGATGGACTTCGGGTGGTGTGCGGGAGCAGGAAGTCAGGGTGGCTCCAGGATTGTCCCCTGGGCCAGCAGGAGGCTAAAGATGCCATCCTCAGAGACGGGACGATGGGAGTCTGCCTTAGAAGGGCCTGATGCTGACATCACTTGGGACGCGTGTGTCAGGGAAGGGAGGAGGCCCTGGCACCGCCAACACTGAAAGGAGAAGAGGAGGTGGTCCCTTTGCAGTGGAGACTGGAAAGAGATGCCGACAGGAGGGAGGGGGGCTGAGAGGTGGCGTCCTGGAGGGCGCCAAGGAGGACCGGTGACCACTGTCCTACTGCAGCCTGGGAGCTGGCCAGGGACCTGCACCTCGGAGGTCACCTGGAGGAAAGCAGCTTTGGGGTCCGGGGGCGGTTGATCGCAATGAGGTCAGCAGAGGTAGCAGTGGGAGAAGAATTAGGATTTGGGTGTGATGAGAAGGGAAGAAGTTTGGTGTTTTTGCTCCTTGTTTTTTTTAAATATTTTATTTCTTTTTTTTTATTTTTAGAGAGAGGGGAAGGGAAGGAGAAAGAGAGGGAGAGAAACATCAATGTGTGATTGCCTCTCACACGGCCCCCACTGGGGACTGGGCCTGAAACCCAGGCCCAGGCCCGTGCCCTGACTGGGAATCAAACTGCGACCCTTTGGTTCGCAGGCCCGCACTCAATCCACTGAGCTACACCAGCCAGGGCTGCTCATTGTTTTTAAAGATGGAAAAAATACCCCTCTGTTTGAGTGCTGATGGGAATGAGTCAGGAAGGAAGGGGGAAGTGTAAGGATGGGGGAGGGGACTTTGAGAACAGGGTGGGGCTATGGCACAGCGTAGCCCGTGTCCTGGCCCCCAAGCTCTGTGCCCTGGTGTGGTTTAGTCAGCTGTGTGGCGTGCACATTGTCGTGGGTCCTTTTCCTGATTCAGAGAATGGCATCTCAGAGACTGGTGATGGGATGGCCCTGGGTGCTGCCCTTCGGCAGGGGACACAGGGGACCCAGAGTTCAGGGGAGGGTCTGGCTGGGGGTGGGACCAGATGGGATGGGGGAGGGGTGGGAAAGGCAGTGGGCATGAAGCTGGTGAGGGAGCCGGTGGTGGTTCTTTTTGATGGCCCTGTTTTGTGGGTACAATAGCCAGCAAGGTCTGCCAAAGGGCGTGTGGGGAGAAGAGGTGGCAGAGGTTCAAGGACAGGAGAAAATGTGAACTAGTATCCAGACGGGTGGGGAGGAGGGACTGGTGGGACGGAGGGGAGGAGATCTGATCCTCCAGCAGCCTTTTGGGACTGAAGGCGGCGACTCTGGAGTGAGGTCGCAGGGCAGTTTCTTTAGCTACTCTGACCAGCGTTGTCACTCCACGGAGCGAATGTGGCAGAGAGGGGGAGCCAAGCGTGTGCAAAAGCGGTGATTATAATCCTGGGTGGTTAAGTGCAGGAGCAGAGAGGGACATCCGTGGGCAAGAAGAGACCAAGGGGGTGGCGTGGCGGCGAGAGGAGGGGTCACCGAAGGGGAAGACTGTTAGCATCGGGCACTCAAGGGAATGGGCTGGAAAAATCAGGGGCGGGCTCTGAAACGGAAATTGTGGAGGGGTGCAGTTATTTTGGATGACAAAGTCTGGGAGGGTCTCGGGAGCTGGTGTCTGAGGTCGGGGGAAGGGCAGGATGGTAGGAGAGGAGAAGGCCAAGGACCCCACAGGCCAGGAGCTGGCGGGATGCTTGGTGTGGATGGTGAAACCGCCCAGAACGGAGAGAGGTGCGTGTGAAGAAAGTGTCCCTGAGCCAGGAGCTGAAGTCTTCAAGGAAGCAGGGGGCACAACCAGCGCTTCCTTCATCGAGTACCTGGAGCTTGGAGCCCAGTGTTTTAGAGAGGAAGGAGGGAGAATGTTCAGGAACTGGAGACAGGGAACAAAGAGAGCCTCACCCCCTCTAGGGGCTGGGCAGGGACACTGCAAGACAAGAGGAAATGACCGTGATGGAAAGAGGGTCTTCAGGGGTGCAGGGCGAGGAGGCTCCAAGGGGGCCTGACCGGGACAGCTGGGGCTGGGTTAACCAGGGGTGCTGGTGAAGGGTGGGGTGTGGCCCAGGGCTGGGGTGTGGCCTGGCGGGAGCCAGGGCCCTCTGTCCTCGCCCCTCAGATCTCATGTGATCCAACAGGCCGCTGGCTGTGGGGTGACCAAGGACACTGCTGCCCTCCTGACTTTGCCCTGAAGCCCATGGAGCTGAGGCCTGATGCCAGACACAAGGAGAACGTGCCCCCCAGGCCTGCGACCCCCCTGAGGCCAGGCAAGAGGCTTAGTGGGTCTGGGTTGGAGGGGGCAGGAACAGGGTCCCCCCCGGAGCCCCTTTCCCAGGCAGGCCAGCCCAGGCCCTTGCCGATTCCAGAGATTAGCTGTATTGGGCCAGCTGGGCCAGGACAAAGGCTTCTCAGCCTGGGGCCCAGGGGGAGGTGAGGGAGGGAGGTCAGGAAGAAGGTGGACCAGGAACAGGCCCGGCTTGGGCCCCTGGGTGAGGAGGGGCTCCCACAGGCCCATCTATGCCAGGGATGGTGGGCTGGAGAACCTCTAAGCTCAGGTGCCTGGAGCTTCAAGAAGGCTCAGGGGGGGTGCAGCCAAGGGTAGCAGCAGCCCAGAACTAATTCAGATTGTGCTTCTCATGCCAGTTTCTTTGTGTTCTAGCTGTGTGCTTGTGGGCAAGTTGTTTAACCCCTCTGAGCTTTAGTTCCTACTTACAAACTTTCATGGCCCACACTGTATTTGCCAGGCCTTCCCAGGCATGGCGCCAGCTCCCAGGAGGCCCAGGCTCCGATGGAATGGCCTTGGGGGTTGGGGCAGTCGCAGGGAGGGCTCCAAGGCCCACCCCTTGGTGCCTAGAGTAGCTTGCTTGGAGCCGCGTGATAGGCTGGGTCTTGCTTTCATCTCCAGCTGCTGCCTACTCCCGTCGCCTCTTTGCTCAAGCTGGAAATCAGGGATTCGTCCTTGACGAGTCCCTTTCCCTCACCCTCTTCTAAGCCTCCACCTCCAGGGCAGATCCGAGTCTGTCTCCTCTCCACCCTCCCTGCCACCCCTGACCCCAGCCCCGTCACCTCTAGTCTGGGACCCTCCACAGCCTCCTTGCCTCTGACCCTGCCCTGTCCCTGCTCCAAGCAGCCAGGCACAGTCAGACCATGTCACTGCTCTTGCTCAAGTCCCTCAGGCCCTCACTGCCCACTGGCCAGCAGAGCCAGGCAGACCTCCAAGTCCCAGCTCACTGCTGCCTGGGGCCCTGTCCCTCCCCGGCTCTGAGGCCTGCCAGGCCCCAACTGTCCCACTTGAGCACTGAACACTGAGTTCCCCCACCCTCAGGGCATGACCGTCTCCACTCTCTTTAGAGCCACGGAGACTCCTGGCGACACAGAGCCTGGATGTTGTGCTGGGCCGGTGGGTGCCCAGGGGCCAGGCTGAGAGGGGAGGGCCTGCTGCCCCTGCACCCTCCCTGGGCACAGTGCTTCTCCCGGATGCCTGCCGAGTCCAGACCAACCTGGCCAGCCCTGGCCCCCGCCTGGGCCGTGCCCTAAAGCCCACAGCTGGTCCTAATGGGCTCATCAACTCAAGCTTCCAGCAGCAGAGCAACCTGCAGCCCCTGCGCAACCTCCCCCAGCGAGGAGCTCGAGCGTTGGCCGTCCAGCAGAGTAACCTGGGCATAGGGGAGGCCAGCTTGGCCGAGTGTGGAATTCGCAGCAGCCCCCACCTCTGGTCGGAGCCTCCAGAAAGCTTCTGGCCTCACGTGATGCCCCTAGGAAGTCCCCTACACCGAGGGCCATCCTCTACCCCAAAGCAGTCCTGGCTGCTGCCCACAGATGCCCCATGCCTGGACTTCAGGCCCGCTGCGTGCCATGCCCCGGTCGATGGCCACACACAACCAGGCCCCAGCTTCTGGGGTGGCCTGGGGAGCCAAACCTCGGGGCTCATGGGAGAACCCCTCACCCTGGAGGACCTGGCTGTTCCTGCCAAGAGCCAGGCTCAGGCCCGGTCCCAGGCTGCCATGTCCCAGCTGCTGGCCTCCCTGCAACGCCTGGAGCACGAGGTGGCCCGCCTCAGGTGCCAGGGGACCCAGGAACCCCCAGTCCCTTTGCAACAAGAGCCTTGGACCAGCGATGGCCAGGACCTCCCTGCTTGCCCCCAGGCCTACCGTCCTGTTCTTGCTTCCTGGAGCAAGAGGAAGAGGTACCCCCACTGTCTCAGGGGAGCTGTGAATTTCCCAGGGACCCTAGGGGCCCAGCTTGGGCCCTCAGACTCTCAGGCAGGCAGCAAGCCCTCATCGCCACCACCAGGGACCACTTCGGAGGTGCTGACTGGGGACTTCCTCAACCCTGAGCAGGATGTCCTTCCTGCCTGTGCCCTAAGGCAAGGAGAGAGGCCGCACGCAGCAGCAGGTAGAGGGGGTCCCCCCTGCTCCCTCAAGGAGTGGGCAGCAGAGAGGCCAGACTCTGCTCTTCCACCTTCTCCAGAGCAGCCAGGGTTGTCCTCCCTGGGCAGGAAGGAGGGGCAGAGGCCCCCGGGGAGCAGGTCAGCAGGGAGACTTCCAGCCACGGCCCCAGCTGGAAATGCCCTGCAGGTAGAGGCCAGAGTCTGGGAGCAGGATTATGGGGGAACTTCTCACCGCCCCGTTACACCCTGCTCCCTCAGAAAGGAAGGCCAGCGGGCAGGTCTGGACAGAGTGTCCTGTCCTGCTTGCTTCTTGGCCTGAGAGCTGCTTGTCCTTTTGTTTTCCAAGAACAAAGCCTGAAACACTGTGAGCCTGGAGTGGGAGACAGCCCGGTGAGTTCCTGGCTGTGGGCTGGGACAACTCCTGTCCCATTTGCCTGGGCGAAGGGACACTAGGGCCTGACGGAGAGGAGTCCCTGATGGCAGGTCCACAGAGGCTTTAAGGAGAAGGAACTTCCTCCACACTGTCCCTGCTGGGGATGACAGGGGGCCCCAGGGCCCTTTTCTTGGGAAAGGGGTGCTGTGGGGGGACCCAGTTCCAGGTTTGGCCTCCCAAGGAAAGCCCTGCCTCTTGGGCTCCATCTCTCCATTCATTCGTGCATTTCCAGAGTGGCAGGGTAGCCTAACGGCTAAGACCGCAGGCTTTGGAGCCTGATGGATGTGTTTGGCCCTGTGCCTGCCCCTCCCTGGGGCTCTCTCTTGGTGCACATTTGAGGCCACAGCTGACTTCCCTCTTCCCCTTCTCTCATGACCCAGTGGAGAAAGCTGACTTGGCAGCAGAAACGAGAGCAGCCCTACATCCAGGCTGGGCCAGGACCCCCACCCTCTGGGGGAGGCCCCTCAGGAAGGAAGCCAGCGGTGGACCCTGCCCAGTGAAGCAAGTAGCTGGGGACACCTCAGGTTGCTCAGTGCAGCTTGGGGAGCGCTGGTAGCCTTCCCTCCTTGTCCCCCATTTCCCCTCCCCAACAAGAGAATGAGGTTGCAAACAGCAGCTGTGGGCAAAGATCTGTGCAGAGTTGTCTATCGCAGCGCTGTTTATCCTGGTAAAAACTGTGAAACAGCCTACACACCCAGTGGGCGAGGAAACCATGGCTTACACGTGCGGTGGCTGCTTGGCAACTGTTCAGTGTGATGTTTATGAAGACGAAGATTCCCCCCCTCCTTTCCTTCATCTTCATTCCCATACCTTTAATTTTTACTTCTACCCGTGACAGTCGTGTATGCTTGATTTGACAAATCCAATTGAAAAATCCAATATCGTTGGAAATGGTATCCCCTCCCTATGTATCCTCCTTCCTAGAAGTGTTTTTATGGGCATTTGTGTAGAATTTTTGATGGCAAGGAATGATGGTTATGACACTGTAAAATGAAAAAAAAAGGATAAATAAGTAGTACCCAAGATATTTTCTCTGTGCACCTCAAACAGTGCATTAAAAAAAAAAGACCAGAAGGAAAAAATACTAAAATGTTCCACAGTAATGTGAAGGACTTAACACTATTGAGTTGCTCACCTGGAAATGGTTAAAATGATCAATTTATGTTATGTGTCTCTTATCACTCTTAAATATAAGAATAAGAAAATATTTCATCCCTCAGCCCCCCAAAACCCACAGTGCAAATAGTGCCTATTTCTGGAACAGTGGGGTTAAAGTTGGCTATTTGCTTCATTTCTTCAGTTTTCCACTACTGTGATATAATGTTCTTATTTTTTGTTTTAAAAACTCTTTAAAATAATTATTTAAGTAATATCTATTTTACTACATGTGCATTGCAAAAAATGCAAATAGTATTGAAGAGAAGGAAGCAAAAACAGAACCCCCTCCCCAAATCCCTCATGTAATCGGGGGTAAGTGAGCTGCAGACCTGGGGCGGCTCGGCGCCCCTTTGCTCCCACAGACAGGCAGCATCACCCCGGGCTGGGTTGGGCAGGTTGCGTCATGTGCCCTCCCCTGATCCTGGGCATCAGTTTCTTTCTGCATAACTTTCCTTTCAGTCCAGGAAGTCTGAAGGAGGAGGAGGGAGCCCGGCCAGTCCTAGCACCTCCTGCTGGAGGAGAGCTCGGATCCAGCAGGCCCTGCAGCAATTGGCTCGTGAGAGGCGGGGCCTGGGAAATGGGCGGGGGGGGGGGGGAGGCAGAGCTGGGCCGGGCAGGGCTGAGCCCTCACAAGGGACTGGACGGGGGTCCTCAGTGAACGAGTGTTTATTGAGCATCCTCTCTGGCAACTTCCCAGACACGATCTCATTTGAGGCTCTCGGTGACCTTGGCAAGGTATCGTGCCCATTTCACGGCTGGGGAGAGACTGAGGCAAAGAGAAATTAAGTGCCCAGTTTGAGGACACACAGTATGTGTGATCTGAGATTCACGTGCCATTGACGCTGGCATGGGCCCAGCAGAAGCTTGAGTGTTAGACCTGGAGCGGCCCTTAGATGTCATTCATGGGAAACTGCAGCTCAGAGCTGAGGAGGAAATGGCCAAACGGCTGCAGGCCACACAGCTGGGTGTCCCAGGTGTCCCTGGCCCTCCTGGCCTGGATCCTTCCCTCCACTGGCTCTCTATCCTCTCCCTTTACAGCCTGCCTCCCGAGGTGCCGCGGGAAGGAATGGGCCAGGCAGGAGCAGAAGGGGGTCCAGAGAGAGACCCTCCAGGGCCATGCCGAGCACTTGGAGCATGGGAAGGCCCCCCCAGGCCTGGAGCTCTCCTGCTGCAGATACAGCCTGGGTGGCCGCACTGGCCCCCCAGCACTAGAGAGCCTGGCTCTGCAGGTAGGCGGAAGTGGGAGGGGGCGGAGCAGGCTCCCCCTCCCCAAGGCAGAGGCAGGGGCAGAGGCGGAGGCAGATGGTGGGATGCAGCTGGGAGGTGCCCCGTGAGTTCTGGACTCCTAGTCTTCAGAGGCAAAGATGAAAGGAAGAAGTGAAGGCAGCTGCCACGCACTGAGAGCCTAAGACCACCCAGGAGCTGGGTTAGTTCTAAGGAAAGCATGCTGCCACTTGCTTGTCACCTGCCTCACGTGGAACGCATGGCCAGGTTGGCGGACAGACAGCAAATCCGCGGTCAGGAGGGGCGGGTGCAAACACCCCGAGTTTAGTGTTTGAAGGACAGGAACGCAGATCTGTAACAGTGTTTTCCTCTGTTAACTCTTTAATTATGGGGCATTTTTACCTCACACGGAAATAAAGAAAGTGGCAGAACACACCTGTGTAAAGCACGTGGCTTCCAGAAAATCACCTGGGAAAACTTGTTTCAAAGGCACCCCACCTACTTCCCCCTCGGTGTTATTTTGAGGCAAATCCTAACCATCTCTTTTTTTCAAAAAGATTTATTTATTTATTTTTAGAGAGGCAAGGGAGGGAGAGAGAGAGACACACACATCGATGTACAAGAAAAACATGGATCGGTTGCCTCTCACATGCCCCCAACCAGGGATACAGCCCGCAACCCAGGCATGTGCCCTGGCCAGGAATCGAACTGACAAACCTTTTGGTTTGTAGGCAGGTGCTCAATCCGCTGAGCCACACCAGCCAGGGCCCAGCCATCTCTTTTAAACAACGTGACCACAAGGCCATGCTCACACCTAAAAATGAACAGTAATTCCTTAATGCCAGCAACTGTCTGGTCAGCCTTCAAATCCCCAATTGTTTTGCAAGCACGTATCTTGTTACAGTTGGTTTGAATCAGGAGTTTAACACAGTCCACATGTTGTAATTGGTTGACGAGTCACTGAAGTCTTTGTAAGCTATGGGCTCCCCTGAAATTTTTTTCCTTGCAATTTACCTGTTGAAGAAACCACATTGCTTGTCCCATTGTTTCCCGCTGTCTGCATTTTGCTGATTGCACCCCTGTGGTAGTTTTCTATGAGAACATTTAACAGAGGGAGCTGACCTTGACCGGAGTCCAGCGGAGGCGTGAAGAATGAAAGGTGGACTAGGATGAGAGGGAACAGGATGGGCAAAGGCCCGTGATGGCCAAGTGCAGAAAACTCAGAAAGAACGGCAGTCGAGCTGCAGCCCTGTTAGTCCGGGGTGGGGGTGCCAGGGGTGGTTTGAGATGAAGTTGGAAAGGTGTGCGGGGGACCTTGCAAGCCTGGGGAGGAGTGGCTTGTTATCATCCACGCAAGGGGACTGTCGCTGGAGTTTAGCAGGGGAGTACAACGGTTTTCTTTGAGATTTGAGAAATTCACCCCAGTTCCCACGTAGGAACCAAGTGGAAGGGCCGAGAGTGGATGTGGGCAGCCGGGTAGGAGGCTGCTGAGGCCATCTAGGCACCCCGAGGTGCTGGCCTCGTGTCCTCACAGCAGCCCCGTTTTACAGATGAGGAAGCTGAGGCCCAGAGGTGAAGTGGCTTCCTCAGTAGTGAGTCTGGCGCAGGGCAGGCGGCTGTGGCTGCCGCCGTCGTGATGAGCGCCTGCGCTTCCTCTCGTCTCTCCCAGGTGTTTTGGTGGCGGGTGGTGAAGAGAGGAGCCCAGCACCTGGATCACCTGGCTGACCACCCGATGGGAGCCCTGAGGATGTCCCTGAAACAGTGGATGAGGGTGAAGGGGCTGCAGGCCTCAGGTGGTTCGAAGGTGACTCAGCTGTCCCTCCCCTGGCAGAAGACAGGTGAGCAAATAGCAGTCCCTCCCACCCCAGCAAGTAGCATCACTTCTGCTCCTTCTGCAGGAGGCGGCGGGGGGCGGGGCATGCTGAATATGAATTGCTGTAATGGGAAGTGGTGGGAGTGGGACCTTTCTCAGGGGAGCAGCCTGATGGGCCTGGGGGGGTTCTGGAGGGGTCCCCAGAATGGGTCAGCCTTGGCTGGACCTCGTCCCCATCGTAAGCTACTCTAAGCAAGAGATTTGGTTCATCTTCCACCAGGAAGGGATATGGACCCTGCTCCAGAGGAGCTCCAGGTGTAGGGGACACATGGCCCCCTACCAAAGCCTGACAGGGGAAGATGGGATCTTTGAGGTGTTCTGGAGGGGTGGGTTTCGGGGTGATGGGAGGGTGAAGCACCCATGAGGGGCGAAGTTCTAAGGGGCAGAGGGATATCCCTGAGGACAAGGCTGATTTGTCTTTTGATTGCTTCTCAGAGAACGGGGCCCCGTGCAGCTCCACCCCTGGAGGGGCCGCATCCCATGTCCTGGGGGTGGTGGCCCCGGCCAGGGGCTGTCCCAGGAGCTGCCCCAGGAATGAGACAGGGGCTCCCTGCGGGAAGCCCACCTCAGACCCGCCCTCTACCAGGTGCTGCTGCTCTGGAGGGCAAGGCTCCCCCAGCGCCAGCGTGCCGAGTAGGTGTCCATAGGCTTGTGACTTGAGGTTGGGCCTGGGGGGACAGGGGTGGGCACGTGAGCAGTGCTCAGCCTGAGAGGAGGGTCCCATAGGGAACAGGCCCCATCCTGCTCCTCCCAGTGGCTCCAGGATGGGGCCTGGTACACTGTGGTGCTCAGTGGGTGTGGGGCCCAGGGGAGGCAGCCCAGGGACACTGAGTCACTGATTGAGCAGAGAGTTGTGAGGGCTCTGTGGTGGGTGGGGGCATAGACACAGGGTTCTACCAAGGGGGCTGGAACCCGACAGGGAGTTTGGTTTAATGTCCTTCCCCTTCCCGGCATCTAGGACCGTCTCTCCCCATCTCCCAGCGGGGTAGGGGCCTCCTGGTGTTTGTCTCCTGGCCATTGTCTCCCAGCGCCTTGCAGGTGCCCAGCCGGTGGCAGACACGCAATACACACTTGCAAATGAATAAGTGAAGGAGCCTCTATTCTAGGTCCCTGCCCCCAGCTGCCTCATCAGCTGGAGAAGCAGCAGCTCAGAGGGGCTGAGCTGCTCACTTTAAATCACACTGCGATTCAGAGGCCAGAAGGTGGGACTCAGAGCCCCAGCTGATGCTTCTCTGTGAGGGGAGCAGCGGAGTCAGGAGGGGCCAGCTTCCCGGACAGGATGGCGGGCAGGACATAAGCCAGCGGTGGCAGAGTTAAGAGTTCTGTCCTTGGAAGCCGTACATCTGGCATCCGTCAGCCCTGCGCCTATTTGGTCCCCTTGGGCTCTCACTCTCCTTTAGTGCACCCCTGGAACTCCAGGGGGGCTCAGCTCACCATGATCCCTCATGATGCAGCCCCCCCACCGTCCTTCCCCTGGTCTCTGGGTGCCAGGGCACAGCCGATGTCCCCCTGTGCTGTGTCCGTGCTGCCCAGTGGCCTGCGGTGAGTGTCTGGCCCCTGGGTCCGCTGCTGTTGGGAGTTTGGGCAAATGTCTTCCCCCAGACCTCACGTCCCTACTGTTACTACTGAGTGGAGGCAGAATGCTGGTGTGGTTGTGGCCTCTTGAGTGTGGGGTTCCTGGACCTGGGACCCATTTCATTCCTCATCAGCTGCAGGGCCCCCACCCACCCTGGGAGCCCCGCAGCTAGGAGATTGGCACAGGTGGAGCTGTGTTCTTGGTTTTAGCGGCTCAGGAGAGGCATCCTGGGGACTTGGGAAAAGTCAGGAAGCCCAGGCCACACCTGGACTGTTAAATCAGAACCTCGGGGTGGGGCCCTGGTGGGCGTTGGTATTTCTCAGAGCTCCCAGGGGCCCTGGGAGGCAGCTGGTTCCGGAGGCGGTGGTGCAGAGCTCTGGCCAGGGGATGATGCTGAGGCTCACCTGTGTCCCCTCCTACAGCTCCTTCTTCCAGGGTGCACAGCAGCAGATGCTAAGTAAGACGCATTCTGGGGGGTTGGCACTCTGTCATACAGTGCCAGGACCACCTGGGCCCCAGAACCACTGGCGGCATACCGAGAGGGGGGGCCTCGCTGGGCTGCAGCCCACTCTGCAGCTCACTGGAGGTGAGGGGCAGAGTCTGGGCTGGGCCAGGGTGGGTAGGGAAAAGGTGGGAGGAGAGGATGGGCCGGGCAGGGGCCGGGCACCCAGGACTCCACACCCCCTTTCCCAGGACTCCAGTGCCCCCACCCTCCTGGAGACCCTTCCGCTGAGCTTTCTGTGGGCAATCGGGTGGTGGCAGTAGGGGCGGTGCCTTCTTCTCTGGCAGGCGCAGGCCCAGCAGTCCCAGGTGCAGCAAGGTGGCACCAGCGCATGCTTCAGAGGCGGTAGGGACCCTACCCCAGGACTGGTGAGCCACGCTGCTCACTACTCTGTGGGTTTACTGTCTCCAGAAGGCCCCTTTCTCATCAATCCTTGACCTTCACAGCGGCATCCCCTTGGGGCCTGCACCCCAGAGGGCTCCCCTCTCATGCCCCAGTCAGTTGGCCCCCAGACTCAGATCCTCTCAGCTCCTCCAGGGAAAGGGTAAGGTGATCTCTCCTCTCAGAGATTTCACAACTGTGGTCCATTCATTTATTCATTCATAGCACAGGGCTTAAGTCAGAGTACGTGGGTTCTAATGGCAGCTTTGGTCCTCACTGGCTGTGTGATCTTGGACAAGTTGCTTAACCTCTCTGTGCTTGCATCTCCCCATTTGTATGGGGGGTGATAATACCACCCACCTCAGTGGGAATCAACAAGGTGGGGCACATAATCCCCCAGCAAAGTGTCTGGCACATAGCAAGCAGTCCATTCATGGCGATGTTTATCACGAGAGGTTGAGCACAGGACCTGGCATTGGAGGTCCGGGGTCCCATCTTATCCCCATCACCTGCCATTGTGCCCCTCAGAGTAGTGCTTCAGCCCTCCAGCCCCCAGCACCCCATTCTCCCCCAAGATGGAAACAGGGAGAAGAGTCACCCCAATCCCCTCCCGCTGGTCTGAACCCTGGTGGCAGTGACCATCCTCAGGGTGGACACTCTCTTCCCCAGAGTTGTCCTCAGCTGGTACCACTGGGCCACAGCCCCAGAGGCCGGGAGAGAGCTGGTTGCCTGCTGGGCCTGGGATTGGAGCTGCAGGGCCGCACTGGGCCTGTGGCAGTGGCAGCTGGAGCAGTGGTGGGAGGCAGAGCAGCGGGAGCGGGAGTGGGGTCAGAGACGGACGTGAGATGCCCTGCAGCACTGGCCGTCCTGTTGGCAGGGTGAGTGGGGGCCTGCAATGGGGCACCAAGGGGGAAGGAGGGCCAGGCCCATCAGGGAGACCCAGGGGTCCCGATCCTCCAGCACAAGGTCCAACAATGACGGGGCCCCCACAGGGCATGGCCAGGACCGGCATGGACACTTGTCCCCAGGTTCATGACCCCACTTCCATTCCCTGGCTGTGTGGACTTTAAACAAACTACTCCACCTTAGTTTCACAGGGGGATTGTGGGATCCTCTGAAGCAATCCACCCACGTGTTTCACTCAGAGCACAGCTCCTAGTAGGGTTCTTGTTCATCTGCCCCCTCGTCCTCCTCACATTGCTTTCAGGAGTCACAGGTCTGAGCACCGAATAATGGGATCCTCAGAGCCCAGCACAGGAGATGGGGGGTACTGGGGGGCATTTTAGGGGTGTCCCATTATACCGAGACCTCATATCGATGGGCCGGGGAGGGGGCTCATTGCTCTGGAAGGCTCACGTGCTCTGCACAGGAAACAGCTGCTTCTCCACCCAATTGTCCAGTTGCCCAGGAGGGCTGGCCAGTGCTGCCAGAACTCCCGTTTTTAAAGAAAAGCTGGAAATCTAGATTTTTACGAAATTCTCAAGATTCCCAAATATCACCAAGCAATTTTTAAAAACCGAAAACTATGGGTTGGGTTGGCCTGGACACCTGTAGGGCACCTGTGTACCAAAGCACCCTGTCCCAGACAGTTAGGGTGGCCTCATCTGTTTTCACTTGGGTAGAAGGCCAAGGGCTGGCTAAGCAGGGGCCCACGGGCACCCAGGGCCCAGGGGTGAGGCCAGGATGAGCACCCAGCATCTTTCTGGCCACAGGGCAGCAGTTCCTGCATGAACAGTACCGGAGGTGGGTGCAGGTTCACGTTCAGGGCCTGCAAAGAGCCGTGTTCCAGAGCTGGCTGCAGGCAGCAGCTCAGCAGAGATACAGGGTGGCCCGGCCAGAGCAGCTCCTGCTACAGAAGTGGGCGGGTGAGTTCAGGATGGGGGGGCGGGGATGCAGAGTCATCCCCACCCCTGCGAAAAGCAGGGAGAGAGCCCAGGGGACGGGAGGCTGGGTTGCATCTGCAGCTCTAGGGGAGTCCAGGCTGGAGGCCTGGGACCTGGAAAATGGCAGGGGGGAGCATGAGGGGAGACCTCATCTGGAACCATAGAGCCACGACCACCCCTTCCAATATCTGCTTTGTTCAGGAGGTGAGGAGGGCAGGCCCCTCATCCTGCCTCACCTCGCCCTCCTGGCCAGGTCAGGCCCTCGGTCTCAGAGGACACAGTTAAGACACGAACCCCTCAGACGTCCACCCTCGCCTGTGCCCCAACCCACGTGCTGTTTGAGGGTCAGCTCAGGGGAGTTCTGTCTACAGGGGCCAAGAGGATGAGATCTCAAATAGAGACGTTCTAGTAAAACACGCACGTAGTTCATTCGTGCACAGTTAAAAGCAGTGAACACAGGCTCTGGCCAGGCAGCTCACTTGGTTGGAGCGTTGTCCCAATACACCAAGGTTGCGGGTTCAATCCCCTGTCAGGGCACATTCAGGAATCAACCAATGAACACATAAATAAGTAGAATAACAAATCGATGTTTCTCTCACTCTCAAACAAACAAAGCAGAGGCCACAGGTGACGTGTCCTCCTGCTGTTCAGTGACAGATTTGCAGATGTTCACACCGTCCCCACAGCCCGAGCTCCACTGACCGCAGAGCAGCTGACCCTGAGCTTCTCATCTACAGGCTGTGGACATTTCCCAGCCCCTCGGGGAGCGGGAGACCCTCTTCCCCTCACTGACCTCCTGCCTCAGAGCAGGCTTGTGAGGGGAGGCAGGGGCGGCTGTCCGCCAGAGGATCTGGGACTTGAACCCTCACCTGTTGGGTTTCCCTCTTTCCTGCGCCAAGGCCTCAAATGAAAGCTGGTGCTTTCCCCTTTACTCATCGGTCCCTACATTTTTAAGGCTCAGGGTTGTATATGAAACTGTGTGTAACTTATAAGACTTTGTGTGGAGACTATGGGTGTAATTTTGAACAAATGTGACTTTTTTTTTAAGAGAGAGGGGAAGGGCCCTGGCTGGTGTGCCTCAGTGGACTGAGCATCAGCCTGTGAACCAAGGTGTAGCCAGTTTGATTCCCAGTCAGGGCACATGCCTGGGTTGCAGGCCAGGTCCCCAGTGGGGGGTGTGGGAGAGGCAACCACAAGTTGATGTTTCTCTCTCTTTCTGCTTCCCTTCCCCTCTCTAAAAATAAAATCTTAAAAAAGAGAGAGCGAGAGGAGGAAGAGAGGGAGAAAGAAAGGGAGAGAACCATGGGTTCGAGAGAGAAACATTAATTGGCTGCCTCCCGCACACACCCCTAATGGGGTCCTGAACCTATAACCAGGAGTCCCACGGGACTATGCCCAGCCAACCAAGCCACACTGGCCAGGGCTGAATAAACGTGAGCTTTGATTGTGACAGCCCCCGGACCCCTCCTCTGCTCATCTGGCAGCCACCTGCAAGCCTGGTGTGGATCTGCAAGAAGTGCCGGGATGCTCCGGGCCCAGTGGCAGGCCTCCCAGGATGGACTGCAGAGAAAGGCGCTGGGGGCCGCATTCACCGTGTGGTGGGAGGCCCGAGTGGCCGCAGCCTGGACACAGAGTGCAGCACCGTCTGGGCCTCCATTGCCCACTGGAGGAGCCACGTGCTGGGCGGCTGGGCAGAGAGGCAGCTGAGGAGGCCCCGGGCCCAGCAGGCCTTTGTAGCATGGAGAGCGGCCCTGGGCCAGCAGGCAGAAGAGAGAGTTTGGGCCCAGGCCTGGGTGGCCCTGTGCTGGATACTGTGGGTGCCTGAGTCCCACCTACGTCAGCTCAGCCAAGCCCACGCTGCCCAGAAGCTGAATGCCAGATGGGTTCCCGTGGCCCGAGGGCAGCCCCTCACTGTGCTTCCAGCTTGGGCCTTGAGCTTGTCTGGGGCAGGGTATTTGGTGGCTGGTGCCAGGGCTCAGGACACTAAGGGTGATAGGGAGAGGCCATCCTGGTCATTGTAGTTAGTGTTGGGGCCAGATCCCAACTCTGCACTCCCCAGCTGTGTGACTTGCCTCTTGGACGAGTCTGACTTTAAAGATCAAAGGAAGATAACAGCCTGTTTTGCAGGGTGGCCCAGAGATTAATGAACGTAAACATTCAGCTCAGAGCCAGGGCCAGACACCGAGACAGCAGGTGCTCAATAAACCAGTTCCCGTGAAGAAAGGAGAGGCAGAGTGTACCTGGCAGGGCATCCTTTCTCTAAACAGGATGCTTGTCCCTGTTGTGTGAGACTGGGCTGCTCTCCATGCCATTTCAACCTGTTTCTCCAGCAGAGGGCTGGGGCGAGAGGAGGAGCAGGGCTCAGGGCTTTGCCTGCAGGCCTCTCACCGCAGGGCACAGCCTGGGGCTGGGAAGGGCTCCCTGCAGCTGCCACAGAGCCCTGGCCCTGACAGCCTTGGGTGTGGGCTCCTCCCTCTCCCCCAGGGTCCTAGAGGCCTCGGTCTGGTCAGCCTCTAAGGGTCCTGTGCAGCGGGTCACCATCACCCAGCCCCAGCAGGTTGGGCACAGGCACCTCCTGTGGACCCACTGGGCCCAGTGTCGGACAGCACTGCTCAGAATGTGGCCAGAACTGCAGATAGAGGCCCTGGAGACCAGCACAGCCCATCCCAGGCCCAGGGCTGAGCACAGGCACTGGCCCGGACTGGCAGGCAGAGGATGCTTCCTGGTGCTGATAGACACTGCAACCCCAGGGAAGCAGGTGAGGTGGGGCCCAGGTGCAGTAGGAGGTCCAAAAATGAGTGGAGGGCCAGTGGCCTCAGAATCAGCTTGTTGCCACCCATGGTGGCCAGCATGGCTGGAAGCTTCTGCAGGGGCCCCGCCACCTTGCAGACAGCACCCCTCCCTCGTGCTCAGCCCCCTAGCTCTGGAACAGACGACTATGGTCCATTGGCAAACATTTACTGGGCACCTACTGAGTGCCAACCCAGCTCAAGTCTGCTGCACAGACAAATGGCACCGAACCTCACAATGTGTCATGGTGCAGTCTAGCATCAGGATAGGAGTGTGAGGGCAGCACCATTTTTTTAATTGGAAAAATGAAGCATGCGCATCACAGAAAAGCCAGAAAATACAAATGAAAAAGTTTCTTTGGCAACATTCTCTACCCGAAGATAACTGCCGGATGCTGCAGACCAGAAGCAGTTGGTTCTGAGACTAGCAATTGGCGGCAGAAGGTTGACAGCCTCGCAGGAGGGAAGAGGCCACAGTGACAGCCAGGCACAGGCAGTGTGACAGTGCACAGTGGCCCAGGGACACGTCACCACGGCACTCACAGCCCCCGTCCTGGCCAAGGCCACGTCGTGTTCCTGAAGATGAACTGGCATCGTCAAGAGCCCTGTTTCGGAATGCCAGGAAGTAGCTAATGGACTCCAGAGCGTCTAAGAAGAAAAAATTTTTAAAGTGGAATGGTTGGGGAGCAGCTTTGGTTATCTGCAGAACCCACATTGTCAGTGCGGGGCTGTGGCAACAGCAGATCCTGGGGCCTTGGGGTATTTTATCTCTAGATCTGTGTCACAGGACGATTTTGCTTTCGGAGTGTTTATAAACACTTTCACTCTATTCCTTTCGACAAAGGCGGGCAGGGCTCCCACTTGATGGAGACACTGAGGCTTGTAGAAATTGGGTCAGTGTTGGGAATGGGAACTGGGGTGCTGAGTTCCAGGCCCCCCCTTCCTCCCACGTGATCACACGTGCCCAGGCAGCCCTCGCCCCACGTCTGGTATTACTCCGACTCGTGGTGGCACCGAGTCCCTGAGAGCCCAGCGCCTGTGTGAACAGTGGCAGGGGGCGTGGGCTCTGGAGTCAGACCCCTCCTGAGAGGCGGGGCCTCAGGCAATGACTGAACTTTTGTGACGCTGCAGTGGGAGAGTCATACCCCCTTAGAGGCTGTACCTGGCACAGGTATGCTGTCACCAGGTGGTAGCTATAATCGACCCCAATACTTGAGTCCCCAGCCACACGGGAGGGCGTGGGGAGAGTCATACTCCTGGTGGGCACCTTCTCCATCTCTGGGACCCTCAGGGCTCACGGGCAAAGATGCGGTCACATGAACTACCCCACGTGTGCCCACACAAGTAGGAGACCCCGCTCCCAGGGGTGGGGGCAGGGCAGGAAAGGAATCCCGCTGGGTCACCTGGGCCCCAGGAAGGCCACGCCCATTGGGTTCAGGTTTTCCTCTCTGGCTGTTCCCTCAGAGCCGCAGCCGCAGGCCACAGGGCATGGAGCCAAGGCTTGCCGGCCCCACGGGCCCCACGCAGCATCACGGCCTCGGCGAACAGAGGGAGAGCAGAGATGCCCTGGGCTCGGAGTGAGTAGCCTGGGCCCTGGGGAAGGTTGACTTCTGAACCGCAGTCACCAGGTCGCGAGGGCCCCTCCTCGGCAGATTCCTCCTGTGGATCTCCTGCATTTTCCCCACCTGCTTCCTCTTCTGGAGGATCTCAGCTGGTTTCAGAAAACAACACATCCTGTCCCACCCCACCTGTTAGTTCTTGGAGGACAGCAGTCGAGGACCTGGGGGCTGAGCGGATGTGATGGAAGAGAGGGCACAATGCGTGACTCAGCCCCTTTTTTTCCCCCTGCTGCGTGCACTCAACTTCCAGGAGCAGACTGGGGTATTTTGCCCTACTCAACAAATGTGTTAACATCATCAAACTCAATTCCCCTTTCCAGGCAACAGTGCCGTCCACCTCTGGAAGCGGTGGCCTGGACTGACCCACTGGGCCCAGGACCAGCCCCCTGCAGGACCAGGAGGGGACTGCAGCCCTGAGGCCAGCACCCTCACAGGCAAAGGCCAGAGGGATAAGAGGTGGCTGGGGTAAGCGGCTGTGTGGGGAGGGTGGGGTGGGGGTCCCTAGGCCGAGGGGCTTGCCTGAGCGTGGACAGCACCGGGCCTTTCTGGTCAGGGTTCGTCCCTGCAGGATCCTGGAGGAGAGGGCCCAGGCCCATCGCTCAGCCCTCTCGGAAGGGGTCATGGTGCCCATGACTGTCCGGACACACACAGGGTCTCTCCCCCCAGCCGCCAGGTTGTAGGGGTCCCAGCAGGCCAGGGGCCTGGCAGCAACATGGCAGCGCTGGGCACCTGCTCAGGGGCCGGAGGGGCTGGCGCGCTCACTGGTGAGTGGGGAGGCCCCAGGCTCACTCCGGTTTCCCTTGTCACTGTGCTCCCAGCCCTAACCCCTAGAATGCAGTCTTTCAAAGCATGGCCGTTGGCCTGCTCAGTCTGAAACCTGGGGACAGGCCCAGGAATCTGCACTGTTCACACACCTCAGATGACACTCTCCCAGTCACGTTCCTTCATCCCCGTGCCACAGAGGTGCTGGGGGCCTCGGGGAGCACAGGCCTGAGGCAGGAGGCAGCAGCAGGCCCAGTTTGGGGCCTTTTCACCCACTATGCCCACAGCTCAGGCACGGGCACCTGACAGGGGCCTGGCGGACATGGCGGCAGCGGGTCATGCAGGTGGCTCGGCAACTCCAGCAACGAGATAATGGCTGGGTCCTTTCTCAGGTACCAGTGGGGTAACCCTCAGCCTCAGAAGGCCCTTCTAGAACCACTGCCACACCTGGACATTGCTGAGCTCAGGCGCTCTCCTCTCGCCACCCCAGGACCCCTTCTTTTACCGGGGAGGGGGGGTCAGTTTGGCTGGGGAAAGCTGCTTGGATTCTGGAGCCCTTAATGTGGCTGGTGGCCATGTGGCCAGCCATGTCCTGACCATCACTCAGACTGGGAACAAGCTTGGCCTGTGGCACAGCTGCCGCACACGTGGCCTAGCCAGCCATGCAGGGTACGGTCCCTGAGTGTCCCTTCCCTGACTGCTCTGAGCATGGCCTGCCAGATCACCAGTTGGGTCTAGTCTGAGCCTATGCATTTGACCCGGGGCAGGGTTGGCTGCCTACCCGCCTGGGGCTGAAGGATGGACCTTATTCCCTCAAGGGACGGAAGGAGCTGGCACAGGTGGGAGCCTAGCACACACCACGCAGGCCTGGGAGGGAGCTGAGCAACCCTTCCTCTCCCCTCCCTGATTCTAGGCCTTTGAGAAGTGGCACCAGAACCTGGCAATCAGTGGTCTATGGAGAGGAGCCGACAGCAAGCAGCCTGCAACCCCCGAGTGAGGTGAGCATCTGGAGCCCAGGAATGGGCTGGCAGCCGCCCAAGTCCCTGCGTGTGGGGGACATAAGGTAGAGGACGGGACCAGCTGCAGTTGTGACTTATTTCCCCGGAAAGAACATCAGAACTGAGCCTATTGCTTCTGGCCTTTTGGCTAAGATCAAGCGAGCACAGCCTCCCTGAGCCCCACTGTCCCAGGAGTGCGGGCCCTCAGGCCACAGGGCACGTGCCCCCCAGCCTGGTGATGGAGAGAGGAGTGCTGAAGTTCTGATGACACCACGACTTCCTGGGGAGCAGTGCCAGGCAGACAGTCTCCAGGGTGGGGTGCGCAGAGGGCAGAGACAAGCCCTGCTCAAGCAAACCTCACCTCTGCCCCCGGTGGTGATGGGCAGGGGGAAAGGGGAGGCTGGGGGCCGCGTCACACACAAAGGTTCAGACGCCTTAAGAGGTACTCTATCTCTTGAGCCACCAGAATGCAGTGACAACCGTTTCGAAAAGCAGCATTGCAGAGAGGAGAAAGCCCAGCCGGGCTCTCAGGTAGAAGGTGGCAAGAAATGCTTGTGTCATTAGGTTTCAGCCCCAGACCCGGCCAGGGGCCTGATGCCACGCGGTGTCTGCCTCTTCAGTCACAAGTAGGAAGTGCCCGGCTGCAAATGTCTTGGAGGTGGGAAAGGGCGACATCTTCATTTTGCCACAGCTCTTTGGCAATGCCACAAGTGCCTGCTACCCGTGTTCGCTTTGCCCACCTTCCCTGGGCCCCAAGTGTAAGGTCACTGGCAGTCTCAGGCAGGCTCCTAGCAGAGGGCTCAGTCAGCAATAACCAGTCTCCTCCCTTCTCAGGGAGATGGTGTCCCATCCACTGTGGCCATCTGCAGGGTGGGGGTGCTCCCCACGAAAGAGCAAACTCTCCCGGCTGAGCAGGGAGCACCACATTCCCACGTGGGGCTGACTCAGGTCCAGCCAGAGCCCACAAGCCCCACACCAGTCTAGCTTCCACTCTGTGTGGGGGAGTGGAGCCCGGCCTTGGTGAGGGACAAAAATAGGGGTCCCCAGAAGAACCAGTCCTAGGGAGGAGAAAGGTGGACCCTCTCTAAGGATGCTAGGGTGTAAGCTGAGGATGTCAGGGTGCGGGGTCATGGAGCTAGTAACCCTCTCATTCCGACGTGGGTCTGTTGAGAAGTTCAAGTGTGTCTTCTAGCACCTGCCACAGGCAGTTCTCCAGCGGAAACTCATTGTCCACCAGGTTGACGAGGAAGTAGTTGTCGTGGATGTGCTGGATGATCAGACGGGATGGGGACTTCTCGTCGTACAGCTTGCCCCACTGCTCGACCCACAGGGCAAAGGCTTCGTCCTGCACGTGCACAGGAGTGCCAGCGCAGACACGGTCACACACACAGGCACACGGGTGCAGACACACGGGCAAGGTTAACAGGACTGCCCTTGGGTCAGGGCTCCATGCCCTGAGCCACAGAGCCTCTGCTGCAGCCCAACAGCACACTCCCAAGAATAGAATAAGGCCCACGGCTAGTGCCACCTCCCACCACCCTGCCCAGGAATAAACTGTGACGCAGCCCGAAGGGCCCAGTTTGCCAGCTGTGGGGATGTGGCTTCCAGCTACACCCTGGGGACCCAGCCGTACTGCCTGTCCAAGGCTTTCCACATGGGCAGGGCAGGCTGGCTCCCAGCCCCCTCACCTTCCAGAACATGAAGCTGACAGGATCCACCACGGTGGGCTGGATAATCTCCCGTCCAGGGAAGATGCCCCAAGTGACAGCGTTGGGCTGCAGCTCAGGGGCATTGGTGATGTTTTCACCCTGGGGGTGGGGGGAGAGGGGAGGTCAGCGCAGATGTGACAGAAACAACTGGAGCCTCTTACTGCCCAGAGAGCCCCCCATTCCACACCCCGCACATCCCCACCCTCCTACTCTGTAAGCTGAAGCCTCAAGGCCATCTTGGACATTTCCTCCTTCCTCTCTACGCCTCCATCAACTCCACACCTGGGAGTTTTGCTTGCCTCCTCTCCAGTCTGTTCCATTGTGTCCAGCCCAGCCATGCCTCCTTCTGCTACTCAAGACTACGGCACGGGCCTCTGGCCCCCGAGTTCCTGACCTGTTAGTCATCAGCTGTGCACTGTGACCCGCCCAAAATCAGGCTCAGAGCCAAGTCACTCCACTGCCGGGAAAGGCTCCCTCCCACCCTCGGGGAAAACCCAAACTCCAAGCAGGACCACGGAAATCCCAGCTCCCTTCAGTCTCACTCTGATGCCAGTCAGTGGTGCGCCCCCAGGTCTGCAGACGATGCCTTTGCCAGGAATGCCCTTCTCCTCGTCCTAAATGTTGAGGCCACACAGGACTCTCCAGGGAGCTTTCTGTGACTTCCCAGGGTCCCGAGCAACCCATACTGAACTGTATTGTCCTAATTATCCACCAACAGGCCTCCCTCACTAGATGGGGAGCTCTGAGTTGGGGCCTGGACAACTCATGTCCATCGGTCCTCATGTCCGTCGGTGCAAGACTCGGCCAGGGCCAGGACGCAATGCCTGCTGAGGCAGGGTGGACCCATGGAGGCCCCTGGGCTGGCGCAGCGCCCCATGGGCGCCAGCTGCCCCTCCCTCCGAGCTGGCCCACCTTCACGTCCACGATGTGGTAGTTAACTCGGAGCTCGTACTTCTTCAGCACCTGCAGCAGCGCCTCCACCGTCTTCCGGGAAGTGAAGAACTCCAGGTAGGCCTGTGGGGGAGGCAGGTACCCGTCACACCACTCCAGGTCCCTGCAGGCTGCTTCCTCCGTGCTCAGTGACACCAGTCAGATGCCTGCCCCTCACCGTCCCCAGGGAGGGACCCACGTGCACAGGTGTGGCAGGACACAAGGCTTGGGATGTGTGCTGGCCACATGGATTGAACACAACTGTGGAGTTGGCAGACACATAAGCCAACGGGAGGGGCGCAGGTGTGTGGAATTTCTCAGCTGGGCAGGTCGGAGAGACCTCTGCCAGCCCTCTTCCAGTTAGAGAAGGCCGTGGAGAAGCTGCTTCAGAGGCTGTAGAGGGGGCCCGGTTTGGCCAGCAAAGGCTTGTGAGCGTGGCCTGCCACATTCCAACCACCCCACCCCCTGGGCGGTGACAGTGGCTTTGAGGGCTTCATTAGCTGCCTAGCGGAGCTGAGCTTAGAGCATTTCAGTTCATTTGCTCTGAGGCCCACAATATGCAGGGTGGGCCCTGTTGTCCCTCTGTTGCAGACGGGAAGGCTCAGGGGAGCTCAGCAGCTGCGCTGCACCGGTGACAAAGAGCAGAGCCCGTCCAACTCCCGCAGCCCCAGGACAGAGGTGTCAGCTGAGCGGAGCAGCAACAGCTCCCCTGAGAGAACGCTTCCCACGTTCTCCCCACGTGCTAAGCTCTCCGAACTCTCCCAGAATGCAACGCAACACCTCCCCTCTGACAAGGCTGAGGCACAGAGCGGCCATGGGGCCCGCCTGCGGGGATGTCCCTGTCCGTGCTGGTTCGCGGCCATGCAGCACAAAGGGCCCCTGGGTGCCAGTCAAGGCAGGGTCGCCCTGTGCGTTGCTGCTCACCTTCTGGAAGACGTAGCCCCCGCTGGGGCCCCAGCCCACGACAGGGTCGGAGGAAGGCTTCCCGTTGACTCGGGGCTGGGAGTTGATGGTGAGGATGCCCCGCTGGTTCACTCGCAGCAGCTCCTTCTTCATCAGGCTGGTCTCAGCCGCCAAGGGCTCGTCGTTCCAGGGCAGGCAGGTGACCTGCAGAGGGGGGGCCGGGCTGGGCGACAGTCAGACCTGGCACCCTGGGTCCCTCCCTCTCACGGGCCACCAGAGATCACGCCTGTCTCTGCCCCCGTCAGCCCCTGCAGACCCTCAGGTGGGGATTCCCTTTGCTGAGGTGCCACGGCCAGGCCAGAGAGGGAAGGCCCACAGGGAGGGAGGGCCGGGGGTGTGACCGGGGGTGCCCCCCAGCACCACTCACTGGATGGCCGTGGTGGTTCGGCTCCCCCGAGAGGTAGTGCACGAAGACGTCAAAGACACTCTCCTCGCCGGTCAGCTGCTCCCCCCACATCTTCAGCAGCTCCTCCCGTGGGGCCTTGCTCTTCAGGTAGAAGAGGTAGTAGTCCTTTAGCTCCCCGAAGGCGGGAGAGGAGGAGTTGCCCCTGGCAGGGGATGCACCCACAGGTCAAGGCACACTCCTGACCTTGGACTCCTCACAGACAGTTGTCCCACACACTGCCGAGGGGACCACTCCTGGGACTCCTGTCCCTCAGGGATCAGATAAGCATGCAAGCTCCTCCTGCCTCCCAAGAAATCGGACCCATGTGCAAAGGACTGTGTGCCGGCCTCACCAGCGGCCATTGGGGAACTCATCCCAGTCCCGGGTGCGGTAGATGTAACTCTTCGGTCTGGAGGCCCAGAAGATGGGACGCACATCTTCCTCCCGGCGCTTGGGGTGGGCACTGAGAGCCCAGGGCAGGGGACGCCTGGGTGAGGATGGGCACAGAGAGGGTAAGGGACTGGCTGGAGGGAGCAGGGAGGAGGAACCCTCTGAGCCTGGGTTCTTCCATCTGACTCAGTAACACTGGGGTGCACATGAACTTCGTGCTGAGACTGGAACCCTGAGTGTGCCGACAGCCCCGGCAGACAGCCCCCTGCACCCCCGGGCGGCCGGCACTGCCAGGGCACATGCTTTCTGTGAATTCTCTCTGACCTCCTGCCCACTGCCTTTCCTCTGTGGCTCCTGGGCCTGAATTTGGGGCCGCTGGCCTCACCTGGGTTCCTCGGTCCACATGCCCAGGCGCTTCAGCACCTCGGTGGTAGCCTTCCAGCGGTTGAGGGTGTAGAAGTGCAGGCCCGGCACCAAACCACTTGCCAGCAGCTTCTGGCACAGGCTCACGGCCTGTTCGATGCCATAGTTGCAGATGGCATCATCATTGTCCTTGATGGGCTCGATCACGTCCTTGATGTTCTGCGGTACCTCCAGCTTGGACAGCCTCATGAGGTGCCGCAGGGAGTGGTAGCTCTGTCCGAGACACCGGGGGCCTGTGGGGCTGTGTCCCACCCTGTCTCTCACCCTACTGATCCCCCTTCTGCACCCACCAGGACTCCTGGCCAACAGCAGTGTGACATGGAGTGACCCAGGAAAGCCAGACCATACTGTACGAGGACACTTGCCTGGTCCTGCTTTTTCTACTCTGCAGAGGACAGCAGTGGCTCAGAGCGTTCCAGCCATTGGCCTGAGCCAGCCCTCGGGCCCCAGTGGTTCCCAAGCCTCCGGGGTCATCAGAATCAGCTGCAAAACTTAAGAAGTAACATACAAATTCCCAGGCCCCACCTCAGATCTACTAAGTCAGAACTTCTGGGCGTGGGATCTGGAAGTCCATCTTCTGAAAAAGCTTGTCAAATGATTCTGACGACAGCAGAGTCTGGGAGACACTGATTTAATCAAGGTTTAGAGTGAGAGTTGTAACAACCCCTTGTACTGACACTTAGGCCAAAGTACAAGAAGCCCCTCCAACAGGTGCTGTTGCTGTTTTGGGGTGGGGTGGGGATAAGAGGTAACCGAAATGGGGTGGTGAGACATTTTGCAAGGAGCACCTGACAGGAAATCCAGTGAGTGTCAAAAGAACTTGACCACGAACAGAGCACCTCACCTGGGCCCTGGTCTGTTTAAGGACGGGGTGGGGGGTGGAAGGAGTCCATCAGCCCTCCAGGGCCCCTCACCTGAATAGGGAAGATCCCAGGGAGGATGGGGCAGGTGATGCCCATCTCGGAACAAGCCTTGACAAAGAGGAAGAACGTGTCAGCCTCAAAGAAGAGCTGGGTGATGATGAAGTCGGCTCCCGCGGACACCTTCTCCTTCAGGTGCTCCAGGTCGGCCTCGAAGCTCTCGGCATCAGGGTGGCCTTTGGGGTAACCTGTCAAAGGGGTGACAGTAGGGAGAGGCTGGCTGCACCTGCTGCAGGTGAGTAACGAAGAAATCGGAGCGCTGGAAACAGAGTGCCCCACCTCCATGGTTCCGGACTCACGCTTCCCAACACCGCAGCACGGACAGGTGGGCGCGGCGAGTGGCTGGGCTCACAACTGACGTGCCCCCTCAGCCTGGAGATGACCTTTGGTGACAGGTGGCGTACAGCCACCCTCCCAAGAGTGGGGGCGGACTGCTCCAAACTCCCTGCACTGTCCTACCTGTGTTCCCTGCCACCAGCCAGGCAAACCAGGCCTGTCCTTCGTGGCTACGGAACAGAGGAAAGACTACTACGCTCGGCACAGTCGGGCAGCGCTCGCACTGTGCGGGGCTCCAGGCGTTGGGTCACAGCTTCACTTTTCACTTAACATGAAGACTGCTCAGAGCTCCAAGACAGTGAGAAGTTAGACACTGTGTTACATGAGGAGGGACTGAAGAAAGTGATGCTTTACTTAAAGAAAAGAATCCAGAGAATATGGTTACTATTTCTAAATGACCAAAGGCCCCTCATGGGGATAAAGGGCTCGCCTTAGTCAAGTTCCTTATTAGCCCTGTTGCCTGAGGCTTCTGATGGCAGAACCAGGACCAGTTTCAGGGGCTGCCTGATTCCGGACCAAGCCACCCCACAAAGTAATGCGCTCCCGGGGCGTGAGAACACTGGGGCAGCCGAGATGGACTCTGGGATTGCCTGGGAGGCGGGAGCAGACGTGCCGTGGACTCCTCACTAGCTCCAGGAACTCTAGGACCCCTTCCTGAACTCACTGTCGGCCCAGTCTGCACGAGACCACAAGCTGCAGGCAGGATGCTGGCCTCCTCAGCCTGCACCCAGGGCAGGACCCCAAGCCAGACGGCGGGGAGGCCTGGGACCCTGGCTGGTGGGTAACCAAGCTGCTTTTCTGTGACAAAGCAGTTGCGTTCTTAAGAAACCCTGAGTCATGAAAAGTGGGTATAAAAACTATTGTTTTAAGAGCTAACGTATGGGACAATTAAGCACCAGAATTACACTTTCAATCACAAGGCCATTTTTCCAGTAGGAATTTCAGAAACAAAGGCTTTAATACCTGAAATGTGATGGCCATAAAACCTTGATACCACCAAACAAACGCAGCATTTGCTTGCAGTTGGATTTTGCTCGGTTCCTTAAATTCTTTTCCTGTCATGGTCAGCTCGGTGCTTTCCAATCCACTGATCCTTTCTCACCCACTGAAGCGGGAGTGACGCACAAAAGCACACAGCAACTGTATGCTCACAACTCCGCTGGTTTCCACTCGTGACCGTCTGATGCCCACTGCACACGTGCACACACCCCCAACTAGCTGACGGCCTGTGTGAGCAGTGACCACTCGAGCACTCAGAAACGCCTGCCCTGTCCCTAACTCCGCCCAGACTCGTCCACCCAAACACCCCTATTGACTGAGCGGAGTGGAAATGTACATGGGGCTTGGGACTAAGTCCAAGGTCACCTGTGACAAGCAATTTCCTCGAAGCTGTATGGCTCATTTTTTAAAGTTCAGATCGCTTTGACACTCTACTCCAAAATATGGCTGAGTCTGTTTTAATATAAAAAATATAATTTCTCCTCGATTATTTTTTAAAAAAGTTGTGCCAACATGCTGTGCCAGTGCTCCCAGGGAGGGCTGCCCCGCCATGCGCAGCCCCCATTCGAGAGGCCGGGGACCCAGCCCGGGTAGTGGGCAGAGGAAGGAAGGCCGCCTCGCCCATTTCCAGTAGGCAGACCTTGCCGCAGCTGCAGCCCGTGGTGCTGGAGTTGAGCTCATCTGACTCTGTCTCCTGAGAATCTGGAATGGACATTGAGGGCTGTCAACCTGTCTGGGCTCTGAGCTAGAACTGACCAGGAGCAGATGCATGAGATGTGTGCAGGAGGAGGAAGAGATGGGGGTTCATGCTCCCCAACCAGGGGCTGAACCTGCAACCCAGGCATGCACCCTGATCAGGAATTGAACTGGTGACATTTTGCTTTGCAGAGTGACACCCAACCAAATGAGCCACACCAGTCAGGGCTTGACCTTAGGTTCTGAGAGACTCTACCTTCTTAACAAATATTGCTCTTTCTTTCTAAAGAAAAAGAACAGGCTGGGAAGCAGGCTAAGAGCAGGAAAAGGCTGAGAGTCAAAAACTGGGGCCCTGGCTGGTGTGGCTCAGTGGATTGAGCACGGGCCTGTGAAGCAAAGGGTTGCCGGTTTGATTCCCAGTCAGGGCACAGGCCTAGGTTACAGGCTAGGTCCCCAGTAGGGGACACATGGGAGGCAACCACACATTGATGTTTCTCTCCCAGTCTTTCTCCTTCTCCTCTAAAAAAAAAAAAAAAAACCCCTGGAGAGGTGGGAGTGGCCTGAGCGTGAGTCAGGGCCTTGTTTCCCTCGTTCTGTACTGCCCTCATCTGGCCCAGGCTCAGGCCCACGGGGCACTGGGTTACCGGACCCTGAACTGAGCACAAACAGGTGTGCCTCTCTGGGTGTTTTCCTTCCTTCCCCTCTGTCCCCACCCACTGGGACACTCCAGCCACTCACCTGCCACACAGATGTCAAAGTAGTCACCAAACTCGCTGCGGATGTGCTTCACCAAGTCTGCGGCGTAGGAGAGACCTCCTTCCTCCTCCTCCCACTGCTCACCTGTGGGGTCTGGGGGTGGTGAAGGTCATGGTCACTGGGGCTCACTGACCTCCAGGGAGCTGTTCTGTTCCTCCTCCTACCCCTACACCCGTGAGCTCCTCAATGGCAGAGCCCTTGTGGTATTCAAACGGGCAGCTCCTCTTCCTAGCACAGCACTTGGTAAACCATGAGGGAGGAAGGTGGAGCCCAGCCCACCTCGAGTTTACCGAGCCAGGCACTGGGCTGGCAGCAGTGGGCAGGGGACAGCAGGGGACAGCTAGTGCGCTTAGTTTAGCCTGGAGCATCTGAGCCCCCACCCTCCATGCAAATCTGACTGAGTTCAGGCACCGTCACCCAACCCCACTGCTCACCCTCCCACCGTCCTGGAGCTCCTGCCTCCCAGGAGAATTTTCTACTCATCTCAAGTGAGAAAGGGTCTTGTGGTGACGAACACAAGGCCACAGTGCCCCACCCCTCAGGCTCCCTCTGCCCACACTTGTGGCCACAGGCACAAGCAGCCATCTGCACTTCTGGGACAAAGGCCAAAACTGCCGTCTTCAGGGGGCCGGGAGCGGGGAGCAGCCAGCGGAGGATGCAGCCGTGCCGCCAGGGCAGCACGTTATCGGGCCCCAGCTGCATTCCTGACTGAGCATGGGGGTCAAGAGGTCAAGAGGTGACTCCATCTGGGCCGTGGCTATGGATGCTATCAGCAGGGATGGGACCTTCAGCATGCTCAGCGTGGGACCCGGAGAAAAGCAAAGGGCCATTTCAGGGACAGAAGAGGTCCTCGGGAAAGCAAGACCCAGAGAATAGTGTTGGCTCTACACCTCCTCTCAATGCCAAGATGTTCTTCAGGCCCAGCCGCCTGGCCTTGTGCAGGTGGCCCGTGATGGCCTCTCGGCTCTGGTGGCAACAGGTCATGTGCAGCATGGTCTCCAGGCCACAGTAGTTCACAGCGGCGCTGGCAATGGTCATGGAGGAGGTCTCCTTGTCTGAGCCAGGGTCTTCCGTGGGGCGCCAGGTCACATCTATGAACAGGGGACCTCCTGCCCCCATCTGATCAAACCTGTAGGGAATTTCTCTCTGAAAAGGGGTTCCTGGGGGTACACCACCCATCACCACCTTCCCATGGGGTCCGGAAGTTAGAGAAGCCTCACAGCAGGTGGGATCAGACTACTGTGTGTTCCTATCTTGGCTCTGCTACTTACTAGCTGGGTGACCTTCGGGAAATCGCTTCAACTCTCTGAGCCTCAGTTTCCTCACTTCTACAACATAACAGAGAACAGTCTGACAGATGGCCCCACAGCCCTTAGAACAGTTCTCAGCTCTTACAGCTGAAATGCTATTATTATGATTACTACTGTTGTGGAGACCATTTTGCGTTAAAGTAGACCTGCAGACTTTTCAAAGTGCGTGCGTATTTTTATCTTGGTTGAGTAGAGTTCAAGGGCCAAGGGTTGGCGAACCCTCAGTGCAGCAAGCAGAGCCTCCCTCTAGGAGCAGGAAAAAAGGGGGTCAGCAGAGACAAGTTTCTACCCTGCTCCCTTCTCCCCAGTCCTGTGCTGCAGCTGCCAGTGCTGCCGAACACGGCCACGGTGCAGAACTAGACCCCCGTGGCAGGGCTGTGCACACGCGCTGGTTCGCAAGCCATTTTACGGTGCGTTTAAACATCCTGTGCCTTCGACTCCAAGCCCCGGGAGTGAAACATGAGATGCACAAGTGGTAAAAAAGCATACACTTTAAAAGAACTGCAATTCATAAAGTGCTAATGTACTTCAGTTGGCATTTCTAGATTTCAAGACACATAATCCAAATTCCTAACTTGGTGAAAATGTCCTCCGAGCTGCTGCTTTGTGACTTCCTACACTATACTCATGATCCAGCTTGAATGCTGAGAAATCAATTTCTAACCCATTGAAGAGTGTGTTTAAAAATCTAGATGCTTGCTTGGGAGGGACTTCTGCCGACTGAGACGCTCTGGATTGGGTGACTGAGCCTGCATTTACCCTTTCCTGTCCCCTCTGGCTGCCTTTCCTGCTGGGTCACAGTGGCCCTGTGTGTTGTGGGGCCAAGTGTCCACTCCCCCCGCTTCTAGTCCAGCCCCACTCCTGAACTTTCAAGACACTCACAGTGCGATGAGATTGACAGCTCCCTGAGCCATCCGTGGAGGGAAGAATTCTAGAGAGAACCACTTGTCGCCAGATTCCATCCTCCGCTTCATTTTCTCCCAGAGTCTCTCACGCCGCTCAGGGTCCAGTCCTGGTGGGGAACCTCTCAAACTGTCCTTGGAGCCCTCCAGATGGGCGCTGGGGCCGCCTTTCCCTCTGGGTTCGTTCACCATGGCCAAATCCCTGCTGCACAGGGTGGGGGCAGAGGGTGTCAGGAGCTGGCAGGCAGCCAAACCCCTGAAAGGCAGGGTCAGGTGAGAGGCGCTGCATTTCCACGCAGGATTAAGGCTGCTGAGGGTGAGCGTGCCGATGCCCCTACAGGCTGGCTCCACACACCACAACTCAAAGCTTTTCCTTCCGCTGTAGCCTGGTTCCCTGTACAACAGCCCCCACCCGTACAGAAATATGCTCTGTCAGCCCTCGGATCCTCAGTGACAGCTACCTGATGGAGGGGGGCACTGATAGGCTCGCAATGCCAGCTTCCAAGGCCTGCATTCCTAGGGAGGGGTAGCAGTGCCCGGCTGGGAGGACCTCAGGTTTTGGAAGGTCCATCCCAGCCAGCTTGGACCCAGAATGGGCTAGGAAGGAGGAGGAAACTTCGCCAGCCCTGTGTTTCCCTCAGGGGTGGAGCAGTGACTGAGGAAAAGCTTACAGCTGCAGCTGGGGCCCACGTCAGGGGCGGGGCGAGAGGTGGGGGAAAGGCTTCCAGGCAAGAGGGAGGGCCGAGGCGCTGGCTGCCGCAGGCAAAGGGAAGGAGAGGAACTTCGGCCAGAGACTGCGGGGGCGGGGCGGGGGGGTGTTGGTGGGAGGAGGCCTAGAGACGTTCAGAGTCACTGGGTCTGTCTCCAAAGAAGGCATGGAAGGGCGTGGTCCTGCAGGGAACATCCCCTGTTCCCCAGAACAGTTTGTGTGCAGGATGGACAGAGTGACGGCTTGACAAATCAGCCAGATTTCTCCCAAGTTCTTTGAAAAGACCAGGTCACGAGTTAGAAGTTGACACTGGCTAGGTTCTAAAAGTAGCCAGACCCAATTCAAGAAAGCCACGAATTTATGTCCCACTCGGAACACAGGCTGCCTTCCAGGCACACCACCACTTACACGCACCATCGAGGTCAGTTAAAGTAACGACAGTGACGGCTCAGCCACAACACCCGAAGTCCTGAGCGGTGGCAAGCACAGGCCGGCCAACAGAGGGTGGGCACAGTGCCAGGGGGCAGTTCAGTGGGACAAGTAAGACTAATACCTAAAAACAAAACAAAGCACTACTCATGCCTGGCTATGTGCAAACACACAGTCCTGGAAGCCCGGGGAGTAGTAACACTGGAGATCAGAGGGGCAATCGGGCCAAGTTCATTCCTTTCGAGGAACATCCACTGACAAGCTGGTGTTCTTAACCCCTTTGGGGTCCCAGAGTCTTGAGAAGCGGACGAAATCCAGTGCTCCTCTGCCCCCAAAACACACACAAGTGTTCATAGCACACAGCGACACATCCAAAGTCAAGGAGCCAGGGTCAGACTCAGAACACTTGTGCCAGCGTTTTCTCTCTCTAGGGACCCCCATTTTGATTCTGACATAAAACTCCAGCTTCTCAGTGAGGATGATCATCGGGAGTCAGAAAGGGGTGAGTGTCAAGATCAGCCTCCCTGGCCCTTCTCAGGAATTCAAGAGTGCCTACTGATTGTCTCCTGAAACAAAATTAAGAGTGGGGGGGGGGCGGGGGGAGATGGAACCAGCGACAAATTATCTGCTCTTTCATTTGTTCAACAAAGAGTTACTGCCTTCCCAGTACGGGCCAGGCACACGCCGTCTTTCACCCTGCTTTCTCATGCTGTTACTTATCCATCTTAAGCTGGACTCGCACAGCACTCTGGGTTCGCAGGTTTGTCTCAGCACTCCAAGACCAGGGCGTTATCCTGCCTTTGACAGGTATCCTGCTATTCCAGTGACTGGCACAAGGTAACGTGACAGCCAGCAATGCGCGCCAAGGGGCCAGGCGCTGTCACTCCGATCTCAAAATAACCGTCTGCCATTTACTGAGCGCTTACTTAATCGGTGCCACTGGGCATGTAGGCATATGAAGCCTCCAACTGTGCGCGCCCGACCCAAATGGCACCAGGGGCAGCAGTACCAACAGCCCAAGGCTCTTCTACAGATGCTCAGCGAGCAGGCAGGTTTAAAGGGCTGGAGCCGGAAAAACACCTCCCGCGCCCAGGTGGCTCGAGGGCCTCGAATCGGGTCGCCAGGTCATTAGGCCATGGGAGGGAGCGGGGAGTCGGGTCCTGGGGGATCCTAGGTCACCACCACCTCTGTCTCAAAGCCGCCTCATCCTCGGGTCGGAGCGCCCATCCACGGAGGGCAGCCCGGCCTCCATAGCTCTGTGCGCACAAATAAGTCCCTGCCCCACGTGGTGGTCCCCGGATGCCAGGTCTCTCTACCCGACAACCCCAGGCCACTCACCCTGCTGTCGCGGGTGTCTCAGAGCACTCGCGCCAGTCCCAGATGCTCGGCCGCTGTGAAGTTGCTAGCGGAGTGGGAGGAATGCCGGGAGGAGGGGCGTGGCGCAGGAGTCAGGTTGCGCTGGAGTCTGTTGCTAAGGGAGGCGGGACCAGAGGGCCGAAACTACCCTTATGGCCGACCAAAGGCTCCGCCCCTAACATGGCCGCTCCCAGCGTTCTCGTTTGTGGCAGATCCACCGCCCGTCATGTGACGCGAGCCCTCGTCCCACCCGTCTGCAGCCATTCCACTTCTGGTCCCCACGCTCGGGAGGGCCACGTGACCCTCCGGGGGCCTGTCACGTGAGGCGCAGATCTCGGGTGGGAGGGGGTTGGCCCAAGGGTCCAGAGTGGCAGTAAACGAGGAAGATGGCGGGGTGCAGGGGGTCCTTGTGCTGTTGCTGCAGGTGGTGCTGCTGTTGCGGTGAGCGTGAGACCCGTACCCCGGAGGAGCTGGTAAGGAGCTGGTGGAGCCAGGCTGGGGAGGGGGCGGTTGCTAAGGGACGGTGAGAGGCGTTGCCAGAGGTGGGGCTGGGTCGAGCTGAGCCCGCAGGTGGGGACCGCATCCTGGGCTCTCTGAATCTGCCCCAATTCGCGTGCCTAAGTCTGTAGTCTTTCTCATAACTCATCCCTGGGATGTAAGAGAGAATCCAGGCTACCGCTAATTAATCCCATACATATTTTCTCTTATTTCCATCTGAAAGGAGTTTTGAATGAAAAGTATTTTTGGCATAAGCCCTTTCACTGGACCTTGTGTTTGTCATGCACCTGGCTTAATTTCTCCAGCCCTTTCTCACTCTACTCCTAACCCTTTCTGGGTCATTAACAATCCAGCTTTTCCCTGCAAAGCACCCTGGGAAAACCTGTATTGCTGTGTCCTCAGATTTGACAGGTCCCTTCCACTTTCAGATTCGGCACATTATCAAATGGAATCTGATTCTCCTCCCGCCCCCCCCCCGCCCCCACCCCTTAAGTCCGCAGTGGACATCTCTGACGTGTTCTGAAGACAACACTGGTTATTTAAAGAGTGTATCAGTAAAAATGAAGACCTCAGCTGGACCCCCACCCAAATCACCCCATCCCAAAAGTTTGTTTTGTTTTTGTGAGGTCTTGTTTTGTGGTGTTAATGGCTCCAGATGATTTGAAATTTCAGTAGACACTCCTGCCTGCTTTCACTTTTAACCATTAAAAGGGTCTTCCTTCTGTGAATCTGTTTTTCTAGACCATCCTTGGAGAAACCCAGGAGGAGGAGGATGAGATCCTTCCAAGGAAAGACTATGAGGTGAGATTCTTAGATGCTGTCTTGAGAAACAAAAGCAGTGAATGACCTGGTCCCTTAAGACTGAAGCATGAGGGTTCCAACCAGAGGCACTCTTTGACTTTCTCTCCCAGAGAGTAAATGGGTAAGAGGTAATTTCCCGCTGGGGAAGGGGCTGTTTAACAAGCCCTTTTCTCACCTCAACTGCAAAACAAGGTCTGGGTGTCTCCACGCTTTCATAGGTCTGTGGCATCTTAACCTGGATAGAGTATGTGTTTGCAATTAAACTGCTTGCTTTTACAGCCCACAGACCCAGAGTCAAAGCCACTGACAATGTACGCTCATAGCAGGTGTGGACCAGTAGACCTTGCTTCTCTTCTGGGAGAACTTAGTATTCAGAAGATTGTTTCGTGCTCAAGCAGCTTCTCTCTGAAGTGTTCTTGACTGTGGCTCCTGATTCCATGTGGGACTCATAGAGTGCGTGTGTGTGTGCGTGTGTGCGTGCGTGCGTGCGTGCGTGTGTGTTTACTACTGCTGGGGTGAGCCATAAGGTAATCATTTCATGATGACTTCTGAAAACACAAAAAAGCCATGGTTGTAATGGAGATTATTTATGAAAAGGAGCTAGAGAAAAACCCATAATCCTGCTTATTGAAAGATGATTATTACTGCCTTATTAAATATTCTTTTTTATGCTTACATTCATGCTTTTTAAAAAAAATATTTTATTTATTTTTAGAGAGAGGAGAAAGGAGAAAGAGAGGGAGAGAAACATCCATGTGTGGTTGCCTCTTGAGCACTTCCTACTGGGTACCTGGCCCACAACCCAGGCATGTGCCCCAACGGGGAATTGAACCAGCGACCTTTTGGTTCGCAGACATACGTGCTTTCTTCTAAACAACGGAAGTGAGATTCTAGTGAATGTTTTAACCTCTTCTTCTCCCCACTTGGCAGCAATTTTTGTATCACTAGATACTTCTCTACACTGTCTTTTTAAATAGGGGAATATTGTTGTATTGTGCCACAATTTATTTAATTTGACTTTTCTCTTTGATAAACTACATGGTGGTGACCATCCTTTTTTGTTCATCCTTAATTGCTTAGGATTAATTCCAAGAAGTGGAATTTATCATGTGTACGTTTAATACTTTTTTAAAAAATGTCACGTAGACTTTAAAAATTCAGTGCTCTAAGGCAATAACGTACTAAACTAATTTTCTTAATATTTCATCTTTTGTTGCAGAATTTGGTGTAACGATTATGATTTGTCATGTAGCATGAAAATTTTAAAAATCTTTTATCACAGCCCTGGCTGGTGTAGCTCGGTGGATTGAGCGCCAGCCTGCGAACCAAAGGGTCGCCAGTTTGATTCCCAGTCAGAGCACATGTCTGGGTTGCAGGCCGGGTCCCCAGTGGGGGACATGGGAGAGGCAACCAGTCGATATATCTCTTGCACATTGATGTTTCTCTCCCTTTCTTTCTCCCTCCTCATCTCTCTAAACATAAATAGATAAAATCTTTAAAAAAAGAAAGAAAGCCCTCACTTCTGTGCTAGCGAGCACATAGCCCACAGAGCATTCCCCTCTTGTACCCTCCCGTACCCTGACCCCAAAATACAATTCCCAGCTTCACTCCACCGGTGGAGGAGACAAACTCAAAGCAATGGTTTGGGGATCTCAGTTCCGTTTTCTCATCCAGTCTCTGTTCCCGTGGTCCTCAAACTTGATCACGAATCACGGTCCTATGGAGGCCTTGTTATAAGACACAGCTTCTCTTCAGTGGGTCTGTGGCGGGACTGAGTTTGCACTCCTAACTAGTTCCCAGGAGGCACTGCTGCTGCCGCTGGTCCAGAGACCACACTGAGAGCCTGGAGGCGCAGTGCTTCACTGAGGACAGTCCTTGAAGGGCCTCCCCAGCCAGGGGAAGGGCTTGCATGGAGGGGTTGGGCGATATCCTGCCTCTTCTCTCTATCCAAGGCAATCACAAGCTGTTTCAAGTGGTACCAAGCCCCTCAGAGGCATGTAAGCAGAGAGCACTATGTCGCCCACACATAGCATCTCCACTCCTGCTTTAAAAAAAGACAAAGAAAGAAAAAACTTTTTACAATTTTAAACATATCCCAAAGGATATGGGATATGGACAGAAGAGTGTGTTGGAACCCCGTACTCATCACACAGCTGCGGCAGTCACTCCGCTCGGCCTGACCTTGTTTCTCCTCTGCTCCCATCCACTTCCTGGTCTGCTGGGTGGGTGGGTAAATCGGGGGCCTTCACCAGAATTAAATGACAGCGTTTTATTCAAGGGTCTTCAGGTAGTGTTCTGAAGAAAAGAGAATAATGGAGAGTTTTTACAAGTAAAAAGTACATTCTTGAGAAAAATCAGTCCTGCATTCTTTTTTTTTTAAGATTTTATTTATTTGTTGTTTTTTTTTAAAGAGGGAACATTGCTCAGCTGCCTCTTGAGGGCCCCCAACTGCAGCCCAGGCATTTGCCCTGATGGGGAATGAAACCGGTGACCTTTTGGTTCATTCTGTCCACAGAGCCACACCAGCCAGGGCAAAGCATCTTTCTGTTCTGCAGAGAAATATTCCTTAAATCCCGCAGGTTCATTAAATGCCATAGAGAATACTTTTTTTAAAAAGTCCAGTTTTCCAGTTGTCTTACAAATGTCATGTGTATTTTTCAATAGTTTGTTTGAATCAGATTCCAGATAAGGTCCTCACGTTGCACTTGTTTGAGATCTTAAATCTCTTCTGTCTTTAGGTTCCTCCATCTTTTTTTTCCCCTTGAAATTTACTTGACAAAATACTCAGGATTCGGGAGTCTGCCTGCCCCACTGTGTTTAATGTGCCACTCTGATGGGACTTCTTTTACTGAGTCAGAAAGCACAGTGTCCACTGATGTATTTTCTCATGCTTTTAAAATACTTGTTGGCTGTATATGGTTGAGAGGTTTGCAAGAGTTAGTATAAGATGCTCTGTATTGTATTGTCGCCTCAGTAAACCTGGTGATACCATCCTGCCTGTTACCACGACTGACAGACGTCCCAGTCTTCTTCTTCCTGTGCCTGGGGGCTCCCACAAGCCCGCCCCCCACCCTCACCCCCCATAGACCCTACTGGTCCCAAGCAGCCTCCACGCCTTTCACTGAGTTGCGCTTCCATTTGTAATGCAGTTACATTCAGTTGATACGCATACTTGTGTAAGTTTTAGGAGTTAATGTTCTTTCCTGTGAGTCATTAATATTTCTCAATTAGCCGTCTTTTGAGTTGGAGCTCCTTGAGGGCGTGTGCTGTGTGGAAGCACATTGAGCCAGGCACTTCATCCGAAAAGCCCGCTCCCACGGTGTTAGAAACCACCGCTCACCTAGAAAACCCTTCTGTTGAAAAGCTTTCCAAAACGTGCTCCCCACCTGCGTAAGAGTCCATCACAAGGGCTTGACTCTTGGTGAGGTGGGGTCTTGTGAGATGGCAGAGTCTCCTTTTTGCCATCCGTTCACATAGGCGGGTTGAAGAATAACTTCCTACCTGTCCCGTGCTGTTTCCAAACAGTACTGTTTTCTTGCAGGTCACAGGCTCTTTTGAATTAGAAAAAGGCCCCCCTCAGAGCAGAGGACTTAGAATAAAAGGCCCACCCCTCTGGGCCATAACCACATTCCCAGGTCAAGTCCCACCGAAGATGCTTTCTGGGTGATCACGAGGTGCCCCCGCCTGGTTGAATTTGGGCGGAGTCTTAGCCCCCACTTGCCTCCATGGCCAGGTGCTGTTTTGCTCATAACCACAAGCAGCAGCCCTACTGGACACCTGTAGAAAAAACTTTCTAAAAAGTTACTAGTCTCCCAAACCAAAGAGCAACATATACAGCAGGGATAAAAGGAAGTGAGTCATGGCAAAGGAGAAGTAACTGATTGTAATAAGAGCTCGTATAGTCACTGGTATGCACTTACAGTGTTAGGCTCTACACTGATTTATTTGAAACAGAAAGAAAAGACTGGTGTCGTTCTGGCATTGCATTTGTCTCTAGCTGCCCTGTAAACAGCTGGATTCAGGGTTAGGTTAGTATATAATTCATACACCACACAACTTACCCCTTTACAGTGTGTAGTTCAGTGGTGTGTTCAGGGTAGTCAGAGTTGTGCAGTCATCACCAAATCAGTTGTAGAACATTCCATCACCTCCCTCTCCCATCACCAGAGTCACTGCCCATCCCCCTTGTCGCTGACCCTGGGCCACCACTGATTCACTTTCTGTCTGGAGATTCACCTGTTCAGGGCATCTGAACGCCTTTCAAGTGTTTGTGAACTCATAGCATTATTCGACAAAGCCATTAAGCAAATAGTTCATTGGCCAGTCAGTTCTATAAATATTTGGTATGAGGGATAGTCATATCTTTCAACATTTTCTTTTCCTATTCCTAGAATGGGATGTCACTCATTTGATTAAAATATGTGTATTTAATCACTCATGGGTGAATCTAGTTTCCCAGCAGAATTTTTTACTGTGGCCTTTCGTTGTGTAATCAGAAAAAAATAGTGTTTTAAATGAAAAAAAAAGTGTACCATGCTGGCTGTGAAAATTCCAAACAACACACAGATGTGAACACCCGCTAAAGTACCACCTCAGCGATGGCCACTCTCACCGGTGTCCCCAGACGCTTCTGCTTTCCGTATGCGGACACACAGATGACCTTTGTCTGTTTCCTCAGCATGGGGCCCTGTCACACCGTTCCGTGACTGTCCCCCGCATGCCCTCTTTCAGAGTTTGGATTATGACCGCTGCATCAATGACCCTTACCTGGAAGTCTTGGAGACTGTGGATCATAAGGTGGGCCTGTTACCGCTCTCTCGGGACTGAGTGGGTCTTGCGACAGCCCCTTCACCTTTGTCCCTGTGCTCTTTAAACCTCTTGCATGGGGTGCGGGCATTTATTCCTTAGCCCTCCGCCCCGCCAGCCAGAGTACCCGCTGGCCCAGCCTCTTAGAGCCCACCGTCCTCGCACTGTAGAGCGCCCTCCGTCTCGGACGTCACGGCCCTTGCCATCTTTGCTCCCCGTGTGAAACTCACTCTCAGACTGGTTGGCCAGGGTGTGGGCCTTCCCCGGCGCCAGCAGAACCCAGTAACAGACTGAGTCATTCTTTTCTGTGTGCACAGAAAAGTCGCAGGTACGAGGCGGTGAAGTGGATGGTGGTGTTCGCCATTGGCGTCTGCACGGGTCTGGTGAGCAGATGGGGTGTGGGGGTGGGGGGGGCGGAGGTGGGGTCAGAGGTCAAGCTTGGGCCCGATGAATAAGTTGTCTGTCATAACAGGGCCTGCCTTGTCTGTCTTCCTTTTTTAAAAAAATTAATAACCTGTTTTTCATATTTCTCTTTTGCTTTCCCTTTATGAAATGAAAGTGAGTCATACAACTCTGGTGTTCTGTAAAGCACTCAAAGGTTTGAGCAAGCCCTGTCCCTTACATAAGGGATGGTCTTATTAGGTAGATGACTTGGGAGGGACAGTACTCTGTGGATGTCAAGGTCACTCTGTAGGGAAAGAGCAAAGCAGTGAGACCGAAACCATGAGCGTCATGCCCTGCAGGACAGCGTGCCAGTAAACACTGTCGATCTCAGGGAATTTTTTGTGCCGTCCTGGGCTGCTTGTCTGCACATGGCTGATTTTTTTCCTAGAAGGGAGAGCTGGCAGAGGACAAAGGACTACACCCAAATGCTCAGAGTTCCGGGGTCAGCACATTCCCAGATGCATCACTGACAATGAAAGATGATGAAATGTTACTTAAAACTATAGTAGCGCAAAGGTCTGGGACCGTAACTGCTGACTTAACTGTGGTTACACCCGGAGAAGAAAAGCTGGAAAAGTCAGCGGTCAGTCAGAACGACACTCATCCCATCTGATTTCCCATCAGTACTGTGTTTGAACAGGGGTCGTTTTAGACCATTCGGGCTTCTGTGACGGAAGTAGCACCGACTGGGTGGCTTAAACAACAAATGTCTGTTTCTCACCGCTCCAGAGGCTGGAAGTTCAAGGTCCAGGGCCGGCAGATTAGTGTCTGGTGAGGGCCCGCCTCCTGGCCTGAAGACGGCCACCTTTTTGCTCTGTCTTCACATGGCAGAAGGGAGCGAGAGAGCTCTCTGGGGTCTCCCTCTTTTTAATCCTGGTCGAACTCGTATAGCATCTGTATATTAGGCACACTGCATTATAATTCAGTATTTGTACGTACTATGTAATGTACGTTACTGTAAGTGCAGTTGCCGTCGGTCACCACACAATTAACCCCCTTCACCTATTTTCCCCTCCCCTAATTCCCTTTCCCTCCTGGGGTCTCCTTATGAGGTCACTAACCCCATTCATGAGGCCCTCACCCTCCTGACCTTGTCACTTCCTGAAGGCCCCTCCTCCAACTACTGTCAAATTGCGGTTAGAATTTCAACAGTGATTCAGGATGGCGGCGAACACAGACATTCAGCCCACAGTAGGGGTCACACACGTTCCCAAGCAGCAGTCTGTTCATCCCCTTTCTCCAGAATTGACCACAGTGTCACTTAAGTCTACATGACATACCCGTGAAATGTAAACACATGTCCAGTAGAATGGAGCCCCAAGGGTCAGCCACGGTTTTTGTTTCCTGGCACTTGCCGGATTGTCACTACAGTAAATTCAGACATCAAGGAACATCTTACTAGTTACGACGAGTGGCATTCAGAGGTCTCTCTGGTAGTATTTTAGCGGATACCAGTATGGGGCGAGTTGGGTTGATTTCATTGTTTTATTGAAATTTCAGAGTGTCAGTTTTGCTGTGTATGGTTCTGATTGCAAATTTCCCTGTAATAAGCATAACCATTAGCCGTCTACGTGCTAGTCTTCCTGCTTTCCTATCAAACTCCTTTGAACTGCCATTAATCAATACCAGCAACTTTACCTGGCACCCTCATGTTACGGGGAGGAAGGCCTGCCTCCAAATGTATCTCGTGGTACTTTGGCTTGGCCTTTGACTTGTCACCACTTATTACTTTTACATTTAAGGACCTCCAGTATTGGCTTGAGGGAAGTCGGGAGTTAAAGGCCTCAAGCCTCTGATCCTGAATCTCCAAAATCAGAAGTCTGTCCAGTTCTCCTTTAAGTGGGGACCTAGGAGAGTGGAATAGGAAGCATGACTGTTTTTTTCTTATTTGCAAGGGTGACCATTGACTATGTAAGACACGAATAAGTCAAAGTAATGACATATATAAAATACCGATAGCGATAGAAGTCACAGTGTTTGTGAGTTTTGCAGTAATAACCAACGTGCAAATCCACAAACATCCAAGGGCATGCTGGCATTCAGATCATCTAAGCTGTGTGCGCATCCTGCTATGCATCACGGAAGACTCAGTCGTCCTCCCCGTCTCCCGTCTTCTTCTTCTGCATCCTTTCCTTTCTTTGTTTTACTCTCCATCTCTCATAGCTGTGCCTCGTGCTTTTGTTCTTTGGCGAGCAGTGGGGCCAGGCTGGAGTGGGGCCCTCTGGAGAGCCAGGGTGACTAAGGAAAGCCGGTTCGCCCATCGCTGGTTGTAACCCACCTGTGCGTGCCCAGGGCCGCAAAGGCAGTGGGGCAGGCCCGTGCCAGCGCCTGCACCGGCGCCGGGAAGAGCTGCGTGGCTGACGGCTCCTCTGCTCTTCACAGGTGGGTCTCTTTGTGGATTTCTTTGTGCGCCTCTTCACCCAGCTCAAGTTTGGAGTGGTACAGACGTGTATCCTTTGCACCGGCCTTGGCGTTCCTGGATGTCAGCAGTTTCTGGTTTTGTTTTCTTGTTTAGAAATGACTTTAACAGTAGACATGATCTGTGAAGAGCTATTTATTAGCCATTTTCTGCTGTAAGGTTTTTAAGTATCATCGAAGGACACGAAAAGAACACTTTGATAAGATAGATACTCATATTTGTGGTTAGTGAGAAACGCACTACCAGGATGCCTACTTTGCCCAATCTGTACATTCAACGTAGTGCCAGTGAAAATGCCAATAGAATTTTTCATGGAACTTGAAAATTACCTTCCTAAATTTGTGTGAAGTAAACCAGAGGGCCACTGAGTCCAGGCAGAAAGTAGAGCTGGGCCGGATTATAGCTGCGTTGTCATTAATATCAGAGTCCACAGTCTGAGAAGGCTGCCAATATCCACCTCCCCCTGAGCTTTCAGAAGCAAGTTTATATGGGGGGAAATGTGGGGGTTCGGAGGTGGCAGTTCCCAGGGGTGGGGCAGACAGGTGCTGACAGAAGTGCTATTTCTCCTGAGAGCGGGGGGGGGGGGGGGGGGGGGGGGGGCGCTGCTCAGCTTCTTCCCCAGAGGCCTGTGGTTTATGGCCAGGGAGGCTACAGTATCCTCTGGTTAGGGAGGAGAGGTATAAACCATTTGCTTCCTCGCCCTCGGTTAGGCGAGATAAGGTCTCCCATTCACCAGCTGGCTCTGAGTTGCTCAAACTATTTGGTCTTGTTTGATGTTCGTGTCTCAGTTTCCGCATTCCACTTGTCCAGGAATTTTCCTGACATCTTACTGTCCTGCTCAGTTTTGAGCAACAGGCAGGGAGATTTGCCCTACCAGGTGTCAAGACTTCCATCATTTAGGAGACAGTAATTGAAACAGTTACACGGGTGCAAGGACGTCTAGTTAGACATGGGGAACAATAGAGAAGCAGCAGCCGGCCTGCCCCGGAAGTGCAGTGAGTGGCGGAGTTAGTGCGATCTCTCGGTGAGGGCAGAATGGACCGTTTAATAAAACGTGCTGGAATGTTGGTTCTCCAGCTGGAAAAATAGACAACTAGACTCCTACTTTGTACTAGAATTCACTCCAGGTGGATTGAAAATGTAAATGGGCAAAACAAAACCTGTAAGACCTACATGATGTCAAGAGTAGGGAATCATTCCTTAAAATCCCAGAAGGCACACAGCGAAAAGGAAAAACATTTAAAAATTTGACCACATCAAAGTAAATGTTCTACTGATACAAACAAACCCCAAAACAAATATCAACAAAGTGAGTAACAAGTCCACAGCCTCAGGGAAGTTATTCAGTCTGCGTAACACAGGAAGAACTGTAACTCTAAGAAGCAAAGCCCAAACAGCGCAGTACGAAAACTAGTAAAGGATGCGAACAGGCAGTTCTCAGTGGAGGGAAATTGAATGGCCAATAAATAACCCGATGGGAACGTGCCCCCCTCAGCGCTGATTGGGAAATGGAAGTGTGAAGTTGCACCTTCCCAGGACTCGTGAGTTCCTCCCCCAACTGTGGACCTGAGACCCATCCAAAGACGTTTATTGCAGGTTTGCGACTGCAAAAAGTTGGAATCACACCAAATGGGAAAATTAGAGAGTGTTCACTAATACGGTTTTGTGCCAAAGTTAAAATGAACGAAGCAGAATTGTGTGTAGGGACATAGCTAATTCCCAAAGACGTAGCATTGACTAAGAAAAAGAAAGTTGGAATATGTGCCTAAAACATAGTGCCATTATTTTTAGTTTTAGAAACATAGGAACTATACGGAGACATCTGAAAATACTCAGGTGCTGATCTGCAACTATAAGGCCGGAGGCAACAAGCATTCGTTCGAGATTCAAAGAACAGCCTTTTGGGAAGCCCTGATTCAGGCGGAGCTCAAACGGTGCTGGGATTAGGAGGTGAAGGCGAGAGGAGTTAATGAGGGGAGCAATTACACGAGTGGGGGAAGAGACTTGGGGTGTCAGTAAGCTGAGGAAGGCGTTCCTGTAGGTGCAGATAAGCTAACGTAAGTCAGGCTGACGTTAGTCACGGTGTCTGCTGTATTCCGGGGTTTGCGCGCCATTTGAAAACTGCTGCTTACGTGCCCAGTCCCCACGTTCCACGGGTTTGCGGAGTGGGGCAGGCGAGGCGGGCCCTCTGGGTCAGCGGCTCCGGCTCCGCTTTCAAGAGGCCCGGTTTCCGTGACGCTCCACAGCGGGAAGGACGCACAGAGATTTCATGTTAGCGGTCCCTCCCGAGGACAGAGACGTAAAGGTTGTTCTTTTCATTGTGTTTTTAAATGTTATTTTTACAGAGATGGGAAGGGAGGGAGACAGAAAGGGAGAGAAACAGTGATATGTGAGAGAAACATCCATCCGTTGCCCCTCCCATGCTCCCCAACAGGGGACTGGGCCCAGGCAGGTGCCCGGATCGGGAACTGAACCCGCGATTCTTGACTTTGTGGAATGACGTGCAACCAACTGAGCCGTGCTGGTCAGGGCAAAGTTTTCTTTATTTTTGTTGTTTTTTTAATGGCTCTTAATGTTTTATCTTTACAAAGATAGCCCTGGCTGCTGTGGCTCAGTGGATTGAGCTCCAGCCTGCAAACCAAAAGGTCCTGAGCTCAATGCCCAGTCAGGTCACATGCCTGGGTTGCAGGCAGGGTCCCCAGTTGGGGGCATGAGAGAAGCAGCCAGTCAGTGTATCTCTTGCACACCGATGTTTCTCACTTTCTCCCTCCCTTCCCCTCTCTCTAAGGATATATAAATAAAATCTTTTAAAATAAATAAATAATAAATTTAAAAATACCTGGAGCAAATAGGGTATCACATTGAGATTTATTAAAGCCAGGGCTAGGAGGGTACAGGTGATGGTTCCTTTGTGTAATATTTGAAGCATTCCATAGTTAAAGCGGTTTCTAGTTGTTTTTGTTCGTACGTGGAGACCAGGAGGAGGAGCAGTAAACATGCTTCAGAAGCAACGCCACACGCGTCGGGTGTTTGCAGGGAAGCCCTCGGTTGGCCAGCACAGTTTCCTTAACCCGCCTTCTGTAGCGGTGGAAGAATGCAGCCGAAAAGGGTGCCTCGCCCTGTCCCTCCTCGAACTCTTGGGTTTCAACTTGATCTTTGTCTTCTTGGGGAGCCTGCTCGTCCTAATTGAGGTGAGGGGTGTGGGCGCTGCCGTTCTGTTGTCGAGGTTTGGGGCCCTGCACGCCACTCATTCACTTAGAAATGTGTCCGAGAGGAAAGGAGTGTGGCCTCTGGTGAGATTAAAGAGGAAACGTCTAGATTGGGGCGGAGGGGGGTTCTCCACCTTGGGAAGCACATTAGGATCCCCTGGGGAACTTTGAAAACAACTGGTACCCGGTTGTTTCGGGTAATCAAAATTTCTGGAAGTGGGGTGTCTGCATGTATCATTGAAAGGCTCTGCAGGTGATGCCAAGTCTCCGGGAATTTGTTAGAAATGCATGTTCTCCCATTGCCCTCAGACCTCTGGGGTCAGAGACCAGGGGTGGGACCAGGCACCTGTGTCCTCCCAGGCCCCACAGGTGGTGCTGGCGCTAAGGGAGGAGTCGGGTGTCCCTCTGTCGCATTTGGTGAGGGTGGGCCGGAGCTGACGGGCTTGGGTGCATGGGTATGCCTACTCTCCCGCCAGCCAGTGGCAGCAGGTTCCGGGATACCCGAGATCAAATGCTACCTGAATGGTGTGAAGGTGCCCGGAATTGTGCGTCTGCGGACCCTGCTCTGCAAAGCTTTCGGCGTGTTGTTCAGTGTGGCTGGAGGTAAGGAGGGTCTCTCTGACTTTACCTGCATGTCTTCCAGCGGGGTGGTGGATGGCAAGGGGCATTATGTGTGTGAATGAAGCAGATTCGGGTTGGGGGGCCCGCCCTCAAACAGGTCTCTGCGTTCCTGCTGATGGCTTACTCTTCTCCGTGCAGACACTGCTGGTAAGGGGCCCTTTGGTTTGAAGCAGACCGACCATCTAGTTGGTCTGTGGGGTTGGCTTTCAGCAAAGTCGCCCAGCTTTTTATGCAGACAGCCAGGTAATCAACACGTTAGGCTTTGTGGGCCAAGAGGCAAAATAGAAAATATTATTTAGGAACTTACACATGCATAACTGTGCGCTTCCCCATCCCACAGAGATCTACCAGCTGCCATGGATGAGAACAGGTCGTCCGGGACACAATCTTGCTGTTCCCTCGGGAAAGAGGGTGGCGATTCCCTCTAGTGGGGGACGCCCCAGCCCTTCTCTGAATCGGCTTTTTTCGGGAATGGTGTGTGCAGGGGTACACAGCGTGCATAGCTCATCAGTCAATGTCAAAGGCCAGCAGTCATACAAACACAGGTGTCATCTATCGGTAACAGTTGAAGGAACACAGAGGTCTATCTGCCTCAGGTCAGGGTCTGTGAGTCATGCTGACGCCAGAGGGTCTCCAAGATGTGTTTCATAAGATAAGGAGTGTGGGGGCTACTTTGCCCGCAAAGTCCCCCCATCCACCATGGATGAAAGTAAACACTACGAACACATGATCTGCTTGGGGAGGAGAGGTGGCCAATCCCTCAAAGGGGAAGGGCCAAGAGACTCTTCCTTAAGGGGCTTTTATTGAGTTCATTGTACAAGAACACAGGTAAGGATCAAACAATGGATAGCATTCAAAGAAGTATGAGGGCTTATTCTCAGCCAGGGTCAGATAGCTAAAGAGCCATAAAACTCTGAGGAACCAACTTCTTGCTTGGACCCTTGTCATTTAAATGAGAGCATTCTAAAAGAAGCAGGTTTCACCGGATTTTTACATATTCTTTCTTAGGCCTGATTTACCCCGGATACCACTCTAGCAAGGCAAGGAGCTGCGCTGCCTCCCCCATCATAGGCTTTTAGGCTTAAGTGGATTAGAGCCAGGAAGCACTTCTCCCAGACAGAAAAGGGGACTCGGGCTATGTCACAGTAGCAGGGGGACAAGGGTCCATGGCTCCCTCCTTGTTGCAGCCCCTGAGTCCTTCCATGATGGCCTCCCAAGTGATCGTGCCTGGCCTAGGTTGCCCCTCTCCGAGGGGTCGTACCCGCCATGGACATCGACCATGCTTTGCGGGTAGGGGAAGAAGGGGAAGCAGGGCTTGCTGTCAGAGACAAGCTTTGTCTCCTGTGGCCCACATCCCGGAGGTCACTCACTTAGCCATGGGGGGCAGTTACAGTTCCTGAAACCAGGCAGGGTGGTTCCCAACATCTCTCCCTTTTCTGTTTTTTAAGTCAGTTGAAGCTGTTAGGCCTGCGAAACCTATTATTTGCTGTTCCCGAATGCAATCACAAGAAAACAACTTCCATATACATCATAAAGCACAAATAAGGATTAAAACAAGGAGGAGCCCAGGCGCTGCCATAACCCAAACTTGTAAATTCAGTGCCTTGAAGAATGTTACAAATGCAAGAAGATGACAAGAGTAACAGCCCTGGTTACAATTCATACTTTGGGAGAATTAGCACAGATTTCGGGAAGTTACTGTGAAGATACGTAGCAAGGGCTTCAGGGTGAGAAAGATTTAGCAAGAACAAGTTACAAAGCATTATTAGAATCAGTAAACAACCAGCATCTCAAAAGACCCACATTCTCAGATTAAGTCCATCAAACCAATTTTCGGAGGGCGGGTGTTCATCTAGCCAATTAAGCATCGAATGTCCTGGAGCTGCTGATGTAGCTGTAGCTGCAATTTATCAATTTGTCCCTTTAGTTGGTAGAGAAAGTCCCTCCTAGGTGATGTTGAATACCACTCCAGGAATTCCACTTCAGGGGGATGACACACAGCTTGGAGAAGTCTGGGTCGAGAGAGTCCAATGGGTGGAGGTGGATTGCATCAGGGAAGCCTTTTCTAAACGAAGGAGTTCACTCCTTGTGCCTTGACTGTAAACATTGGGTGTATATCAACAGAGCCATAAAAGCAAAGCAAGCTTCAAAGGGGATGGTGTATTCTTTAGGCCCGATTTCCCGAGGGAACCCTGGGTGCCCGCCTCCAGTACTCCCGGCGTTCCAGTCGAGGCTCACGGCTCTCTCAGGGCCTTGCTTGTGGGGGGCTACAGTCTCCGATGCCACACAAAGTGGTCCCCAACATCTCCCCCCCTTTTTTGAAGTATTTTTTATTGATTACACTATTGCAATTTTCTCAATTATCTTCCCCATGTCCCCCCTCCGCCCTCCCACCCCAGCCCTCCAGCATCCTCCCGCCCTTAGTTCATGTCCGTGGGTTGTACATACAGGTTTTTCTTTAGTTCTTTCCTGTACTATTCTTAACCCCTCCCTGTCTATTTTATTCCTACCAGTTATGCTTTCCCGTACCTTCCCCCTCCCCACTGAAATCCCTCTGTGTGATCTCCATTTCTCTGATTCTAGGTTCCGGTTCTAGTTGTTTGCTTAGTTTTTGTTTCTATTGGTTGTCTCTTCTTTTAGGTTCATTTTGTTGATCGTTGTGAGTTTGTGTTCATTTCACTGTTCATATTTTTTATATTTTTCTGAGATAAGTCCCTTTAACATTTCATATAAGGACTTGGTGATGATGCACTCCTTTGACTTGACCTTATCTGGGAAGCACTTTATCTGCCCTTCCATTGTAAATGAAAGCTTTGCTGGATGCAGTCATCTTGGATGTAGGTCCTTGTCTTACATCTCCCCCTTTTTGTTTGTTATGGCCGACACGGTGGTAAGTCTGATGAAGCCTGCTACTTGCTTTTTGCTTGCATGGCCTCTGGAAAACAGTTTGTGCATGCATCTCAGGGCACAAAAGATGACAGTGGTCAGGAGGCATCCTGTAGCCCCTGTCACCTAGACACGCAGATTTGGTCCTTCAAACCAAGCCCTTGGATTGAGCCATTGTAAGTTGTCATGCAAGGCCCAAAAGGCCCCTGTTCAGTGAACCGTATATTGTCCTGGAGTTGATGGATTTGTCGCTTGAGATCGGTGGGAAAGGCCCCTTGCTGTCCGTGTGGGCCTCCTCCCAAGAGCGCCGACTGGAGTCCCACTTCAGACCGGTAACCCATAGCTTAGAGCAGCCTGGACCACAAGTGAGCTCCTGACAAGTGACAAGAGCATCTTCGTCATCTATTCTGTTTCTTCCCGGTCCGGGGGTGGGGGGGGCATCCAGGGGACAGAGGCAGGCCGTGAGCAGGGTAGCCTTTTCCATGCCGGCAGCTCCAGGGCTCCTTCAGGAGGGGGAGACACAGGTGCGCCCTCTTCCCCGGGGTAATTGTCGCGCCCTCTCTCGGCCCTTGGTGATAAGCTGACCGAGGGCTGTGAGGTAGGCGTGAGGGTCCTGTGTGGCTGGCAGGGAGGAAGAGCCATTCAGTGATTTCAGATTGGGGGTTAACTGTCCTAACACTCCTGTAGGTGTGCAAAGAGTAGGAAAACAAAATAACAGCACCGGGTGTGAGGGATCTACTGGAGTGAACTGCCCGGTTTGAATTGCTGGATCGACAAGGCTTAGCTCTGCTCACAGGAGTGGGGAGAGACCCCTCTGTGATGTTAGTTCCTGTCCCCTCTTCTGTCTCCTCTTCTGTCAGCTTTAAGCCCTTAACCCTTGGCTGCCCGGTAGGCAGTGGGCAGAGAGCAGTGCGGTGCGGGGCTCCAAGCGAGGAGGCATTGCGAGCCTACCTCTACTCCATGTGTCGGTGCCACTTCAGCCTCTGTCCTACCTTCTCCCAGCCCGGGAGGTCCAACGATCTCTCGTCTGGTAACCAAGAGCAATAATATTTCAGCTTTTGCAAAAGACTAAGTGCTGGTCCTTGACCTGGCAGCCAGCTCCTGGGAGCAGCTGCCAGAGCCATCGAATGTAAACTTCTTGTTCCTTCGATAGCCCCCTTCCCACCTCGGTTAGATGTCAGAAAGATAGTAGAAAGGTCACTCTCCTCCTAGGAATGAAACCTGAGTGGGGAGTTGAGGGGTTAAACAGTGGCCTGTTCCCTGGGAGTGACCCGAGAAGCAGTTTGTTCCATCCTTAGAGTGATCTTCCCCCTTTTGCTCTGCTCAGGGATCTGGAGAAAACCCCGGGGGCTGCTGTCCCTCATCTCAGGGATGACCTGGCCAGAATTCAGTGGGGAATGCAGACAGCTTTCCAGTCTCTGGCTTGCGCAGCCTCTGGGAGACATGGCTGCGTGGCGGTGGTAGTCTGGCCATGGCCGGAGATGAATCTGACGAGGAGAGTGGGGAGCAGGTGGCTACTCCAGCGAGTTATCCTGGAGTGGGACCCGGGGAGGGCTGGGGAGGGAGCATCCCTCCTTCGTTTGTGGTGGTGGGTGTTTATTATTAGGTTCAGCAACCACGCCCACCACAGCCCTGCGAGTCCCCTCTGTCGTGTCTGAGCTTTGCTGAATATCAGGGTTTCTAGAATGAATAGGGGCCAGAGCCACTCTAGCTAGGCTCCAGGGCAATAAATTCCAATGTCCTATAGGGGTCCCGTTCTTCTGATACCATTTAATTTCTGCTCCACTTTTCCCCACACTTGGAAATCTGAAGAGCCTGTATCTGGGAACCAGGACAGTAGGTCTTTACTATCTGTAATAAGTGAATTAAGTTCTGTTCTTCAGCCTGGTGTCCCGCAGTCTGAAGAAGCTGCTGAAGCAGTGGAAAACGAATCTCCTGCTCCTCGGAAAGCCCCGAGCCCCTATCAGGGGCTGGGCTACTTTTCCTTTTGGTTTTGTCTTCCCCCACCCTCGCTCTGCTTATCTAGTTCTGTAAACCTCTCTGGCTAATTGCTGGGGAATGAGATGGATGTCAGCTACTGATTCCCTTCCTGAAACACCTGGGGGCAGAGGGCGGGGAAGAGGACCTGGCACAGTTCTGAACAGGCACAAGGGGTGGCGCTGAAAGAAACCCCCCTTCCCCTCATCGCAGACACACCAGCGGCGTAAGCAGACGCCCGGTGCCGCCGTCCCTTACTGTGGGACGAAGGCCCCGAATCCTGTCTGTCTGGTGTGCCTTCTGTGATGATGGCTTGTAGCCTCTTGGCCGATGCAGGTCCGGAATCAAGGGTCACTGTTGGGGTGCCAAGATGGGGGCTTCCCCGTCCCATCTCTGCCGGCTGCTAAGGATGAGAAATAAGTCGTCCCGGACACGAGCTGTTGTTCCCTTGGGATGGGGTGGTGATTCCCTCTAGTGGGGGACACCCCAGCCCTTCTCTGAAACAGTTTTTATTGGGAATGGTGTGTGCAGGGGTACACAGCGTGCATAGCCCATCAGTCAATGTCAAAGGCCAATAGTCATGCAAACACAGGTGTCATCTCGGTAACAGCTGAAGGAACACAGGTCTGTCTGCCTCAGGTCAGGGTCTGTGAGTCATGCTGACGCCAGATGGTCTGCAAGACGTGTTTCATGACATTAGGACTTCGCTCTTTATGCCTTGAACTTAAATATCCCGTGTATTTCGACAGAGCCATAAAAGTAAAGCAAGCTTCAAAGGGTATGATGTATTCTTTAGGCCCGATTTCCCGCGGGCACCCTGGGTGCCCGCCTCCAGCACTCCCGGCGTTGCAGTCGAGGCCCACGGGCCTCTCTCAAGGCCTTGCTTGTGGAGCGCGGCAGTCTCCGATGCCACACAAAGTGGTCCCCAACACGTAACCATTTAAAACATACCCAGATAAGAATGTAAAACTTACCCTTCACTCTCCAGCTGTACAAAACACAGCCCGGAGATCCTGTTTAGCCTGCAGGCTGTAGTTTGCTGATGCCCAGTTCAGACTTCAAATAAAGAGTAACCCCTATCACCTGATGGGAATTTGACTCGCTCCTTCCGTTAGATAGTCACACAATCATCTCTGCTGCAAAGTCACCAAGAGGAAGACTTACACAGGACAGGCCTCCTGAGCTGGGGTGGGTTCAGTGCTGACTGACGGTCTCCCCTCTCCCCCGTCCCAGGGCTTTTCGTGGGAAAGGAAGGCCCCATGATCCACAGCGGCGCAGTGGTGGGCGCTGGCCTCCCTCAGGTAAGGGCGGCAGGGAGGGGAAGCCCTTGGAGCGCTTTCCTGGGCAGGGCACTCTGTGAGGCCACCTGAACACAACTTCAGAGTCTGATCATTGATTCTAGAGAGAGCGGGAGGGAGGGAGAAAGAGAAACATCGATGCGAGACAGGAACAGTAATCAGTTGCCTCTTGCGTGCACCCCAACTAGGGACCAAACCCGAACCCCAGGTGTGTGTCCTGAGCAGGATTCAAACCAGCGACCTTTGGGTTTGCAGGATGACACACCCAGCCACCTGAGCCGCACTGGCCAGGCATGACACCTCAAAGTTTTAACAAGGCCCTGCCAAGTCCTAGGGCCAGAATGGGACCCAGAGAAAGTGTGTTCAGACGGAAGCCCCCTGGTGCCCCCACAGCCACTGCCCGGTGCCTCCACGGGAGGTGGATCGGTGGGTGGCTGGCTCAGCGCCGCCGAATCCCAAGGGGCCGGAAGCCCGTCCGAGGTGGCTCCGGGCGCAGGGCTGCGTGGACTGCCCCTGAGGTAGCGCAGGGCCAGCAGCAGCCCCCAGTGTGGAGCCGGCCTAGCAATCAGACGCTCCGTCCTTATGGGCTAGTCTGCAGGTGGGGGACATCTCCGTGCCTCATGACCTGTCACTTGTGGACACATCCCTGTCCCCTTCTGAGGGGACAGAGTGACCGACAGTGGTCGAAGCAGAGGAGAAAAGTCGGTCTCGTCCACAGTTCGTCTTCTCTCTCTGTCTTGCTGCCGCCCCCACCTCCCGGGAGCGAGCGGGGGTGGGGCGGCTGCATGAGCATTTGGCGGACAGGTTGGCAGGTGGCGCCTGGGCCCTTCTTCCCGCCACCCCGAGCAGGGCCGCTTTATCTTCTGCGGCAGCTTCCATGTCCTCCCAGCCCTCCGCTCGGCTGCGTCCCTCCCCATTTTCTCTCTGACAAGCTGACTCTGTACAAAGTGCAGTTTCCGAAGATCCTAGAAATGCAGGGTGAGGAAGTATCTCCCAGAGATACTTCTCTTTCTCTGGGCCGCTGTTCCGCAGCCCTTATGCCCAGGTGTGCGGGGGGGGGGGTGTGAGGGGACCCCCCGGGTCCTGCAGACTTGGCCCTGACTTGGTTTCCTCTCGTTTTAGTTTCAGAGCATCTCCTTCCGGAAGATCCAGGTGAACTTCCCCTATTTCCGAAGTGACAGGTATGGAAAGGTTAGGAATTGGACTTTCTTTTTTTGGCTGCTGCTTCGTTTTTAAATTAAGTTCAGTGGGGCGACGTTTGCCGCCCCTCAGACCCAGTACTCGCTCTGGCTGGCTCTTCGTCTCCCCTGCTGGGCGGGCAGTGGGCGACAGCCGGCACCACAAAGGAGCGGGCCTTGAGCTTCTGTCCTGGAAATAAGCGACAAGGGCCCGGCTGGTCCGGTGGTTTCTGTTTTGTCGTGAACTAAGGCCTGGAGGCATCGTGACCAAGGGAGATGAAAACCACGACCGAGACAGTCCACAGGCACACCCCCAGGGTGAATTTCATAGTCCAGAGCAGTGTACTTGGTCTGCTGCCTTTCTGGGTTGGAAGGTGTAGGTGTGCGCTCTCTCTGTGCTTTTTTGCCCTGTGGGGTTTGTGTGTGTGGAACTGCCAAGCACGCCAGGCCCGTGGCGTCGGGGGCCCTGGGTCAGAGCTGCGGTCCACCTTCCGTCTTAGTCTTCCTGTGAGTCATTGTCACCCACGCCTCTGCACGTAACCTGCACTTGGACGTTTTCACGAAGCCGTGGCTTCCTGGAAGGAAGAGCTGCGGAGAGTACGGCTCGGCGGGGGCTGCACTGGGGCTGAGGAGCTGTGTTCAGGGGGCCCCTCCACCTGGTGGAACTCAGGCTGGGGAGAGCGCCTGGCCTCCCCAGAGACCTGCCCTCCAGCCCTGACCCCCTGGGTCCCGAGATAAAGTGTTGGCAGATAAGGGAAGAACTGCCTTTTGCGGCCTGAGCGCTCTTTCCAATAAACTGCCGGTCTCTTCTCTCCTCAGAGACAAGCGAGACTTTGTATCTGCAGGGGCAGCCGCGGGCGTCGCCGCAGCTTTCGGGGCTCCCATCGGGGGCACCTTGTTCAGCCTGGAGGAGGGCTCGTCCTTCTGGAACCAAGGGCTCACGTGGAAAGTGGTGAGGGGGACCTCCAGGAAGAGCCTTCTCCCGGGCTCCGTGCGCAGGGTTAGGCTGGGCACACCTCGCCCGGTGCCTGTGGTCCCGATGATCAGCGTGGCTCCCTTACTCGGAGGCTCCTTTGCCTTAGGCGCCCATAACTGCCAGGCCGTGGACTCGCCCGTGCTTTTCGTATTCGTGCCGCACCGTCCCACGTCACACTGCCCTCATCCCCTCTCGGTGAGCCGCCCGACAGGAGGAGGCGGCGCTGGCGTGGCCGTCAGGCAGGCAGGGCCACCCCTGCACCGAACCCCCGTCCACTACCTCAGAGTAGTACGTTCTTCCTCTCGCATCTACTGTTCCTTTCTGGCTCAGGAGCCGGTGCGTAACTGGCTGTAAGCAAATAGGCTGTAACAACAGGCTGTTGAAACGGAAGCCTCTGGTGGCCGGCCCGTAGCGCAGTCGGTCACACCGGGGGTGCCTCCCCTGCAGTGGTCAGCGGTCCCTGGATCAGACCTGGGGTTCACAGGTTTCTGTGCACAGCAGGGGCTTTACGGGGAGGGAGCGTCGGGGGGAAGTAGGAGCTGTCACTGTGGAACGTTCTTGTTTTGTCGCCTGTCCCTAGCTCTTCTGCTCCATGTCGGCCACCTTCACCCTCAACTTCTTTCGTTCTGGGATTCAGTTTGGAAGCTGGGGCTCCTTCCATCTCCCCGGGCTGCTGAGCTTCGGCGAGTTTAAGGTACGTTTCGCCCTTTTCCCCCAGAATTTATTGCATGACCCGTGACAGCTGCTCTAAGTACCAGAGAGAAGTGATCAGAAGGGCAGGCGCAGCTTCTGGAGGGGGGGTCTCTGCCCCACCAGCCTCCCAGGCTTGCCTCCTGCCCGGGGTGGGCCGGGCTGCAGCACCACATGGCTCCCCGGGAGAGCCGGCAGCCTCTGCTTCCGCCCCCGCCTGTTCTCAGGGGCGCTGTGGTATTTCTCTCTCCCTCCCTTGCCCTTCTCTCAGTGCTCTGACTCTGATAAAAAATGTCACCTCTGGACAGCTGTGGATTTGGGTTTCTTCATCGTGATGGGGGTCATTGGGGGCCTCCTGGGAGCCACATTCAACTGTCTGAACAAGAGGCTTGCAAAGTACCGTATGCGGAACGTGCACCCGAAACCTAAGCTCGTCAGGTACCTGAGCTGCCCCCTCCCCAACCCGTGGAGGCACCCCAAGCTTTGTGTGGGCAGGGGCATCTCTCCTGAGGGGGGTGACCACGGGACCAGACCCTGCCTTCCACACCAGCTCTGATTCCACGTCCGAGACTGGGGCAGTAGACAGGGTCATACACCTACTGTATCCGTCAGGCCAGAAGGCCGAGTCTGAGCTTAACTGATACCAGAGTTGCGGGTGGACCCCCAGTCTCTCCGGACTTGCCACTAGGCCCTTGATGAGTCAGGAGGGCCAGTGAGACTCTCACCCCAGGACCTGATACAAAAGGCCGTCTTGTTCCTCAGCGAGAGCTGGTGTGGACGCAGCAGCCCCATCCCTGGCTGCCCACTCTTTACGTAGAAGTTGCTGGACCAAGTGCTGACTGATTGGGGGCCACTGTGTGTGCATGGTCTCTGGGGAGACGGGAGCTGGGGGCCGGTGGGGTTGTGTGCTGAGTTTCCAAGGCTGGAGTGTCCCGTCATCGAGTAACCGCGGCCCTCCCGTGCTTTCCAGAGTCCTAGAGAGCCTCCTGGTGTCCCTGGTGACCACCGCGGTGGTGTTCGTGGCCTCGATGGTGTTAGGGGAATGCCGGCAGATGTCGTCTTCCAGTCAGCTCGGGAATGACTCGTCCCTGCTCCAGGTAACCCCCGTGCAACTGCAGCCTTTGTGCCGCGTCCACAAGAAGGATCCAGAAACATGCAGGACGTGTCTCTGTTTAGAGCTGCCGAGCGTGGTGGGCACGGTGTTCCACACCTGCCCGGTTTGCCGAGAGGGAGGGGCGTGCAGCAGCCCTCTTACGAAAATGAGCGTGTGTCCTCCATCTCCCTCGCTGTCCTGGCCCTGGTATCCCAGAGGTGAACTCCGGCCTCTCTCTTTCTCTCTTGAACAACACTATTTGGAAGCAGAAGCCGGGGAGGTGGACAGCCGGCTGCTTCTTCAGGCCCCCGTCTGTCTTCCGACTGTCCGCACCTGAAATGTGCCACCAGCCTTACCTCCTCCCCCACTGGTGATGGTGGGTCGCACTGAGACAGGGCTGTTCACGGTGGTGAGGTCACTTACTGGCATCCGTCCTGTCTGCATCGCCCCTTTTCTGTTCTTAGGAGCATGTGGTAGTTTCCAGAATCTCTCCCCAAAAGGGCAGGGTCCGTGGGGCAGGAGTCAGAGCTTACTCTGACCAGTGGCTTCGGGGCCAGCCTGGAGGTGAGTCTGCGAGCTGGACTTTGGTTGGTCAGCTGCGCGGTTCTGGCCTGTAGGTTGGAGCCTGGGGAGTGCTAAGTACCTGTCTCGTAGTCCCAAGTGGCCACTCAAGTGCCCCAGAGCCCCTCTGGGGCCTTTGTCTTGGATGGCTGCTGCTTCAGTGTCCCCGGGCTGGCCCAGGCAGTGGAGCGGGGGTGGGTAGACTGCAGCCCACGGGCCAGACGCAGACCTTGGCAACTGCTTGTTTCTGTGTAGCCCTCGAGCTAAGACTGGCTTCCACATTTCTAAAGAGCTGAAAGAGGCCAAGAAGACTATGTAACAGAAGTTCTACGTGACCCCTGCCTGGTGTGCCTCAGTGGGTTGAACGCCAGCCTGCAAACCAAAGGGTCACTGGTTCAATTCCTGATCAGGACACAGGACACAGGCCAGGTCCCCAGTTGGGGGCGTGCAAGAGGCGGGAATCCCTATCGATGTTTCTCTCGCAAATCAATGTTTTTCTCTCTCCCTTCCCCCCTCTCTAAAAATAAATAAAATTTAAGAAAGAAGAGACAAACTGTATATGGTCTGTAAAAGCTAAAATATGTACTGTCTGGCTCTTTACAGACAAATTTTGCTGACCCGCTACCAGTTATTCCCAAGGCCACAGCCTCATTACTAGACTGGTATCTCTTAAAACGTGTTCCAAGGAACACTGATTTACATGATTCAGAAGCAAAAGGAAATGGATTCTGTGCTCAAATGGGTTAACCAGAATGAAATAAGTTTCTTTAATGCTGGACTTCATAAGGCCCTTTCAAGTTCCAGTAAGAGTGATGAACGTTTGGAATGTTCGCTGTCCCCGATTTCCAACAAGGTGCTTTACAGAATGGTCTCACATGATCCCCACCACGGCCGTGTTGGGCTCGTGTCGTTATCCCTGTTCTGCAGGTGGGAAAACAGGGGCCAAGCGAGGCCTTGACCAAGATCACTCAGCAATATGCAGCATGGGGTAGGAGCCGAGCCATTTTATAGATGAGAAAACTTAAGCAGCACAAAAGGAAGTACCGTATTTTGCTGTGTATAATGCACATGGTTTTAGTGCTAATTCCCCATGGGGGCAACCTTTCCTGCAGGTCCCCCCGTCCGCCACGGATGAAAGTAAATAAGACGTGATCTGTTTGGGGAGGAGAGGTGGCCGATCCCTCAAAAGGGAAGGGCCCTGAGCCCCCCCACCCCCCGCCAGGAGCTTTTATTGGGTTGTAATACACAGGAATACAGGGTGGCAAGGATCAAACAGTAGATAACATTTCAAAGAAATCTGAGGGCTTAGTATGAGTCAGAGTCTGTCAGGAACAGAGTTTCAGGGTTTCTTGCTGGAACCCTTAACATATGAATGAAAGCACTCTTAGCAGAGCAGATTTCACAGGTTTATCAGGAAGTCTTTGTGATGCCAGATTTTTCCCCAGGACACGCTCTAGCAAGGCGAGGAGCTGCACCCCTCCCCATCAGGTATTCAGGCTTAAGTGGATTAGAGCCAGGAAGTCCTTCTCTCGGAGGACATGTGGACTCATAGTGGGGATGGGGGGGTCTGTTGCTTGCTCTTTGTTGCAGCCCTCTGAGTCCTTCCATGATGTTCTCCCAAGTGATTGAGTCTGGCTTAGGTTTCCCCTCACTGTGAGGAGACTTACCCATCAATAACACAGACCAAGCTTTGGGGACAGGGAGAGGAAACTGAGACAGAATTTGCTACCAGAGGCAAGCTTTGTCTCCTGTGGCTCACATTCTGGAGGTCACTCGCTCATCCTTAGCCAAGGGGGGTAGAGTTACAATTCCTGAAACCAGGCAGAGCGGTCCCCAACAATTCCCGTGTATAATTCACATTGTACGTGGGAGTTAGTGCTGCCCACATGTAATGCCATCCTCCTTTTTCACTCAAAAATTGGGGCAAAGAGTGTGCATATCATACGTGGCAAAATACGTTACCTTTCCTAAGGTCAAGTCCCTCTGATCTGTGAGCCCTCACCGTGCTTTTAGGGGATGCTCTGATTTCCGGTAAGTGCTTCTCAGCACATGCAACTCTTCCCAGGGAGCCTTCAGGACTGGCGTTCCTCCAGACATGGTTTGGGAAACGCTGCGTGTGTTGGCTGTTGCACTGTCATCTCAGCTTGTCCTTCCACACATTGCTGTCCTCAATGTTTCTCCCTTGCCAGTTCTTCCCTGCCACGTTCCACCAGTAGGGGGCGCTGCCCCCCCCAGCAGTGATCCTCCAGCTGAACCCAGCCAGGTTCAACTCGTAGGGTTAGACAAGCCCATCACCTAGTGTTGTTAGCGTGTCCACACAGGCTGTCTCCACAGTGTTATCAGCAGGACTGAGCCCAGGACAAGTCCACATGCTCAGTGAGTTTTGCAGGAACCCTTTCTGTCTGGTGCCCAGTGACAGGGGTGAAGTGCACCCCCTTGTTGTCACACACCATCAGACGGAAGGCGAGAACTTCCGTAGTCCAGACACCCTTGCCCTTGGAGGAGTTAGGCAGCGCCAGAACTTCATCTTCCTGCACAAAGTGGTGGCGAGAACTAGAGGTCTCAGATGCGAAGGAGTAATCTGTTTTCCCAGGCGGGGTTTTGTTCAGCCGGGTGGAGCCTGGCAGGGGCAGCAGCCGCGCCTCCTGTGCATCAGGCCTCGTGTGGGAGCGGCTTTGCTTCTGCAGCAAATTCAGGGTGGAACCCACGTTAGAGCATTAGGTCAGCCCTACCGTGGACACAGCCTCGCAAACCTGCCAACCCCCCACCACTTGTCTGTCACCTGCCTCATCTTCCCCTAGTCGCCGGGGTCTCAAGTGGGCTTCCAGGAGTGTCCTTCACAAAGCTAGCACGGGGGGCAGAGGCAAGGCCAAATCCACAGGGACTCCTAATCATAGTTATGTTTTTTTATGAGTGTGGGTGAACAAGGGCCCCCATCCTGATTCATCATTCCCAAAATGTAAGGAATACAGTCTCAGTTGTCTGTTCTTGGGTGTAGAGCTGTGTTTTAATGCCTGCTTAATTTATGGGAAAAACTTAAATGCCAGAAGTTTTCGACCTAGCTGGGGACCTCCTACTTGAAGATTGAGCACTGCAGTCGGGTGTACTGACCTTGACTTGTGTTCCTTAGGTCACATCAGAAGATGTGAATTCAAGCGTCAAGACCTTTTTTTGTCCCAATGAGACCTACAATGACATGGCCACGCTCTTCTTCAACCCCCAGGAGTCTGCCATCCTGCAGCTCTTCCACCAGGACGGTGCGTCCCTGCGCGCCCACGCGTCCCGGGCGGCTGGTTTTTTCTCCAGAGAACGAAGAACAGTAACTCCTCAGCCCCTCTGCTGGCCCTTAGTTCTGGGCAAGGACGGGGCTTTCCCGCTGTCACACCAACCCAGACAGATCAGTGTTCCTGTCCCCCGTGGTGGTGGCGATCTGGTCGGGGTGTGGAAGGGCCTGGCAGGAGCCAGGGTGGCCTGGTGGGCCTTGGGGGGCATCCGGCAGCAGGACTCAGGTCTGCCCTCGCCTTGCAGGCACCTTCAGCCCCGTCACCCTGGCTCTGTTCTTCGTCCTCTACTTCCTGCTTGCGTGTTGGACTTACGGCATTTCTGTCCCAAGCGGTCTCTTTGTGCCTTCTCTGCTGTGTGGAGCTGCTTTTGGACGTTTGGTTGCCAATGTCCTCAAAAGGTACCGTGTGTGTGTGCCTGAGCACGCACGTGTGTGCACAGATGCACACGTGTGTGCACTGTGGCCCCTGCCCCTCCCCCAGGTGTGATTCTAAGCCACGTTCTCGTTTTCCCCCTCCACCAGCTACATTGGCTTGGGCCACATCTATTCGGGGACCTTTGCCCTGATCGGTGCCGCGGCTTTCTTGGGCGGGGTCGTCCGGATGACCATCAGTCTCACGGTCATCCTGATCGAATCTACCAACGAGATCACTTACGGGCTTCCCATCATGGTCACTCTGATGGTGAGCACTCCCCTGCTAGGCCCCTTTCAGGTCCCGGGCCAAGTTCACCCCACAGCAGTCTCTTTTCAGGTCTTTGCTGTGTGTTGCAGGTAGCCAAGTGGACAGGGGACTTCTTCAATAAGGGCATCTATGACATCCATGTGGGCCTGCGAGGGGTGCCGCTTCTGGAATGGGAGACAGAGGCAGAGATGGACAGGTGAGGCCACGATGCCCCGTGTGTCCTGTGTTCAGAACTTGGGCACGCTGCGGCCGAGGAAGGTTGGTTTGAGGGTAGGAAATGGTTATTTAGACTCGGGTTGGAATTAAGTGGAACGTTAAAGAACAGGAAGGTCGTTAAAATAGCAGGCACGTTGGTTCCCAAATATGTTTGGGGACACTGGGGACAGCTCGGTGTGACTGGGCACTGGGACAGGGCAGGGGCAAAGGGGCTGGCCGGTCATGGGTTTGTTTGGTTCCTGTGGTATTCTGGTTAAACAGGAAGTGAGCGCTCTGCAGGAAGTCAGCGTTAGGGTCGAACGTTTAAGGGCCTGCCAAGCCCTGTTTGAGAACTGGCCTGCCTCGCGCACCTGACGGGGTCTCGTGCTGTCAGCAGTGATTTTCCTGGGTGCACAAATGTCTGCGCCTCCTGTGTCTGGGTTGTCACACGAGGCCCTCGGAGTCTAGCAGAGGGGCCCACAGAGTTCTGTACGGAGGCAGAGAGTGAAGTGTCAGCTTCGCAGGCCAGGTGGTCTCTGTCGCAGTTACCCAGCTCTGCCCTATAGTGCGGAAGAAGTCGTGGACAGTGTGTGAACGACACAGGCCGGAACTTGACCTGTGGGCTCTGGTTGCCATCCCTGGTTGAAGGGGCACCCAAACCCTTTTGTTTTTTCTTTACTTTCAGTAGTAGAATTAGCAAGTCTGTGGTGATATGTGGAATGTGCCATGTAGTACTCAGAGGGGACGGCCAGTCAGTCCCCTGGGCGAGCGGATGGGGTTGCGCGAGGGGACTTTGCATATTGAGCCGAGGGGCAGGTAGAGGCCCGGCAGTTTGACGAAGCAGGGAGCGCGTTCCGGGCATGGGGACGGGCATGTGCATCAGACATGGTTTGGGCGAGGCATCCCGGGCGGCCTGGGTGGCAGGAGACCCAGCACAGCCCGTCACGGCCTGCTCCCAGGGGCCCTCACCCGAGGCTGGACGGCTTCCCTCCCTCCCCAGGCTGAGAGCCAGCGACATCATGGAGCCCAACCTGACCTACGTGTACCCGCACACCCGCATCCAGTCTCTGGTCAGCATCCTGCGCACCACGGTCCACCACGCCTTCCCTGTGGTCACCGAGAACCGGGGCAATGAGAAGGAGTTCATGAAAGGCAACCAGCTCATCAGCAACAACATCAAGTTCAAGGTGAGAGAAGCAGCCAGAGAGGAGAGGAGAGTGACAGATGACAAGTAGTTCCGTAGCACTGTCACTGACTAGCACTGGTCACACCCCGCCGATGTGGTGGCTCCGGTCGCCTCCGAGGGGTCAGCACGCTTCACTGTGTGCGACAGTGAGCACAGCGAGTGTGAACTTCGTCCAGGCCAGCGAGACACGCGCCCATTCTCCCAGGCGGCACGAGGACAGATTGGTGTTTACTCGGCAGTCTCTGGGCTCCGTTACTCACGGTGTGCAGGACGTGTCAGGGTTCAGAGCTGCCAGCTGCAGCAGCGGACGGCGCCTGCTTCAGAAAGAAAAGGCAGCTGGCAGCCGCAGGACCCACAGGGAAGCAGGAGAGCCAGGCTGGTGTGTGTGCCCTGGGCGTACAGGCGGCCAGTGGAGGCTCTTTGGGGGCCAGGAGGCCTCCGAGCTGGCTGTGCCGTCCGTGGGGGCTCCCAGTGTGAAGTCCAGGCAGAGGCAGAGTCCCATCGCCACACCTGGGTCATGTGCCCACCCCTTGGCTTTGGGGGCTGAGAGGCACAGAGATTGGCAGGCCACCAAGACGTGACGTGGGAGAAGGGTTGTTCCCCACTGGAGAACAGAGGTGCGGTTTCCAAATCAGAGGAGCAGGGATGTCGGCTGAGACCAGAGGGTCTGCAACAAGCCCTGGGGCCCCGAGAGGCTCCTGTGAGTCCCCGAGCCACTGCAAGGATGCCTCGTGATCCCTGTCGGCCTGGGCTTTGGACCCCCTCTGCGGCCCACACTAAGCGTCACGCTAGTAGCGTCACAGCAGATGCTGTGCTGGTGCGCCTGCGTGCGGCCATCCACGGCCTCCCCGCCAGAAACCTCTGCCATCGTCACCCCTCCCCACCCCCAGAAATCCAGCATCCTCACCCGAGCCGGTGAGCAGCGCCGACGCAGCCAGTCCATGAAGTCCTACCCGTCGAGTGAGCTGCGGAACATGTGTGACGAGCACGTGACCTCGGAGGAGCCAGCGGAGAAGGAGGACCTGCTGCAGCAGATGCTGGAGCGCAGGTGAGGGCGCAGCTCCTCCCACCGCACGAGTGCAGGGCCATCGGCCTATCGGGGGTCGGGAGGGGTCAGCGCTTGGCTCCGGAGCTGTCTGGGACGTTGGGGAGGGGTCGTCGGTCGTGGAAGACATGCGATCCTGTGAGGGTGCACTAGGCAGCGTCTGGTTTTTACGTAACAGATACACTCCCTACCCCAACCTATACCCTGACCAGTCCCCAAGTGAAGACTGGACCATGGAGGAACGCTTCCGCCCTCTGACCTTCCACGGCCTAATCCTCCGGTCGCAGCTTGTCACCCTGCTCGTCCGAGGAGTTTGCTATTCCGAAAGTCAGTCGGTAAGTCTATCTCGTCCCCAGTGGGATGGTGGAAGGCACGAGGGCAGGAACACAGCCTCCGCCTCGGAGAGGAGGGGACACTGGGAGTCCTGCACCGGGGGCTGCTGTCTAGGGGCAAGTGCTGCCCCACGGCCCCTCTGCGCCAGTCGCTGTGCTCCAGGTGACACCGAGCAGGGCATGTGAGTCCCCCCGCCCCTCTCACTCTGCACTTAGTCTCTCACCTGTCCTCAGGTGTCCTGTCGGCCTGCAGGCTTTTAACACATTTCTGTGTTTTAGTTTCTGCTATGCATGAACTTGCTCAAGTTACCAAAGAAGTATCGTTCTTCCTGTAAATTTCCCCGCAGTTTCTTTTTTCTCTTTCATTGGATTTTGTGGAGCTACACGGGGGGGGTTATTGTCCACAGTGGTTCCCCAGCAACCTGAGACCCGCTCCCCCTCACAAGCTGCATCCCTTCAGGGAGAGCCGGAAAAGGACCTGAAAAAGTTTCTTAGAGGCCTGTTTTCCAACGGACTCTCCTGATTCAGGTCTTGTCCATTGCACGTCAGCTGAGGCCATGTGCGGTCCAGCTGGCTCATGGAAGAGCAGCACACCCAGGGTGGGGCGGGGCAGGGCAGGGAGGGCCTCCGGTGCAGAGATTGGGGCTTGAGGGGGTGTTCTCTGGGGAGGACCAGCCTGGCTGAGAATGGGGGAGAGGGGACGAGTGGAACACAGGGGACAAGGAAGTTGGGGGTGTGAAGTGGACCGGATTGCAGAGGCCTTGCCTGCACACCCAGCCAGAGCTGGCCTGACACAGCGCTGGGAGTCGTGGAGGGCAGAGAGAGCCGCGTGCAGCGTGGACTCAGGGAGGAGGACCGAGCAGGGCAGCGGCCAGTGCTGGTGGTCACTGTGGTCGCCAGTGGTGGCAGCCCAGGGGCCCAGTGACAGCAACAGTGACACTCAGGGTGGAGGGGCAGGAACCGAGCCAGTGTCTGGGTTTCCTGTGGCTGCTGTACCCGGCTGCTGCTGACCGGGGGCTTCTCTCCACAGTCGGCGCTCTCGTAGTTCCCGAGGCCAGAGTGCAGCCTCTGGGTTGGCAGCGCCTCACGCGCCGAAGGCTCCGGGGAGGCTCCTCACGCCTCCCGGGTCAGTGGTGGCTGCCAGCCCTCCTCAGCGTCCCCTCCCTGTAGATGCGCCACTCCCGTCTCTGCCATCTCATCACGCGGTCTTCTCCATGCGTCTCCTCTTTTTATGAGGGCACCCGTCACTGGGTTTAAGGCCCCCTAATCCAGGAGGACCTCATCTGCAAAGGCCTGGCTTCCAGTGAGGCCCCGTTCCCAGGCTCCAGGTGTTAAGACTCGGATTTCTCTTTTGGGAGCACACGAGCCAACCCACGCAGCCAGCCTTGGTGCTGTCCTCCTCTAAACGTCAGAGTAGCACGCGTCCGTTCTACAGATGGAGAAAGGGGAGTCCAGGGGAGTTCGGAGGCTTGCCCAGGTGGCACAGCTGGGAACAGGCTGAGAACTGGCCTCGGATCAGTGTCTCCCCCAAAGCACCTGTTCTGGCCGCCTTGCTCTCGGGGGCTGTGGCTGGGCAGATGCAGACGAGGAGGGGGAGGGGCTCTACCTGTGGCCCTGCCTGGTGCCGCAGTCCGTGCAAGGCACGTGTCTTGGTTGGGTTTGCAGAGCGCCAGCCAGCCGCGCCTGTCCTATGCCGAGATGGCCGAGGACTACCCCCGGTACCCTGACATCCATGACCTGGACCTGACCCTGCTGAACCCCCGGATGATTGTGGTGAGGAGGGCGGCCCTCAGGGAGGGGCGGGGACAGGCCCCCCCGTGGTCAGTCCATGCTGGTTGGCGTCCCATCCCAGTGAGGGCAGCACTGGCCACCACTCACTTGCGTTGTCTTGCCTCTGCAGGATGTCACCCCGTACATGAACCCGTCCCCCTTCACTGTTTCACCTAACACCAGCGTCTCCCAAGTTTTCAACCTGTTCCGGACGATGGGGCTGCGGCACTTGCCGGTGGTGAATGCCGTGGGAGAGGTGAGTGTGCAACTGGGCCAACCCCGTCCATCCACCCGCCTTCTAGAAGGGACTCTCTGACCGCAGCGCTGTTTGGGAGTCAGGGCTTCTCAACCCCGACGACAGGCGAGGACCCGCCAGGGAGGCTTCCGGACCAAAACCGCCTCTGAAACTCTCCCACGGGAAGTGATGAGGGAGTGGGTGGGTGGGGCCTGAGCTGGCCTCACCCACTTTCCCCTTTGCCCTCTGTATTTCTCACATGCTGTCTCCAGCATGGCCAGCAGATGTCGCCAGTGGCACTGTGGACTAGAAACTCTCGGGCCAGCTCTCTTCCCCTGGGCTGGCAGCGCTCGGAGGCGGGTGGGGGTGGGGGGTGCCAGTTCCCCGCCTGCTGTGGGCATTGATGACGTTAAATGAGAGGATTTCAAGCAGGACACTTGGACAGTTTTAAAAGATACAACACTCAGTATTTAATAAGTATTGCTACAGATTTGACCATTTTTTCTTCTTAGAACTCCATATTTCTCCTGTTACACAGTATTGTTTCATTGTAGAAAAATAAGACATAGATAAGCAAAAAAACAAAAAGCAATACCAACCACTATCTCTCCAGAGGTGGCAGTGTTAATTTTTCAGTTTATCTTTGTTCTCTGCACCTAGAAAGGGGCTTCACGTACCGAGTTTTAATGAGAACGACATCAGGGTTGTGCCGGTGCGCACCCTGCAGGGCATGACTGCACCTCGGAGCCGCTCACACGTGAGGTCCGGGGGCTGCGCAGCGCCTGCTCTGTGGCTGTCAGCCACCACTCAGTCGTCATCTGTGCTGGAGTGTTGGTTAGATGTCAGTGCAGTGGTCCCTTTTCGGGGCTCCCCACACGTGTTGCCAGGTCACCCCCCGCCCCAGAGGGGGCAGGTTCCTCCCTGAGGTCGAAGTGCACAGCACAGCTCCTTCGGATGCAGTTGTTGCCACCGGGGCTGCCAGTTCACAGTGTGTGGCGCCTGCCTCAGTGACAGGGTGTCGCTGCGATGACAGTGAGCAGTGGCCCTTCAGGAAAAACCCCACCCCTCTGCCCCCCACACTCTCCTGTGCGTCTGCTGCCAGGGGCGGGCTCCCCCCACTGAGCACTTCTCTGACCCTCTGGACGCCCGCTGGCACTGTCTGCCTGCCGAGGCTGCCAGGCGCCACAGGCTGCGGGCTCAGTCCCCCCACTGCCCTCGGCGGTCGGAAGTCCCAGTAGTCCCCAGGGCTTCTGACCTGGCTGTAAACAAGGTTTCCGTGGCCCCTGGTCACAGAACTCAGGGAAGCAGTCTGCTGACAGGTTCCGGTTTATCACTAAGGGACACGACGCAGCCATAGCCTGACAGAAGAGACGCACAGGGCGCCGCGTGTGGAAAGTGTGCCAGGCTTCCTGCCCTCCTGGCACGCTGCCTCCCTGCACCGGCCATGCTCACCGGCCTGCAGGTTCTCAGAACCCTGCAGTTCAGGGGTTGTCATGGAGGCTGTGTTGCACTCGCAAATGATTACATCATCGGCTGTTGGGGAGGGATTCAACCCCAGCCTCCCCCACCCCAGGCAGCCAGCCTCCATCCTTAGGGTCTTTCTACAAGTCACATCATCAGGTGTGGTTGGAAGGGCTTGTTAAGAGAAATAAAAGACGCCTTTATTAACTCCTACCACTTAGGAAATTCTGAGAATTTTTAAGAGCTTTTTGCCGGAACTTGGACAAAGAACAAATATGCACTCGTGTTTCTTGTTATGAGTCAGTATGACGGTGGCTCAGAAGATGGCATTTACAAGCCGTGGGGTCACGGCCTGTCAGAAGCCTTGGCCAGGCCCTTCCTCCGGCACCGGTACGGGGAGCAAGCAGGCTGGGGTAGCTGAGAAAGCCAGATAGTGCATGCCCTGCCTAAAAAGATGGGCGAGTTCAGATTGTAGCTGGTCTAACCACAGTGCGTTTTGAAGCTAAGTTTATGCCTCCGGTTTCTGAGCCCTGGTTACCTGCGTCCCGTTCCGTCTAGAAATCAGGTGGCCTTTGAAGCGAGGGTCCTCGTTCTGTGGCCGTATCTGTTCCGCACCGCCCGGGGCCCAGTTCTGCCTCCTCCGGCTCTCGTGACGGACCGCGCGAGCCCTGTTTGCTCGTGGCCCTGGGTGACTCGGCCTCTCCCTCCTTGTCCTAGATCGTTGGCATCGTCACCCGACACAACCTGACGTACGAGTTCCTGCAGGCCCGCCTGCGGCAGCACTACCAGACCATCTGAGGGCCCGGCTCGGCCTCACGCCTCGGGCCAGCCCTCCTGCTCCCGGGGCTCCCTGGGGAGACAGCCGCTCTGTCCCCCGCCGCAGCAGGTGGGGGCCGTTCCAGGGCTCAGCGCATCCCCAGTCACCCCCTCACTCGGAAAGCCTGCAGTCATCAAACACTGTCGTGGTCGGAGATCCCAGGGACGGTGTTAACCCCCAGGGTGGGCCTCGTGTGCTGTGCTCAGCGGTACCTTCCCGGGTCCCGCTCCCCGAGGCCCCCATCCAGTGTCCACACAGGTTGCAGCCCTTCCACCCCACGAATGCCGGGGCCAGAGCAGGCGGGCGGCGAGCCTCGCTGGAGGGGGGCCCCAGAGCATTGTTCCTGCCCCTTACTGCTTTCCTGGGGAACCCCGCTGTTGCCTTAAACTGTGATGGGAGGGGCTGTGGCCCAGGCAGATACTGGGGGGAATCAGTTGCAGATTAAGTGAATTACTAAATTCAGGAACTGGGCATTGAGGAAACAGCCTTTTGTCCGGAGGCCTTCCTGCGCAGGGCCTCTCGGCTCAATACCTGTTAATCTGAGGGGACCTGCTCTGCTTCTGGGGTGTGAGCTGCAGGGCTCTGGTCTGGCCCCTGTGGCCTCAGTCTCCGTGGAGCCGTGGCCTCCAGCTGCATAAAGCGCTCCCCACTAACAGTTTATGAGTGGAAAGCCAGGTGGCCAGAAAGCTCTCTTTGTTTGTGACTGCATCTCCCTGGAAAAGCCGCCACAGCCCCACCCCGAGGACCCCGGTGTCCCCCCGCCCCGAGCACACCAACGCAGCAGGGCCCCAGACGGACTGCCTGGGTCTGGAGAGCAGCGCAGTGGCCTCTGAGGCAGAAAGCGGTGAGCCCTGGGGCAATAGCCGCTGCAAGGTGCGTGTTCCAGCTGGAGAAGCCCAGGTGTTGCTGACAAAGCAGAGGCCGGATCTGAGGACGAGGCTGTCCGCCCTTCGTGAACCTGTCACCTCCCTGCTGTCACCACAGCCCCGCCTCCCGAGGGGCTCAGAAATGGAAACACCAGGAGGGGTCTGCCTGGAGTGGGGGGCGGGCACTTCCTGCCCGGCTGTGCCCTAGGGGGTCAGCAGCGTGCATGGGAAGCCTCCCGAGGCTTTCGGTGACTCAGTTTCTCCCTAGGCTGCTGGGCGTCTGAGTGCCAGGCGTTGGCTCTCACTGGCCTCTCCCTTCCGCTCCCTTCGAGTGTTTGTCGGCATCGCGGGCCCGTCAGGCAGCCCTATAGCAGATGTGCTCTGGGACTCAAGATGGCATCCATTGGCATCTAATGCTCAGTTTTAATCGTGGAAGTTTAAAGACTGTGGTGCCTGGCCCCGGCAACACCGCTGTCTTGCCTTCCACCTTAAGGTGACTTCCATCAAGACGCCTTCAGCTGAGGGAGTGGGGTGAGGGGCTCAGGTCTTGTGTTCAGCACATTCTGATGCATAATTTCATTTCAGTGAGGGGTTGGTTCAGGATCTTTTCTGACTGTGGCCGCCTCCTTGCTATTTTTTAAAAAGATTTTATTTATTTATTTTTTACAGAGAGGGAGAAACATTAGTGTGCGTTGCCTCTCTCACATCCCCTAATGGGGTACCTGGCCCCGCAACCCAGGCATGTGTCCTGACTGAGAATCGAATTGGCGACCCTTTGGTTCACAGACTTGTGCTCAGTCCACTGAGCTACACCAGCCAGGGCTATTTTCTTATCACTTTGACCAAAAGTACTTTGAGGCCTAAGTTTTTCAGCATCCCTGGATGCAATTGATTTGTGAAATGTGGCTGAAACCCCCAACAAATTGTTCAGGAAATCACAGGGACCAAAAAAGGCAAGCCCTTCTAAATGTGGTAGTGTTGAACTAGCTGCCACTTTATTTTAAAGCAGCATTCAGAGCTTGGCCACCTTACCCATCCCTTTGATGAAGAAGGGAGCTGGTCGCACAGGTCATGGGCAGAGCCCGCTTTCCCAGCCCTCACGGAGACTGGACGGGCCGATGTCCTGCGGGAGGGCCTCTGGCTTCCAGGCTTGGGCCACCCGGTGCTCCCCAGAGCCGCCAGGGGCATGTCAGAATTTACCCCCACACACGCTGCATTGCTCTTAAGCCACCAAGATACCTTGTTCCCGTCAGCACAGCCCAGAGATCGACGGCAGAATGCAATACCTTCCTCCCGAACTCCCTGCACAGCCGCCAGGGAGGACCCACACCCAGGCCCCTCTGGAAGGACACACTTCCTGTCCTCCGTGGAGGCTGTCCTTTGCAGATAAGCCCAAAGACAGCCGCTGCCGCCTTGTAGCAAAGCAGCTGTTAGCCTCGCGCCTTTGGTTTCTGTTAGGAGCCTGCATTTTCAGCTTGCACCTGGTCCCGCGAGCCCCACGGCCTCCCGGGGATGTGGTCCCTCCACAGGTAAAGCTGTACAGAGGGCTCTGGGGTGGCTGGAGGTGGTTGTGTTTTGTCTCCAGCCTGGTGCTTCGTGGCTCCCCTGCTGAGGTAGGTGGGGAAGTTGGGGGGAGCGTCCACATGGCTGTGGGTCCTTTGCATTATGCCAGGTGATTGGCTCGTGACCTTGTCTAACTAGCGCCTGCTGGCCAGACTGGATGCTTGCTTGACCCAGCCGCCCATAGACATTTCTGATGTGAAATCGCACACTGACACGGCCTGGTGACCAGAAAGCCTCCAGGAAGACCCGGCGAGCCTTCCTGGCCCACGGGATGCGCCGGCAGCGTTGCCCCTCGGCTCCCGTGGGCTTGGCTGTCGTGACGGCCGCGGCGTCCTTGTTTCTGTTTGCACCGTTGGTTTGTATGGTGATGTTTGCTCATTCCACTGTGTATGTAAATGGCGTTTTTTTAATTTGTAAAATCCTATTTTTATTTGAACGTTTGGAACTTGGACGTTCTCATTATAACCTTACCACGTCAGAGTAAAACGTCTTCATCTGTCTCTAGCCCTTGGTCTCCGCGGTGCTCCTTTAAAGTAGCATTTGGTTTGGTCTTACGCCCTCTCTCACTGGTGTGTACGAGCTGCACAGCTAGAAGGCAGTTGTGTGGTCTCAGCTCTCTCTCCGCAGAGTTTTCCCAGCAGGCGTCCCCATTCCCGGGGTCCACGCACCCCCTTAACAAGCAGTTGAGTCCTGTGGATCCCGGCAGACACTGCGGAGCTGCCCCTGTTTCCCCTTCACGTGGGCACCGTCAGGTCGCATTCACCGGCCTTTTCTCCTTTGCAAACGCTGCCTGTTCTTCCAGCAGCTGCTTCCCACGGCAGCCGGTGGAGAGTCCATTCGTGGTCCCGGCAGTACTGTGTTGAGGAACCGGTCCACCGCCATCCCCGTGGGCCAGCCAGGAGCAAGGACATCGACGCTGAGTCTGCACGTGGCCAGCCCTCGTGGCCGGCTTCTGTCAGCGCCATGTTCGCTTCTGGCGTTCGCTTCTGGTTTTGCCAGAAGCGGGACTTGCTCTCTGACTGATTTGCTTCAAGTTGCCATTGCAGCAGTGGTAGGAGTGGTCTGTCGGTCAGTCCCCTCCGCCTGTCCCCAAGTTCCAGGGGCATTTTCTGTGTGTTTGGCACTTTCAGCCAACCCACTGTGTCACGGGACGCCCAGCTCTCCGCCCTTCCCTCCCAGCGTCTGCCATTCATTCCTCCAGCGCCTGACCCCAGAGCCAGGTTTGGACACTTCTTCCACTTCTTTACCCTTGTCCTTGTGAGTCCCCCGCTGCTCAGTCTCCCACCCTTCTGAGCTTGAAGTCCACATAAGGAACATTCTTTCTGCAAGTGATCAGGTTAGAGTTCTTCCCACCCCCCTCCCTCCCCCTCCCTAACCATCAGTTCTGGCTTCCCCACCTTCTACAAGGAGTAAGTTGCCACTTTCTTACCTCTTTTCCCAATTTCCATACGAGACCAAGACAGTTTGACCAACACTTACGGAGGGTGCTGAAAGGGGCATTGGCCCTCAAAGAACGTGCCTTCCAAGACATTGGCCCCATTACAACAGTTACGCCATCAGCGCTGCCAGTGGGGAGTGGAGCTCGTGCCGGGCACGTGGTGTCAGGAAAGGCTTCAGGGAGTAGGTGGCATTCACAGTGAGCCTTGAGGCAGAGCGAGGGGCTGTTCTCGGGGGTGCAAGATGAAGCATATTTCAGGTGGAAGGGGCAGCATGAACTAGGGCACAGAGAAGTGATGGCTTAGGTGGAGGAGCAGGGTCGCAGCAGCTGATACAGAGAGTGAGGCCCAGGAGGTTGGGGTGGGGAACGGGTCAGAGGGCCGCCCCCTGTTGCAGGTGGACCCCAGTGCCTGGCAGTTTCTACTGAGGATACATTTTCAGAAACCGATACAAAGACACCGTCTTCTCCAGGGGCTCCCACCTCGGTGAAATCTGCAAGTCCAGGCACTTTGGGCCTGAATTAGGAGAAGACGATTCCAATTTTTAAAAATATGTTAGTACCCAAAAGGCACATAAACTTGTGGTGTAGTGTGTCAGCATAGCAAACATTTCTCCCTTCACTTTGCTCAGCTTTTAAACCCAAATTCTTTGCCACTTCTTTTTTTAAAAAATTATTTATCTTTAGAGGGAAAGAGAAGGAGAGAGGGAGAGAAATATCAATGTATGGTTGCCTCTCATGTGTTCCCTGCTGGGAACTGGCCTGCAACCCAGGCATATGCCCTGACTGGGAATCGAACCATGATCTGGTTCACGGGCCTACACTCAATCCACTGAGCTACATTAGCCAGGTGCCTCTTCTTAAAACTAAAAGTTCAATTCACTCAACTGTAGCAGGTAACTAGCAAAATGTATCAGAAAATTCAGTACCCTCATTATATAAATGTTCCTTTAAAAAAATAACCAAAAAGTACTAGGTGTGCAAAAATTGTCTATTGCATACCAGCTACATTAGTTGTAACCAGGGGGAAGAAAGCTTAGATGTTTTAAAGTTTTCTTTTTAATAATTAAGGGCCCCGAATAGGAGCAACTCTAAAAAAACAATGTCCTTTCAGTGTCTGGGGGCTTCTTCAGGATCTGTGATGAGGCCGGAGGGAGAGAGCAGGTTGAAAACGGCAGTTTGAATCCCAGCCCACCCCCCAAAAAAAATAAATGAAGGAAGGATTTGTCCAAATCCACAGAACGCACACCACCCAGAACGACCTCTGTGTGAACTGTGGCACTGGGGTGAGAACGACGTGTCCTGTCTGTGCTGGCACATGAACTCACAAACCCCCCAGGGGCATGCGGGTAGGGGAGGAGGCTCAGTGTGTGAGCGGAGGGGCGCCTGGGAAATCCGCACTTCCCCCTCACGTTTGCTCTGCACCCAGAATCGCTCTAAAAACAGAGTTTGTTCGGTCACTTTTAAAGGTAGGAAGAAAGGTACTGAGCGTTCTTCTCTCGGACAAAAGTGAGGAGGTGGGGACCGGCGGACTGAATTCTCTTCCCCAAGGAAACTGAAAGAAAGCACGCCCAGGCTTGGCTTCTGTCCGTGGTGCTGAAGTTTATTCGTTTTCAAACCTCTTTCAATCACAGGTGAGGGTTTACCCTACAATGTTAATGCACGGGGTGGGAGAGGCGGGGAAGCCACAGCTAAGCCACGTCATCTACAGTTAGCATCAAAGGTGAGAAATGTGGACAGGCAGCTGCAGCTCAGACAGGGTGCTCGTCACAATTCCACTTGACGGCAATGAGATGGTACAAGGTGGAGCAGAAGACCCCAGGGGACGCAGGCCTCTGAAGTCCGCCCGGGCCTGGCCGTTATCTTCGGTACTACAAAGGGAACACAGACACGTTTGGCTTGCTGTCCTGGCTGCACCGGGCATCTAAGAAGTAAATGCCCCTCACAGCTTCATGGGATTGCGCTCACGTCCCACCAGGCCCACTGAGCCTGGCGACCCTCTGAGTTGCATGAACTGATAAACAAATTGCTCATAAGAAGCTTATAAGGTCAGCGCTGGCCCATTTCCATTGACCTTTGGGATCTGACAGTTCTGGGGAAGAGAGTGACCTGCCAATCCTCAGGATGAGGGTGTCCTGGCCATGCTCATGGGAGTCACTTTTTTTCCTCAGCATTTTCTCAGCAAGCTAAGGACGATGCCATCAGCCCTATGTTTTGGGGGCACCCACCAAGTGAGGGCAGAAATTTGCAAGGGAGTGAGCTTCTACGTGGGCCCTTTCCTGCCATAGGCATCCCCTGGTGGTGTTCTGTGATGTGCTGTGAGACTCAACAAAACCACAGTTTCCTTCCTCCCCACCCCATGTCCAACCCCAGTTCCTCTTACCCGGAAGCTGTTGCAGCCCAGTCCACTCTGGGCTCCAATCCTGTCCATCCTGCCCCCAAAGCAGCTGGACCTCCGCAGGCTCCGAGGGGCGGCGAGCAGTGCCCTCAGCTTGTTTTTCAGGAGGGCAGATCTCTCGGAGGAGTCCCAGGGGCCCCGCCCAAGGGCACCCCCATCTCTCTGGACTGGGTTGACCTCCCCAGTCCAGGGAGGCACCTCTGGGAGGGGGCCGAGAGCTGCCGCAGCTTCCTCATTCTGCTCACTGAGCACTTGTGGGGGCATGAGCTCATCCTCTATAGGCACCTTGTCCTCCAAATGGTCCAGCAAATTCTTTACAGAAGGAAAACACGGGGAGAGAAAGAAGTCTCACCGACGGGCGGTGCCGCAGAGCCCCCTGGCCCCAGACCATGCCCCCTTCCTGACCCTACCTTGAAATCCATCAGGTCGGCATTGGACACGGAGCTGTATACAGGGCTGGCTCTGCTTAGCCCTGGGAGCTGAAACGCCAGAAAGAGGAGGAGGCTCGTGATGGTGAAGAAGGAGCCCATGCTGGCGTCGGTCAAGGAGTGCTCTGCCGCTTGTCGCCTTTTCTCTCCTCTCCGGCTTCCCTCTGCCGACAGTTGTGGTTGGTCTCTGTCTGTCTCCGTCTCCCAGCTGCCCTGCGCCTCCTCTTTTTATAGCCCCCCGGCTCTCCAAGAGCGCAAGAGGGACAGAACCCTCCCCATTCTGTCACTTGCAGCGATAAAGCAGCCGAGTGAGGAGCCAGCAGAAGATGCCCTTTTAAAGTTATCAGTCCAGCAGAGCCCTTCACAGCCCCTCCACCTTGAGCAGCCCCAGCAAGCCTCGGGAACCTAGGCTGCAATAACCACATTCTTGTTGATTTGCCTCAAGAGGTCCCCACTTCAAAGGTGTGAGAAGAGCAAAAAAGAGTCCTTGGTTATCTCGATGGGATGCCTCGGGCTTCTTTCTCCTGGGCAACGGGACCCATGCCGGGAAGCGGAGGAGGGTGACGGGAAGCGGAGGAGGGTGAAGGCTCAGTCACCCAGTTGGTTTATGGCTCAGCTGTCAGGCCCCCAAATAAGGGTGGGAGAGGAGGAAATGGCAGGCAGCCGGATGCTGGGGACAAATTAGTCCAGATGCTCGAGCTGGCCTCACACCTGACTCATCGGCTGCGAGGGCAGAACCTCTCCGACAGGGCTGCCCCAGCTTGGCTGTCACCCTCAGTAATCAGGCGAAAAGCGAGTTATTTTTGAGAGTACCAAGCCAGCTGGATCCGAATGTGAAAAATGCCCCAAGAATTCAGCTCCCAAACACGAACACCAAGAAAAGTTAGGGGGCGGGGAGCACAGTTGGTTCCTCTGCAGAGCTTGCCCCCCCTTCCTGCCCCACAGCCCCTCCGAGGTGTCAGGGGAGATGGGCCCTGAGAGAATGCCTGTTTTCATCTCACGCTCATAGGAGCTCAGATTCTTCGAGTTGGAAGCTTGTAACGTCCCCAGGAAGTGGGGAGTAGTGTTCCCACTCACGAAGGAGCAGAACTGAGGCTAAGCACAAATGTCGCTTGCCCAAGGTCATGAGCACAGAACTAGGACACGGACCCCAGGTCTGACACCAACGCCCAGGTCCTTAACCCATTTCACCGATATGCTGCTGCTTAGCAGGGCGGTTCCTGACAAGCCCCTTAGGTAGTGGCCCTGGTGAAATATACCCCTAGTCCCTGTCTCTCAGGCTGCCTCCCCCCCCCCCGCCCAGAGGCTGCAGCTCTGTGTGCTTGACAAGTCGGAGTGTGTGACTGTCTCAAAAAAAGTGCTACCTCCAACCTCCACGACCTGTTGACACACCCAACCGAATCTACACAGGAGCTCAGGAAATGCGTGTTGATGGCCCGTGCGTGCCGGCCAGGCCCCTCCCCCCCGCAGTGCTCACTCTTTGGCTAATTGGATATCAAGGGCAGGACTTCAGGGCCGGATGGGGCAAGATCTCCTGAGAGGTGTCCAGGGTGGTTTTATTCTAAGACGGAAGGAAAAAGGAGGGCTCTTCAGGAAGTGATTCGGGTCAGGCAGACTCAACTTGAAATTGAAACGGCTGCCGTTCTGAGTAGGAGCTCTGGCGGCAAAGGGCCATCGCATCCTGACAAGTCCCTGGCATGTGCTCAGAGCTTAATTGCTTGGTTGGCAGGGTTATTATTAGCCAAGAGGATTCAGCGAGCAGCCACGCTGGGAGGAAGTGGTGCTCCCAGCTGCCTGCGTCACACGGCCGTCTCCTGGAGATGCCCTTTAAGACAAGCCTTTGATGCTGGCAAAGACCCTGGAAGGGCATCATGGCAGGTGGCCTCCAAGCCTGCCGGCTGCTGCCTGGTCCTGAGCCGCGTCTGGGGTCTGCAGGTAGCCCAAGGAGAAGCAGAAGTCCTGTCCAAGGTTCTAGAAAGAGAATTCCAGAACCCGTCAGCTTGTTTCATGGAAGTCATTTTACTTTTCCCAGAGCGAAACTGGAGTGGAACATGGGCGTCATCTGTGGGGTTTCTTGTTCGCCAGGGTTTGCTTTGTCTTTTCGTTTGCAGAAGGGGTTGGCGACAAAAAGAATACTCCTTTTAGCTGCCCTGAGGACTTGGTATAGAACTAACACCCCCTCCTGCGCTAACTGGACCCAGAGAAAGCAGACAGTTCCCAAATACACACACTACCCCAAATCCCAGTAGAGCCTTTGACTTGAGCCTGAAACAAACAATTGGCTTGATGTAAAGTTTCTTTTCATTTCCAGCCTCCTGCTCAACTCTGGGCTGCGTGTGTGGAGAAGCAGCATTCGGTGGGGGCGTTAGGAGCCAGCCTGTTCGAGTGAGACAGAAGAAAAGCGAAAGGCACAGATGACCGGTCCGCCCCCTCCTCTCCCACTGGCTGAAAAAGGAAAAGGCTTTATTCCTGTTAGTCATGCACAGAATGGGCATCGTAAGTGGTGGGAGGCCCCAGACTGGGGGCACCCCCAGTCTCAGGCCGAGTCTGGCTTCACGACCCTCCAGAGAGATTATGGGGATGCTGTGGGCTGCTTTGGGGAGCCTCAAGGCCCAGCGATGTCAAGCGTGTGCCTAACTGGGAGGAGAAGCCCGTCGCATGCATGGTGTGAGCCTTTCAGACCCAGGTGGGCTAAAGCAAAAGCCCCTGTTGGGAGAAATGGGTCGGACACTGTTGCATGTTTAGGGATGGTTGCTCCTGACTTTGAAAACACTCTTCTGCTTCTTTGGCACAATATGAAGGCCCCAGGGATGGGAAACAGGAGCAGGTTCCCTAGAACACAAAGCCCAAGGAGAAACTCATTTGCTAAAGCTGCATGGGGGTTCCAGATCAGTGGGAGTGAGGGGGTGTATTAGTTAACTATTGCAAAGTGACAAACTACCCCAAAACTCAGCAACTCAACACAGCACCTGTCTACCATCTGACAGTCTCTGAGGATCAGGGATGGAGCCCTGCTTAGCTGGGTGCTTCTTGCTCAGGCTCTCACAGGCTGCCATTAAGAGGCTGACCAAAGCCTGGCCAGGGAGCCCAGTCGGTTAGGGCATCGTCCTGATGCACCAAGGTTGCAAGTTTGATCCCCAGTCAGGGCACATGCAAGAATCCACCAATGCATACATAAATAAGTGGAACAACAAATCAACCTTTCTCTCTGTCTCTAGCTCTCTACAATCAATATAAAAATAAAAGTAAAAAATGTTGGTCATCTCAAGGCTTGGCTGCAGGATCTGCTTGCAGCCCTCTGGTCCTTGTGCCTGTTGGCTGGAGGTATGAGTTCCTTGCCACAGAGGCACTCCTGACTTTCTTCAGGTAAAGAGAGACAGAGCGACAAAGCAAGCCACCGCCTCTTTGTAGCCTCATCTTAGGAGTGGCCTCCCATCATGCTTGTCATGGGTGCTTTTCCTGAAAAGTGGGTCCCGAGGTCCAGCCCACATGGAGGGCATGGGCACCAGGACACGAGTCTCCTGTTTCAGAGGCTGCCAGCCCCAGGGAAGGACACACAAAGAGGAAATATAAGGCGATGTGTTACCACCTGGCCGGTTTTGAAAAACCACCCTAGTGGCTGGTCGGTCAGGCTGAGCATCTCCAGGGGGCTTCCTGGAGCCGTCTGTGGGGGAGCAAAGGCTGAGAGCCCCGTACCCGACCCCTGGCTGCTGCTGTGAGAAAGAGCCACAGCCTGGGGCACTTGGCAACAGAAAAGTCCTGTCTCACGCCAGAGGTCTGAGATGAAGGGTCGGCAGGGCCACGCTCCCTCCGAAACCTGCAAGGGCAGGTCCTTCCTGGCCTCATCCAGCTCTGGCGGCTGCCAGCTCCCCTCACTCACATATGTGTCACTCCGTCCCTGCCTCCATCACCATGGGGCCATGTCTCCGGTCTGTGTGTCTCTCTACTTGTAAGGACGCCCAGCACAGTGCACTGGGGGCTCACCCTACTCCAGTGTGACTCATCTAACTAGTCACATCTGCGATGGCCCTTTTTTACATGAGGCCCTGTTTGGAGGTTCTTGGGCTTTGGGGCCTCTATGTGTCTTTTGGGAGGGGACATGTAATTCCACCCACGCACAGGTGCTTTATCTGTGGGCTTCTTTCCTTCTCCAGTCTGTCACTGGTCAAAGGGGTCCCCCCCTCACCCCACCCCCCTCCAGGCCATTGTCTCCCCTGCACTTTCTGGCTGTGATACCCCATTCCCTCAGGCAGCAGTGGCAGGGGCGTGGTGAGGGGCTGGGGGGAACAGACCCCCCTCCTGACCATCCGTGAACTGGCTCGGCAGTCTCTCCCTGCGTGGAGGACGAGGCAGTGGTACCCGGGGGTGGACAGGAGGTCGAATGGCAGGTCAGCCATTGCCAGGGCTGCATTTGCCAGGAAGCCAGAGGCTGAGCAGGTGTGAGGCAGCGTATGAATCAGCCGCAGGCCCCTCTATGTCCAGGCGCCTAGCACAGAAAATATTTCCTAAATGACTGGATTGATGAGTTTGCCTTCAGCGCCTGTCTACAACCCCCCTCACCCAATGCTGTCTGTACCTTGCCCTCCCCAGGGGGCTCACGGGGACAGGGAGTCTCCTTCTGGATGAAGCAGCAAGGTTCTGCTCTCTCCCCGGGGCAGGAAGAGTCAGATGGGGCACCCAGGGGGAGAGGCTGGTTAGGGAGCTGGTGTGCCAATGTCCCATGAGTGGTGAGGATCTAACCCAGGACAGGGCGTGAAGGACAGTACACAGGAAGAGCATGGGGCGGACACAGTGCCACCTGGGCAGTTTAGTCAGAGAAGGAAGCCAATGAAGATTCCGGGGCTCTAATATCAAAGGTGTGGGGCCCCAGGTGGAGGTTCAATCATTCAGGAGTGTCTTAGTTTGGGCTCCCCTGAACCTGAGACAAGAATCCAGGCCAAAGTAGTTTACTGTGGAGTGGATCCCAGGAAATATCAGCGGAGTGGGGAAGTGACCACCTGGGGCAGCCGGAGGTTACCCCTCCCTCCCCGCAAAGAACTCTGGGAGCCAGTGTCAGATGCGTCCCACCTGTGAACCGTGGCCGTGAACTCCCCAGCACTTCCTGCCTGCCCCAGGGGAGCCCGGTGGGCTCTGCTGCCAGAGGACAGTGCGGTGCTGCCGGATGGAGTTACAGGCTGGCAGCCTGGGCCCTGCAGCCTGCAGGGCGGGGACTGTGTGTAGCCGACGAGAGAGCTCTGGGAACAAGACTGGGAGCCGGTGTCCCAGGGGAGGTACGGAGTGTGGGTTTAGAGATTCTCCAGGACGTCCAGGCGGCTGGTTCCCGACCCCATGGCAGAAACGGGTCACTCCGTGGAACCAGCATGACCATTAAAGCTCAGGTAGTACAGGAGGAATCCTGCAGACACCGGGACAAAAGGCTGAGGACCACACCAGGAACCGACACATGGCCAAGTTCAAGATTTTATTTAGACCTGGTTCTGCAGGAAAAGAGATGCATTTTTCCCCCTTGCCTCCAATCATTCTCAGAAGGGTCAAAGCGCCACAGAGGGACAGAGAAGGGCTTGGCATTGCTTGGGAAGGTGGCAGGAGCAGACTCAGTGACGAGATGCAGCGCTCGGGCCCCATGCTTGTCCTCACTTCTGAACCTTACGTTTGGGACACAGCAAAGCCCGTCTACCCTCTACCGAGCCTCCTTCCAGCACCGAAGGAGGCACAGGCTAGACCTCCTAGGGCCTGTGTTCACCGTCTTTCTGGGAAGACTCAAATGACCGACACCCTTGGACATGTGTCATCCGGCAGCCTCTCTGCAGGACGAGGTCAGTAACAGAAGCCGGGGAGGGACGTGTTAGAAGGGGCCGTGGTCACAGAGTACGAGGCTGGCTTTCAGGGACACCACAGATGGTGTGTGGGCCGCCAGGCTGCCCATGGACACCAGACACCAAGGGAGCTCCTGGAGACGTCGCTCCAGCAGGTGCCTCAGGCCACCTGCGGTCCCCCTCCAGCAGTCACGTTTGGCTCCTTCGCAGTTGCTTTAGGGTCCTCCTTCCTGGAAGGGCCCGATAACAGGATGCTTCTGTGTGATGCAAGCAGACTCCTCCGCCGGAGCCCTACTTATGGGAGAGCAGACTCGCCCGGTGGCTGGGTTTGGGGAGCGGGTGTTCTGGGAGGGGTTTATCGTCATCACCTGAGCAGAGAGGAAGTTTGCAATGGCACCAAAGGTTGACCTGAGGGATGCGATCGGGACGGGAAGCGGCCATCTCCCCAGCAAGCCTGACTCCCTGACTTGGGAGGGGCCAGGTGGTGCAGTGGTTAGGGGCCCCGGTGCCAGGGCTGGGCTGGGTGAGCTTGAATCCTGCCTCTGCCACGTACCGACTTCGTGACCCTGAGCAAATCACATCGCCTGTCTGTGCCTCGGTTTCCCCGCCTGTAAAATGGGAGCTGATAAGAATTTTTACTTTGTAGAGTTGTTGTCAGAAGCACTAGGCAAAGACGGCTCACAGTTTTATTGTGAATAAGTTGCTCCTAAAACCCTGTTTTTAATTTTATTTATTTATTTATTTATTTATTTATTTTAAAGATTTTATTTATTTATCTTTAGAGGGGAAGGGAAGGAGAGAGGGAGAGAAACATCAATATATGGTTGCCTTTCATGCGTCCCCTGCTGGGAATTGGTCTGCAAGGAACTGGTCTGCAACCCAGGCATGTGCCCTGACTGGGAATCGAACCGCGATTGTTTGGTTTGCAGGCCCGTGCTCAATCCACTGAGCTACACCAGCCAGGGCTAATTTTATTTTTAATGCATTTAACTTAGTGACTGACTTGAGAGAGAGACAAACAGAAACACTGATTTGGTGTCCCACTTATTGGTACACTCACTGGTTGCTTCTTGCACGTGCCCTGACCGGGGATGGAACCTGCCGCCTTATGGCATCGGGAGGCGTTAGCTCAGTAACCGACCGAGGCACCTGGCCAGAGCCTAAAATCTCATTTTTGAATCTCAGGAGATCTCATTAGATGCCCATAATCTCTGACACACAGGGGTTCAAATGAGAAACAACACAGAGACCTACAGCCTCGGGTTCGCTCTCTCTCAAAGAACCACCAGTGAGCCGAGCAGACTGGCTGTGGGCCCAGTTCAAGGCCCCACAGCTCCAGGAGTGAGCGCAGGCTCCGGGCCACCGTGATCTGCGCTCAAATCCCAGCACTGGCTTTGAGCAGCTGCCGGCTGAGAGGCAGGATGCTTTGTTTGTCTAGGTCTCGTTTTTCTCATCCATAAAATGGGCATGGTAACAGTCCTGTCTCCTTTACTGAGTTGGATCATACAATGGCCCCCAAAACCAGCAGAGCAGGGTCAGGTTCAGTGCTGTGGCCTTGGATGCCTGGAATGCAGGTGACAGGGGAAGGGGACCCACAGAACACAGAGCAGTGGCCCCGACCAGGACTCTCCCCACAGATGAGGCCACACGGTGCAATGCTGGTGCTTGTCTCCTTTTCTGGCGGAAAATAAGGGGCTTCCCTCTCTGGGGCAGGCGGAAGGTGACGATGCAGAGCCCAGGCGAGGGGCGCCCTGAAATGCTGGACCGCTTGTCCCACACTTCCAAGCTTGTGGGTTTGGGAAATGGAAGTACTTTAAACCTCAGGGCTTTGAAGGCTCCTTTCAGATGACATCAGGAATCCAAGGCTGAGGTTTGGGGCAGGACAGAGGGCTCACTCCTATTCATGAGTGCAAATGAGCCGCATGTACACACACGCACACGTACGCACTGCCCCGTCTCTGAGACTGTGTCGCTCACACCTTCTGAAACAAGAAACTCCCGGGACAGTGCCTTGCACAGAAAGGCGGGCAGAGACCAGCCAGCATGGCAGGCGCTTGGACACACAGCCTCCCGCAGGTTGCAGTGAAACCTCAGGGCCTATTTCCAGGAAGCACCTGCCAGGCTTTGAAAAGCAGTTTCTAGGAAGTATCTCAATTGCTCGAGGTATTTCTGGACATTTCAGAGCCTGAAAACCCTTCAAAGAAAGCCGCCCCCCAACAGCTGACCAGCCCTGGAGGTGTATATCCACAGCCCACCATCAAGACACCTTTGGGACCTCTAAGAAAACACAGAGTTGCAGGGGGAGGAGGTGGTTTGCTGTTTTCTTTTTAATTTTTTTGAAATGATGAAGTATTTTGAATGCAATGAGACAAATCAGTTTCAAAAGAACAAGCTTTAATGCTGACTTTATCTCATGGCAAACTTGTGCTCAAAGGTAAGAACTGGCTTATATAGAGCAATCCAATTAAAAATATAGTAAATAAATAGGAGGCGCTTCAAAGGGGACCAGGCAGTTGACAGGAAATCGGTCCATCGCTGGGACTTCCTATAATTGGCTCCTCAGTCCTTTGTGGGGAACAGAGAGGGTGATGGTGGCATGGGGGGGGACTGAGGCAAGATCTGAGCTTCCCGTCACCCTGTGCCACCCCTGCTACCGCCGCTGCCTCACCCCACGCTCGTCCTCTGCTGGTCTGGATCATTGGCGTGTCCTCCATCACACTGTGGCCCAGTTTCCTCCTCTGCAAGCAGGACTGCAGCTGCCTTGGGGATCTGGGCCTCGGTCTTTGCAGCTGTGGACAGTTGGAGGGAAACCAGGAGGAAAGTGTTTAGGGATCTTTCTACCCCAAGGATGGGCTGCCAGACTCCACTGAACCCCACCCCAAAGCAATTCTGCCCTTTTGATCACAGATGCAGCAGGTGGGTACAAACAAGATGGGTGGGTCTCGTGGGCTTGGGATCGAATGGTGTCCACAGCGAATACTCCCAGAAAGGCATTCCTTGGCCCTGAGGACTGTCAGCGACAGGGAGTGGTGTCTAGGAGTCCCATTCTCAGACTGTGGTCCCCAGAGACAACAAACCCAGAAGTGACTCCAGGGCGGAGCCCCCAGGAATGGGGGTGGGGTGGCCAGCTGACAGGTAGGAAGCTCACTCTTGCAGCCCAAGCCACTGAACTCGATCCGATCCATCCTCCTCCCCCCGAAGCAGCTGGAGTCGGGCATCTTCTTGGGGCTTTGTGGTTCCCTTGGGGTGGGGAGGATGTTGTCACCAGGCCCAAGGCCACCAGCAGAAGCTGCCTCCTTGGTCTTCCAGGCTTCTTCAGAACTGTGTCCTTCAGAACTGTGCTGCAGGGGCTCCAGGGCCCTCCGTGGCTCCGGAATACAGGCCAGTGGCTCCTGCAATGGGGGGGAGAATAACCCGAGCCTCAGGGGCCCTCCCTTGAGCCCAACCTTCCTCAGTGGCACCCGAGGGAACCGACCACTGTGGGTCCGGGTCCCGGCTCCCAATCTCACCACTCTCCGATTCTCAAAGGGACCTCTTGTAACAGTAGGTAGAGACCTTTTCACTTCTGTTGTCATCTTGAGACAGGTCCAATGTGGGACAACCTTTTAGCAGTGACAGGTGAAGGAACAGAAGCAGCCAGAGTGCCCTGGACAGCCCCGTCTGTGGGTCCATGTTGCCGGAGAGGTGGGCCGAGGTTGCTGCCCTTCAGTTGCTGTGTTCCAGTTCTGCTCTCACCTCCTCCAGGTCCACAGGGGCTCCTCTGGGTCCTGAGGCATCCACGGCCTTTTATCCCTGGCCCTGGCCTGCTCTCCAGGGTTATCTCTGAGCGATCGTCTGCATTTCCGCCCTCAGTGCCTGCCACCAGTACTTGCCAGGAGGCGGGGGCTGTGGAGAGCAGGCCTCGCATAGGAGGGTGCTTGGCTGGGTGCGCATGGGTCACAGCCACAGGTCCCTCGCCTCCCACTTCCTCCTTTCCTGCAAAAATCCTGGGCCTTAACATGTGCTTTTCCCTCCCCTCCCCTCCCCGGGCCATTCCTGGACAGGGAAGGGGGACTCCAGGGTCCAGAGGCCCCTGCGACAATGGCTTAACTGCAAGGTGCACCCAGTGGCTCCGAGAACAGCCCCAGCCAACACCCTACCCATGCAGTCTGTCTCCTCCCCTCCCAGTGCCAGTTCGCTGGCCAGCCTTCGGGACTCCCCCCTCGGCCTGGAACGCTGTCCGTGGTCCTGATCGCCCTGAGCAAATTCAAAGCAAGAGGTCTTGCTCCAGTAACACAGGTCTAGCCAGAAAGGCCACTGTGGGGTGGGAGACAAGATTCCACCTGACCTTCCCACGAGCCCCTTCCCTCAGAGGCGACTTGTCTAATGTCACCTGATTAAACGTCTGGATATGACGAGGAACTTCTGGAATGCGGACCCTGCTTCCAACCCCGAAAGGACAGAGCTGATTTGGCTGGAATTTTGAGAGGGAGGCCTAGAGATGAAGTCATCCCGAAATGCCTCCTGCCACAAACCCTCCAGGCGCCGACACTTCCTCTCCTTCACCAGACCAGCACCTATGGGGAAAGCAGGGACAACTGCAAGATGGGATCTCTTGGGGGGTGAGGGGATACCAGAGGTATGAGCAGTGTCCTCCCTAATGTCCCCCTCATCTGGTCATCTCTGATCTAGTTCCCACTAGCAGACGACCTGAACCTGTTCTCTGGGATTAGAAATGAGGTTCCAAGGAAACTGGCCCCGGGAAGAGACCCAGCAGACGGAATCCCCTGCCAGTGTGCGTGGCCAGTGCCGCCACCCAGTCCAGACGGCTTGTGTTAGCCATCAGCAGGACGAGGGAGCAGCACTGCCCAGGGAGGGAGACGGGTGACGACAGAGATGGAAAAGGGGGTGCTGAGGGGCAGAAGCGGTGACTTGTAAGCAAATCTTGCCCTAAAAAAAAAAGCACCTGCCAGTTATGGAGTCAAAAAAGTACTGTTACTGTTCCTCATTTCTCAGATGAGGAGACTGAGCTCAGAGGAATTGGTTTACTTTCTTTGGGTCACACCGTTGACAAGCGGTAAAGCCTGGATTCCAGTCCAGCTAGTCTGACTTCGGACCTGAAGCTCTTAATCACTGCCAGGGTGATCAAAAGGTGTTCTACTCTGAAAAATAAAATAAAATAAAGTCAGATGAGCGTGTCGTCCTCTCTGAAGTTACAGGGAGCCGGGCTGCGAGGGCGGGGTAGGTTCAGTGGCTGTGTGTGTGGGGGGAAGTCTGTGAACTCAGGCAAAGGTCTGCATTCTGCAGGCGGAGATGAGAGAGGGTAGAGGCACACAAGGATGGCCAGTCCCGGGGAAATTCTGGGCACTGGGGCAGTGTGGGCTCTGTACACACCACAGAAAGAATGTGCAACAGTTAAATGGCAGCGAGAGAGAAAAAATCCAGCCAAGTGCGGAGCTGAGTCTGCGGGCTGCTGCCGAGGCTGCAGGGAGTCCCGTGTGTGGGGTGTCGTAAGGCGGAGGGTCAAGAGCAAGATGGGGTTCTTCAGCCAGCACCTGTCAAGAGCGACCACACTGAACCTGAGCCACACCGCACTCTTCCGTAAACTGGACAGATGTCCCCTTCTTGCAGGCACCACAAGGGAGGAAAGGATGTCAGCAGAAGCCCAAGGCAGTGTGGAAAGAGCCAAAGAATTTGAAAGCATGTGAGAGTTTGTCCTTGTATCCAAGGAGAAACGAAGTCACCCTGGGCAGGGGTGGGGGGGAGCCATGAAGGGCTAAACACGGTGACAAAGCCACCACCTGCCAGGGTGTTGGGGGAGGGCAGGTGTGGGGGAGGGCAGGTGTGAGGGAGGGCTTGAGGGAAGACAAAGACTGAATCTGCAGCATTCCAGGGCCTTCTGTCTAGGGAATAACAATACGTCATCAATCAGCTCTCACGCCAGGTTACCCCCACAAGTGCCTACTGAGTGCCTACTCTATGCCATGAGCTTTCCACCCGTTAAACGGAGCTGATCAGACCATCTATGACTCAGCGTTACCACCCAAGGAGCAAATGAGGGATACATGTGGCAGGATGAATAATAGCTCGCAGCAAAGGTGGCCGTGGTGACAGCGTTGGCTCTTGCCAGTGTCAAACCCTGGGTGCTGCCTGGGTGCTGCCTGCAGAGGAAGGGAGAAGACCCTTCATTAGTTGAAGGCGTGGGGTCCCAACAGTCTGGAGACCTGACTCTGGCTCCAATGTCACTACTGCCATGAGCTCTGGCAGTTGTTTCTTCTCTCCTCCAATTTCTTTCTTTGTTTCTTAAACCCTCACCCGAGTATATATTTACTGATTGATTTTAGAGAGAGGAAGGGAGAGAGACAGAGAGAAACATCCATTTACGGACTCCTGTATGCACCCTGACTGGGGACCGAACCTGCAACCTTTCGGTGTACTGGGACAACGCTCCAACCATCTGAGCCACCCAGCCAGGGCTCGAGTTTCCCCATGCCCACCTCACAGGGTTGCTGTGAGGGAGAAATAGAACCCTGCAGGGAAAACGAAGCTTTCTTCTGGAGGTGAGAGCCCAGGCTGGGCCAGACGGATCCCGCCTTTGCGGAGCACACAGTGTAGAAAAAAAACAGACGCAGTCACAGCCCCTCCCCCAGATGAGGTAGATGCTGATACAGCACAGGTCCTGCCACCCACCTTCAAGGGCACTGAGGCTCCCGTTGGACCCCCTTGCAGCAGCCCAGGGAGCAGCAGAGTGGCCCTCGGCCACCGAGAGGGTTGTACCTGGCAGCACGTGCCGCCAGCCTGGGGCCCCCTCCCCCACGACCATCTTGGTAATAGGCTATTACAACTGTTGACTGGATCCTTCCCAGAAGCACCGCCTTGTCGAGGCTGCCTGCCCCCTTTCGAAGCCCCTTCCCTGCAGCTGGTGCTGTGAGCTGCCAAGTCCCGGACCCGTGTTCAGTGTTTGGACCCTTAGGGGGACTTGGCCTTTCTGGGACTGGTCCCACCGGTGGGCTCTCTTTTCTCCTGCTCCGCCTTCCCTCTCTTCCTCCTCCTTCCTCCTCCTCCTTCCTTTTTGTTTTTTCTCTCTGAACCCTTTAAGCCTCCCCCGGCTGTGGATCCCACCCACAGACTGTCAATGGCAAAGTGGTTCTGCCAGAACCTGGTGTCTGAGGCCCACGGGTAACGCATTGGTTGTTGTGCGCTCTGGCTCTTAGCGCTGTTGAAGGTGCGAGTCACGCGTGGTTTGACATTTGCATTCTTTGTTGACCTCGTGTGTTTAGAAGTATCAACTCGGTGAATCCATCTGATGGACGTATTTCCTTGATAATTGATAGTTGCCTTTTGAAGTATTTTTTTCTTGATTGATTTTAGAGAGAGAGAGAAAGAGAAAGAAACATCAATTTATTTTTCCACTTATTTATGCATTCACCAGTTGAATGTACCCTGTATGTACCCTGACTGGGGATCGAACCTGCAACCTTGGCATGCTGGGATGACGTTGTATCTAACTGAGCAACCTGGCCAGGGCCTAATAGTTGCCTTTTGTGCTGGAAATCTCCAGGTCCACCCTTCACCCTCTCCACCCTGCTCAGGACCCCAGAGGCTGATTTTATGGCCTACATGGACTGACTAATGTGTTCTCCAGCTTCCCTGGGACTCAGCCAGGGGTAGGGGAGCGGCAAGGCTCAGGGGGAGTAAGAGAAAAGAGGGAGGTCTGGGTAGTTTTCTGCCAGCTCTGCCCTGCCCTGTCACTTGGCGGTGGCACCTGTCTCTGCCCCAGCCCCTCCGTCCCAGGATGCTCCCAGCTTAGGAAAGGTCATACGGCGGCTGCTCCTTCCCCTGGCCGAGATTCCTAGTGGTTTCTCACTGTGCCTGTTTCAGATATTCCGTATAAACGGGATCACGTGTGATGTGACCGTTTGTGTCCTGGCTCCTTTCACTCAGCATGCTGTTGTCAAGGTTGTAACATTACGTATCAATATTTTGCTGCTTTTTACCGTCGAATAATATTCCATCCTGTGGGCAAACCGCATTTTGTTTATCCGTTCATCCATTGATGGGCACTGGAGTTGTTTCTGCCTTCAGGTGATGATGAGCAATGCCGCCATGAACACTTACGTACAAGTTTTGTGTGAATGTACATTTTCACCTCCTGGGTATTTACCTGGGAGTGGAACTGGTAGGTCATATAGCAACTCTATGTTCAATCATTTGAGGAATTCATATACGTGTGTGTGTTAATCCTATGTATCACTTTAATATGCTTCTCCGTATTGCTAACAAGCTGTCATATGTTCCTCCCAAAATGGCCTTTTTATACTGAATTCAATATTCCTAATACAATTACCTTGAATTTGATAGATAGCGCCTACATGTTTTGTTAATTTAAATTATGCTGCTATGAAAATCTATTAATGTGTAGCGTTTTTGTCCTTTCTTTTTTTTTTAACATTTTATTTTGTTTCTTTTTAGAGAGAAGGGAAGGGAGGGAGAAAGAGAGGGAGAGAAACATCAATGTGTAGTTGCCTCTCACACGCCCCCTACTGGGGACCTGGCCTGCAACCCAGGCATGTGCCCTGACTGGGCATCAAACCAGCAGCCCTTTGGTTCATGGGCCCGTGCTCAGTCCACTGAGCTCCACCAGCCAGGACTGTTTGTCCTTTCAGATCAGAAACCATAGAAATCTTTGCCGGGGGCGGGAGGCGGGGCTGTCCCATCTACCTGGCAGCATTCCTGGTCGACCC